AGTATGACTGCTCAGAGCTCCGGTACGAAACTGCAGAAAAACCTGAGTCTCTGGATTAAGTTTAGAAGTGTGAGCAACAAGAGTGATGTAATGGTGGGAGTCTGCTATAGACCACCAGACCGTGGGATGAGGCTTTCTTCCGGCAGCTCGCGGAAGCTACTAGATCGCACGCCCTGGTTCTCATGGGTGACTTTAATTTTCCTGATATCTGCTGGGAGAGCAATACAGCGGTGCATAGACAATCCAGGAAGTTTTTGGAAAGCGTAGGGGACAATTTCCTGGTGCAAGTGCTAGAGGAGCCAACTGGGGGGGGGGAGCTTTTCTTGACCTGCTGCTCACAAACCAGGGAAGAATTAGTAGGGGAAGCAAAAGTGGATGGGAATCTGGGAGGCAGTGACCATGAGTTGGTTGAGTTCAGGATCCTGACACAGGGAAGAAAGGTAAGCAGCAGGATACGGACCCCGGACTTCAGGAAAGCAGACTGACTCCCTCAGGGTAGGATGGGTAGGATCCCCTGGGGGACTAACATGAGGGGGAAAGGAGTCCAGGAGAGCTGGCTGTATTTCAAGGAATCCCTGTTGAGGTTACAGGGACAAACCATCCCGATGTGTCGAAAGAATAGTAAATATGGCAGGCGACCAGCTTGGCTTAATGGTGAAATCCTAGCGGATCTTAAACATAAAAAAGAAGCTTACAAGAAGTGGAAGGTTGGACATATGACCAGGGAAGAGTATAAATATATTGCTCGAGCATGTAGGAATGAAATCAGGAGGGCCAAATCGCATCTGGAGCTGCAGCTAGCGAGAGATGTTAAGAGTAACAAGAGAGGTTTCTTCAGGTATGATGGCAACAAAAAGAAAGCCAAGGAAAGTGTGGGCCCCTTAATGAATAAGGGAGGCAACCCAGTGACAGAGGATGTGGAAAAAGCTAATGTACTCAATGCTTTTTTTGCCTCTGTCTTCACTAACAAGGTCAGCTCCCAGACTGCTGCGCTGGGCATCACAACATGGGGAATAGATGGCCAGCCCTCTGTGGAGAAAGAGGTGATTAGGGACTATTTAGAAAAGCTGGACATGCACAAGTCCATGGGGCCGGACGAGTTGCATCCGAGAGTGCTAAAGGAACTGGCGGCTGTGATTGCAGAGCCATTGGCCATTATCTTTGAAAACTCATGGCGATCGGGGGAAGTCCTGGAAGATTGGAAAAAGGCTAATGTAGTGCCCATCTTTTAAAAAAGAGAAGAAGGAGGATCCTGGGAACTACAGGCCAGTCAGCCTCACTTCAGTCCCCGGAAAAATCATGGAGCAGGTCCTCAAAGAATCAATCCTGAAGCACTTACATGAGAGGAAAGTGATCAGGAACAGTCAGCATGGATTCACCAAGGGAAGATCATGCCTGACTAATCTAATCGCCTTCTATGATGAGGTTACTGGTTCTGTGGATGAAGGGAAAGAGGTGGATGTATTGTTTCTTGACTTTAGCAAAGCTTTTGACATGGTCTCCCACAGTATTCTTATCAGCAAGTTAAAGAAGTACGGGCTGGATGAATGCACTATAAGGTGGGTAGAAAGTTGGCTAGATTGTCGGGCTCAATGGGTAGTGATCAATGGCTCCATGTCTAGTTGGCAGCCAGTGTCAAGTGGAGTGCCCCGGGGGTCGGTCCTGGGGCCGGTTTTGTTAAATATCTTCATAAATGATCTGGAGGATGGTGTGGATTGCACTCTCAGCAAATTTGTGGATGATACTAAACTGGGAGGAGTGGTAGATACGCTGGAGGGCAGGGATAGGATACAGAGGGACCTAGACAAATTGGAGGATTGGGCTAAAAGAAATCTGATGAGCTTCAATAAGGATAAGTGCAGGGTCCTGCACTTAGGACGGAAGAACCCAATGCACAGCTACAGACTAGGGACCAAATGGCTAGGCAGCAGTTCTGCGGAAAAGGACCTAGGGGTGACAGTGGACGAGAAGCTGGATATGAGTCAGCAGTGTGCCCTTGTTGCCAAGAAGGCCAATGGCATTTTGGGATGTATAAGTAGGGGCATAGTGAGCAGATCGAGGGACGTGATCGTCCCCCTCTATTCGACATTGGTGAGGCCTCATCTGGAGTACTGTGTCCAGTTTTGGGCCCCACACTACAAGAAGGATGTGGATAAATTGGAAAGAGTCCAGCGAAGGGCAACGAAAATGATTAGGGGTCTGGAACACATGACTTATGAGAGGCTGAGGGAACTGGGATTGTTTAGTCTGCAGAAGAGAAGAATGAGGGGGGATTTGATAGCTACTTTCAACTACCTGAGAGGTGGTTCCAGAGAGGATGGTTCTAGACTATTCTCAGTGGTAGGACAGGACAAGGAGTAATGGTCTCAAGTTGCAGTGAGGTAGGTTTAGGTTGGATATTCGGAAAAACTTTTTCACTAGGAAGGTGGTGAAACACTGGAATGCGTTGCCTAGGGAGGTGGTGGAATCTCCTTCCTTAGAAGTTTTTAAGGTCAGGCTTGACAAAGTCCTGGCTGGGATGATTTAATTGGGGATTGGTCCTGCTTTTGAGCAGGGGGTTGGACTAGATGACCTCCTGAGGTCCCTTCCAACCCTGATATTCTATGATTTTAATTAAAAGGAGTACTTGTGGCACCTTAGAGTCTAACAAATTTATTAGAGCATAAGCTTTTGTGAGCTACAGCTTACTTCATCTCAGAGTTCAGCCACCAGGTTTGCCGTGACATTATTGGGGATACTGTTCCTGATGGCTTGTAGTCCATCTTTGTGTGGAATGTTGATGTAAAGGGCTTCTACATCCATAGTGGCTAGGATGGTGTTTTCAGGAAGATCACCAATGGATTGTAGTTTCCTCAGGAAGTCAGTGGTGTCTCGAAGATAGCTGGGAGCGCTGGTAGTGTAGGGCCTGAGTAGGGGGTCTACATAGCCAGACAATCCTGCTGTCAGGGTGCCAATGCCTAAGATGATTGGGCGTCCAGGATTTCCAGGTTTATGGATCTTGGGTAGCAGATAGAATACCCCTGGTCAGGGTTCTAGAGGTGTGTCTGCGCGGATTTGTTCTTGTGCTTTTTCAGGGAGTTTCTTGAGCAGATGGTGTAGTTTCTTTTGGTAACCCTCAGTGGGATCAGAGGGTAATGGCTTGTAGAAAGTGGTGTTGGAGAGCTGCCTAGCAGCCTCTTGTTCATATTCAGACCTATTCATGACGACACCTCCTTTGTCATCCTTTTTGATTATGATGTCAGAGTTGTTTCCGAGGCTGTGGATGGCATTGTATTCTGCACGGTTGAGGTCATGGGGCAAGTGATGTTGCTTTTCCACAATTTCAGCCCGTGCACGTCAGTGGAAACAATCTATGTAGAAGACCAGTCTGTTGGGGAGTCCACCCAGAATCCTTCTTTTTGTAGGGTTGGTAAGAAGGTCTCTGTGGGTTAATATGTTGTTCAGAGAGGAATACTTCAAACACATGTTTCCCCCTTGTTTATTTCCCCTCCTACTGTTCTTGTAAAGTCTGGAAATGGCCCACCTTGATCATCACTACAAAAGGTTCCCACCGCCCCGCTCTCCTGCTGGCAATAGCTCACCTTTCCTGGTCATTCTTGTTACAGTCTGAATGGTTAACACCCATTGTTTCATGTTCTCTGTGTATATAAAATCTCCCCACTGTATTTTCCATTGTATGCATCCGATAAAGTGAGCTGTAGTTCACGAAAGCTTATGCTTAACAAATTTATTCGTCTCTAAGGTGCCACAAGTACTCCTTTTCTTTTTACGGATACAGACTAACACAGCTGCTACTCTGAAACCTAGAAGAATTAAGAGGCTTGGTTTATTCATTCCTTCTCAGCCTGGGTTTCCTCACTCGTTTGCTTCTCTTATGGGTATGTTTCCAGATCCCAGCTACTGGAGGGACTGGCAGTCCTGGGTTCCACCACAGGAATACTTCAATCATCTTTCTTATGAACAGACAGGTAATGTCTCATCTGATAAAGGTTTGATATCTGGACAATCCTTGGACCGGATTCCACCACATCCACCTGCAAATCAGACAGTTGTGCCTGACACACTTTCCGACTTCAGCCACTCCTCAGGGTCCTCTGTCTCTTCAGGCAGTACAGCGCTGGTCTGCTCAGCTGCTGATCCATGGTCCCACAGAAGGCTCTGCTCCCTAGGAGAGATGTATACCTCCTTCCCTGATGCAGCCCAAACTGAGCAGGGCCCTCCCTTTATACTTCCTGCCCTGTCCCGTTACTTCTGGTGAAGTGGGTCCAGGGGGAGGATAGTGGTCCCTCACTCAAGTTGGAGGGAGACCACTCAACCTCACCACACACCAAGGCCAGCAACAACAACAAAAAACACACACATTAAGAGAACTGCTGGGCTAGCCTTCAGAAACGCTCAGGGCAGGCATAGAAAGGGGCACACACACGTTCTAACAAGCACTACTTGGAGACGGGTTCTACCGTTGGGTGCCATGAGCCAGCACAAAACCCGTAAGTGTGAAAATACAAAGTCATCTTGATTTTTACTGCTCTGCCCATTATAGGTTTCTGGCAGAACAGGATTAGAATGCTCAGCATCCATAACGTTGACAATCGCACAAACCAAGGAAGAAGAGGGGATTAGACTGCCATGTTCAAATGATTCTAGGACACAGAACTGCAACAGAAGAGAGCGTAAAGCAGGAATTCGCTATTTATCTCTTGGAGTTCCCCCTACAAGACGAAGAATCCTAAGGATTCTGATTGCATGCTGCTTTGCTTGGTAATTGTGAGGTGGCATTTGAGTTTAGTTCTAGTGAAAACTGCAGGCTTGAGTCTTGGAGAATGGAACCATGTTTATCTAAACAAGTAGAGGATCTGCACTCCGCACTAACCCCATCACGATTGAAGCACAAGGACCTGAATAAGTCATTTCTAAGGAGAAAGGGAAATAAAAGTGTATGGCTGATGTCCCATTTGGGTTTCTCCTCCCCAGTGTCACAATTCCAGCCACATCCTTACCGTTTCATTTGCCTCCTGTTGTTTCTCATCAAATTCTCGTATTAGTTTCTTCTTCTCTTCTGGAAAAGAAATGGAACCACATCAAATATGCTACAAGGAAATTAAAACAGATCTCAAGCCACCATAGGATGGGAACATCACACAGAAGACTGAGTTAACAGGAAGAAGCTGACTAACAGGACACCAGGCCAAAGTTCAGCTTAAAATGGGGACCACCAGAAAATTCTTATAAAGGGCCAGAGAACTTAAAACCCACCACATCGTGATCAAGAAATGAACACACAAAGCAACACAGGCCGCTAGCTTTGGAAGACCAAAATATTGCTGATTTCTGAGACTCAACAAAACTCCATTCCCAGGACTATGCTGAAACAGGTGCTTAACTCAGGAAAGTCATAAAGACCTATGTTGGTATGTCTCTCAAACAATTGCTTATCTTGTGGTATTTAAAGTTCTGTAAGTTGAGCAGAAGTTAACCCCAATGTCCTGGCTGAATTCTGCACCACTACATATGCAAATTCATGTCCTGCGCAGATTTCTTTGCTTCCCCACCAAAAAATGACTGACAGGAAAGCAAAGGGAAGCTACAAGAGCAGACACGCACCACTACCTAGCAGCACAGGTACCATTTTTCAGGCACCCACAGCAGCTAGCGGACAAGTAAATCACCATGGGGCTGGGGACACCCCAGCCAGTGGCTCCTACCCTGAGTTGGGATCAGCTGCTAGTTGGGATCAGCTGGGACTTTTTCTTCACCCACAAGGGGTGTCAGACCCAACCCTAGAAACCTCCCCCAGCTGCAGGAAACTCAGCATCCTCCCCTGCTTTCTGCCCCCATCACTCCTCAGCTGTGGGGGGAGGGGTCACTCTATGAGGAGCTGCTCTCCCATCCATCCAACCCCTGTGCATCCAGACTTCCCATACCTAGACACCCCTGCCACACCTCACCCAGTACATCCAGAACCTCCCTAGCTCTCCATACCTGAACCCCACCACACTGAACCTCAACCCCTGCATCTGGAGCCCCCACCCTGGCACCACCCTGAGCCCCCACATCCAGACCGCCACACTGCTGACTGCCAATTAGCTGCACCCAGACCCCCACCTCACCAAGACCCCACCTGCTGAGACCTCCACAATGAGCCTCAACCACCTTTATCTGGAAGCCCCTGCAAAGTCCCATTGCCTCTGCACCTGTAACCCCCCACCCCACGAGCCTCTGTGCAACCAGATCCCCCCCCATACCTAGACCGCCCACTGAGCTGCCTGCACCCAGACTGTCCCACACAGAATCCCCTCACCTGGATTTCCCCCACACTGACCCCTTCCACACTTGGATCCTGCCTGGTTGAGCCTATCTGCCCCACTCCTGGTGCACCTGGCGCAGAGTGGCATGGCCGTAGGGTGTTCTTGGGGCAGGCCCAGACCTTGTTCTGTGTCAGGGTCAGGTGCAGCCCCACTGCAGTCTGTGTCCTGAGGGTGTGGGGTGGGAGGGCTGCAGGGTGATCTTCCACCTTCATGCAGCCACTGGCCTGTGCTCCCTACTGCCATGCTGGAGCCTCTGCATTTATTTATTGACAAATAAAGCATGCAGAAAACTTGCAGAATTTTAAAGTATTGTGTGCAGAATTTTTAGTTTTTTGGTGCAGAATGCCCTCAGAAGTAAAATTCCATTTATGTAGTTTCATTCTACCTTCCTACATTTCCCCTGCAGTTTCTACTGGATACAGCATCCTTCTCTTGCTTTGTTGGACAGCTACTGTCTTCAGCAGTAGGTGAAGAAATTCATGTATCTATAGGTTTCAGAGTAGCAGCTGTGTTAGTCTGTATCCGCAAAAAGAAAAGGAGGACTTGTGGCACCTTAGAGACTAAAGTTTATTTGAGCATAAGCTTTCGTGAGCTACAAATGAAGTGAGCTGTAGCTCACAAACGCTTATGCTCAAATAAATTTGTTAGTCTCTAAGGTGACTCAAGTCCTCCTTTTCTTTTTATGTATCCATAGGTAATCTAGAATCCTTTCAGTAAGGGATGCTGTCAAGAACTCAGATAATACTGAAATAATGCCTGAATGGACATCTCCCTTAGCTAAGCTGATTATCCATGTCACCCCAATGAGCTATGTATGTTTCAGTTTTAATGTGAAGTGCCCACTTGCTACTGAGTCCCTGTAATGAGCGTCTGGGCTTTTGAAGGCAATGTGTTGTGTTTTGTTTTTAAAAAAAGCCTGAACAGATACACATAGCATTTGCTAGATGCTTCTACCTGCAGAGCCTATCGCACCCTCATACTGCAAAGATAATTTGGAATGGTATTGTGTAAGCAGAATTCTAAACAAACATCTAATCCCTTGATGCTACAAGAAAGCAATAGTGCAGGAGTTCTCAAACTGGGGGTTGGGGACCCCTCAGGAGTTCACGAATTATTATATGGGGAGCCACAAGCTGTCAGCCTCCACCCCAAACCCCGCTTTGCCTCCAGCATTTAGAATGGTGTTAAATATACAAAAAAAGTGTTTTAATTTATGAGGGGGAAATCGCACTCAGAGGCTTGTTATGTGAAAGGAGTCACCAGTACAAAAGCTTGCAATAGTGTATGTTTTTTATAAGCTTGCAGAAAGCTTGAGAAGGCCACAGAACTGGTTTAGAGCATTGTAAAGGGAAAGGGCAGTCATGTTTGGAAGAATTCTGATAAAAGAATTATTATTCATCTCTCCTAGAAGCCAGTGCAAGTTTGTCCTGACTTCAAACAAAATCAACTTAAGAAAAAAAAAAAAAAAAAAAACACAGGTTAACATGACAAAACTCATCTACTCCAACTGCAGTATTATGAAGAGACTACAGTCTCTCCATAGTTCCAATAGCAACAAGAGCTCTATTACAAGGTCAAATTTTCTGTTATGAAATCCTGCAACTCTGGTCCCCTAAAGAAGCCAAACTCCACCAAACTCTCAGTTGGTAGAAGTCTGAGAAAATATCGAAGTCTTTAAAATAGCTCCTTTTATTTTTGTAACTTGTCTGACTTCCGTTTCCCTTTCAGCCCAAAGTGAAATTACACCACAGTATTTTAATTGTAAGTAGCTTTGACACTGGCTCAAGTTGTCAGCTAACAAGGAAAAGTTATGTTCTCAAATAATACAAAAAGGCAGTTACTCTAATCACTGTATGGACCATAACACTAGCTGTCAGTGCTAACATAATAGACTCCTCACTGCAGTAATAAGTGAATAAGAAGTTGCATCAAATGTATACTTTCTATTCATGAGGGAATTCTGCACCAAAAATTAAAAATTCTGCATCAAAAGATTTTTTTTAAAAAAATCTGCAAAATTATGAATATTTTGTCAAAACACAATGTAATCACACCAGTTTCAATTATTTTGGTAACTTATTTCAAAATTCCTGCCAGCAAGGATATCTAACAAACAAGATTCAGGAAATTTTAACAAATAGATTCCTTACTAGGCATATTAATACAGAACTCTGAGTAATAATTCATTTAAACTACAATACAGAAACGTATTTCCCACACCCCTCAGAAGCAGTGAAAAGGCTTGGGGAAGTCAGGGGTAATGGAGGAGCTGAAGAGGAGGGAAGTAATTGCTGGGAAGAAGCCTGGGAGTGAACATGGAGAGTTGTTGGGTGTGAGTAAGATGTATGGAACAGGGTTGGGGTTTTGGTTTTTTTTTTTTGGAGCGGGGATTGTTAGGGAGCCTCCCCCACGCAGACCCTGGCTGACCCTTAGCCTCTCATATTCAGGCACATCTGCCCCGTCCCCATGTGGTCCTCCACCACCGCCTCTGCCATTCTCATGTGGGCCTGCACCCCCACTGAGCCACCCCCTCCCCATCCCCTTGTGGCCCTCCCTCAGCCAGAGTGTTTCTGGAACAGTGCAGCTCAGAAAAATATAACTATGGAATTTTCAGTGGTGCTGCTGTTCCTCCAAAGTACTTCAGAAAATTTCAACCCACTTAAATAACCAGATTTCCACTTTTTGGATGATGCATTTGATCAGGGATTGAATATTAATACACCTCATTATACTCATTCCAAAACCCTTTTCAAAGCTTTGAGAATCACTGCACACACACACACACACAGAAATGCAGTCATGTCACGAATGGAAAATGGTCCCAGTTTAACACTGCAAAAATAATACCACAAAACAGCATAAGACAAGACGTAGAGAATACTTTAGCAAACTGAAAGTATGGAGTTAATAGCCAAATTGAATACAGACTGGACTTTGGGGGTTAAAATTTCTATTACTGAAAGAAGTGTTGTTACATTGTTAATGACCATGAGTAGTTAGGATCTGGGTTTCATAATCCTCATAAAAGGTATCTTTAGATATTCAACTCAGTATTTAATGAGGAGCCTAAACAAACAACCTGTAGCTTTTTAGAAGGTTGAAGGTCTCTGTACAAGGTACAGAGAATCACAATAATTAATCCTGACGGTCACATGACTAACAAATACCATAGAACAAGGACTATTTGCCCTTTTTACTCTTCTAGCAGAGAAAAGAAGTAATTGAGGTAATTTTGTGTCAGGCTTCTCCAAAGTAAGGTAGTTTCCTGATTGTGAAGAGGTTCACTCATATTGCTAACAATCCCCTTTTTCCAATATAACCAGAATTCACCAGATAATTCAAGGGCCACCATCAACTTTTAGAGCAGTGGTTCTCAAACTTTTGTACTGGTGACCCCTTTCACATACCAAGTCTCTGAGTGCAACTCCCCTTATAAATGAAAAACACTTTTAAATATATTTAATACCATTAAAAATGCTGGAGGCAAAGCAGGGTTTGGGGTAGAGGCTGACAGCTCATGACCCCCCATGTAATAACCTCACAACCCCCTGAGGGGTCTCAACCCTCAGTTTGAGAACCTCTGTTTTAGAGAAATAATTCCATTATAAAATGTTTACCTACTTATCAGTATCTGCTACATTGAACATTACTAAAACTGAAAAATTTGAGGAAGCTATTTTTCCAGTATTACTTTCTACATTTGACAACATTACACATACACCTCTACCCCGATATAACGTGGTCCTCAGGAGACAAAAAAATCTCACCATGTTTAGGTAAGACTGCATTATATCAAACTTGCTTTGGTCCCCCCGTTCCTTGTTCCCTGACCGCCCCCTCCAGAAACCCCCATCCCTAATCACCCCCAGGACCCCACCCCTTACCCAACCCCCCTACTCCCTGTCCCCTGACTGCTCCGACCCCTATCCACACCCCTCACCCCCTGACAGGCACTCACCGGCGGGAAGCGGAGCAACATGCCACAGCCCACTCTACTCTGCTACCTGCCAGCCGCAGTGCTCCACTTTCCCCAACTTCCCCACACTCACCAGCGGTGGGAAGGACGTCCCCCCGCACTCACCTGCAGCGGGAAGTGGAGCAATGCAGCCCCAGTCTGTTTCGCTTTCCTTGCCCCGGCCCCACTCACCTGCGGCAGGAAGCAGAGCACCATGGCTAGGAACTGGTGGAGTGGAGCGGGTGAGTGAGAGTGTAGGGGGGGATCCCTTCCCCCAAGCAACATGGCTGGGGCCAGGGAAGCAGAGCGGGCTGCTCCCAGTCCCCCGCTAATCCCCTGGGCCACTCTGGGACTGTGGGGCCCCCAAGTGCCCCCCCACAGCTCCTGCCTCTCAGACTCTGTGGGAGAGAGTCCCTGACCACCCCCGAGACCCTCTGCCCTTTATCCAACCCCTCGGCCCCAGCACCCTTGACATGCTGCTCAGAGCAGCGTGTTGGAGCTTTACCATGTTGTATGCAAACCTGCATTACATCAGGTCGCGTTATATGGTAGTAAAACAGCTTCATCAAGTGGGTTATATCCCACCAAAGCTTATGCCCAAATAAATTTGTTAGTCTAAGGTTCCACGAGGACTCCTCATTGTTTTTAGGGATACAGACTAACATGGCTACCCCTCTGAAACCCATTACACATAGTGCTTCACTTTAGAAATCTTCCACATAATCTAGAAATCTCCCACAGCAACAGAGAAGAGAAAATCATTTAAAAATAGGAAAAACACGGCAATAAAACTACAAAAATTGACAGGAAGACTCAGATAGCTATATTATTAATTCATTTGTCCAGATTTCCACCTAACAATCTTTTAGGCAAGATTCCAACAACATTTCAGAAGGGAAATGCAATTCATGCAGTAGACCTGCATTAAATGAACAACAAGAAAACTTTCTCCACACAAGAGTGCAGCTCTGCAGCCCCATAGAGCAACACTGCCTCTTCTGTTTGTGCTAAGATTGATGCCAAATGCCCAAAGCATACAAATACTTACACAAATTTAAGTAATTCCAGTGATGTCAGTGGGATTGCCCAAAGGCAAAAATAATGCATAAGTGCTTACAGGCTTGGGATCTTAGTTAACCCAAAAGTAGGCATGCTCAAGGGTGAAGCTACAAAACTGGCAATAACTAACCAGTAACATATAGCAAAGCAGAACTACTGAAAACCAACACCCCAGAGTGTGCCCTCCAAGACAGCAAAGCCACCAGCAGCTGCTGCAGAGGAGAAGAGAACAGGAGAATTAGCTCAAAGAGAGCAAGCAGTATATCAGACCTCTGCAGACATCCACACACTCCCTCTCTACATAGCTTTTTAAAAGAATCTTGGGAATGTAGTGCTAGTGACTGGTTCTGGCCTGACAATTTCAGAGATGGAAGATCTTTATTTATCCATAGAATATGTATTACATGGACAGTCCAATCTTCTCCTCACTGCCCTATTAGCATGCCTCATGCATTTAGCTGAGATCATCTTAAGGGTCAGACTTCTATTTACATGTCCCAGGTAGTTCTTGGTCTCTTCCAAGGTTGCTAATAAGACTGGGCCAATTAGTTCTGGCTAGTTGGAAAGCTCTGTATTCCACTATCAATCCCCTGAGCTACCCAGCCCACAGCATTATCCCATCTGCTTCACAAAGTGAGAGGGTTTCTGTTCTGGAAGTTGAACAGCTCTGTCCCTGGAACCTACTGGATTTTCGAGCTGATTTGACACTTGTTACTTGTATCAACCAGAAATACAAATTCTCAAGAACAGCTCTGCTCCTCTGTAAGCTACAAACTGACAAGCGCAAGTGTCGTGACTCTGTAAGGCTACATTGCTTGCTACGGAAGGCCAGCACGCGGACTGGGAAAGACCGAACACGGACGAGAGGGTTGAAGAGAGGAGATTTTGATGCGGATCTAGCCAAGGGACGAGCCTTCTCCACACACAGTTCAAGCTTTGGGCACTGCGGGATGCCAGCCGGTCCTGGCCCGGGGTGGGGGGGTCGGGTCAGGCACAAGCCAAGCGCACCTGCCTGCCGTTTGCTTCTGCAAGCTTCCGGCCCCCCCCGCGCCGTCCCTGCTATTCCGGGGAGGCCCAATAGCGGCATTAGGAATTTGGAAATCGCTCCCCTGACTGCCCCAAGCAGCGGGGCGCGGGGGCGAGCCGCGTCCCGCTGGCCAGGCCCCGCTCTGCGCTCTTCACGGTCCCTTGCGACAGCGCTTGTAGCGCCTCTTCAGCCAAGGAGCCTGCGGTTTCGGAGGCGGCCCCGGAGGCTGGAGAAATCTGCCCCCAAACCTAAATCTGCAGTTCCCGCGCCCGCCAGCTCCGGGGGATCCCGACACCGCGCTGCGGGGAGACGCGCTACGCGCTAGCCACGGACCGGGCAGGAGACAGACGGGGTGGGGTGGGGGGCGAATTCCAGCTCCCCTCCCAACGTAGGTTTCAGAGTAGCAGCCGTGTTAGTCTGTATTCGCAAAAAGAACAGGAGGACTTGGGGCACCTTAGAGACGAACCAATTTATTTGAGCATGAGCTTGGGGTGCCACAAGTCCTCCTGTTCTTTTTCCTCCCAACGTAATAACGGCCCCGGCTCGCCCCCGGCGCCTCACCAGCCGCGCTCCCCCGCAGTCTCTCCGGGACGCCCCGCAGCTCCGCCTGCAGCCCCCGGAAGATCTCGTGCAGCCGCTCGAAGTGCTCGGAGGAGCTGGAGCCCAGACCCGCCATGGCGGCAGCGGCAGCAGCCGCCGTCTCGCCTGTTACTAGGATCCCGGTCCCATCGCCTGCTCTTCACGGACACTTCCGGGCCGCAGGTCGGGGCTTCATCGGTCCGTCCACTCGTCCCGCCCAGGAGGGTGCCCCACGTAGCGCCTGATGATAAATCACTCGGCACCGCCCTTCTGGCCACGAGGTTCACCGCGCAGTTCCCCACCGCCTTGCGAGAGCAGCATTTGGGGTCTGAGTCTCCATTCCCGAATGGGACTAGCACGGTTCTGCGGATCAGGCACTATCCCTGCCGCCGCAAGAAGGAGGCCCCGAAACTCCGTGCCGCGCGCTGCATGTTGGGAAGGGTAGTCCTGCTGTGGGGAGGGTCACGCGGGAGTCACGGGACTTTCAGGTAGGTAGGTCCCAAGGCTGTGAACAGCCAGACCCGACAATGCTGCGGGTGGAGCCTTCTCTCATCTCTCTCCCAGCTGCCGTTAATCCCTGGGGGTTTCTGCGTCCTCCCCCCAATTTTGGTTGGACTATTCCTGGAGATTTAATGATTTGACAATCTTTAATTAGAGATTAATTGTTAATTCCTGGAGACTCCAGCCCGATCCTGGAGGGTTGGTAACGGTAGGATTATCTGTCACAAGGGGAACAGCCACTGCCCTGTAGTTCTCTATTCTGGGACAGGGTGGGCCCCTCCCATTCCTGCTGGGTACGGGCAGCTGGGAGCCATGTGGCCTCAGTTACCTGTGGGGCCAAAACTTGCCAGATTTGGACTCAGATCAAAAGTGAATGTTGGGAAAAATTGTATTTAAAATACCCTTTGATGGTTTACAAGCCATTACTTGGCCCTCAGAATGATGGGGTGTCCACGGCCCTGGTAAAGTGTTGGGATCATTTGTGTAATGAGAATTCTAGAGTAGCTGTGTTTGACAGTATTGTGCTTGCTCCTTGTTTGCCTATGAATAACAATGTGGTGGTCGGGCCTTTATCACCGCTGGTAAAGTTCAGTTCTGAAGCAACAAAATTTGTTCAACAATTGCTGTGACCACGCACAGTCTATACCTGTTTCACCCCATTGCTTTGTGCAGGCAAGGAATGGAAAATGTGCAAGAGTCCTGTCCTGCAAGCACATTCAAGAGCAAGGTTTGAGGTGGTTTGCTCCCCTGAAAAATATAGCAAGGGTGTGCACATACCAGCAATCACAGAGAAACCTAGTGTGTTGAGTTTGTTATGCTGTGTCATCCAATGCAGTAGCTTTGCATGTATATGAACCTAATTCAGGTTCTGGCTTGGCAGATCTTGACACTGAAGTCTCCTGTCCAAGGAGATACATACAGAGTCAATACAAACTTTCTCACATGGTTTAACAGTAGTGGTAAAAAAAAGGAGTGGGTAAACTGTTGCTTCCCAACCTTAATTTTCAAATCATAATCAATCATATCAGAAAAAGAACAGTTAATTTGTATGTATAATAATAATTAATACATGTATTCAGTCAATCCATACATGGAGTAGCATTAGATGCTTATTGCAGATTTTACAGGCCGCTTGTCTGGTGTTGGATGTAACCAGCCAATAGATGACTCACACAGCAGTTGTTGTGGTTGTACAGCCACAATTTGCTTGTCACAGGAAAATGGGAGTAACTAAAGTCTTTATTTCTTAAATGAGAAGTGAGTAAACTCCATACTCTCCAAATGGGAGGAGGTAAAACTCTAATTATCTGTGGCCACTTTAGTGCTTAACACTGTACTTCAACTGTGACCTGGAGGACTCCCTTTAGGGTTAATAGTCTCTATGCCCCGTTCAGTAAGTTCTTCCTTACCCTTTGCTTAAAGGGGGTCCAAGAGGCAAAGAGTCCTGTGGCACCTTATAGACTAACAGACGTATTGGAGCATGAGCTTTCGTGGGTGAATTCCCATTTTGTCGGATGCATATAGGGGTCCAAGTGGTGGTAGTTGTGGTGGTTGTTTTTGTGATGTGAACACCTGACCACAGGGAACTAGCCTGAGACCCTGTCATTCATCTCATTTAGGCCATCAAATGATTTCCTGCTCTCATCAACTGTGCTGCAACTCTCATCTTAGGAAGCAGAGTTCTTTCAGGAACTTCAAAGGCATCAAAGGATGCCCTCCTTCCCCCCCCCCCCATTCAGATTTTGGAATACAAAATTGGCTCCATTTTTGTCTTGCCAGTAGAATTGTTAAATTCCTTGAAACAATAAGTGAAGTGAAGTGTTAGAGCCCTGGCTGAGCTCTTCCTTGTGGAAGATCACCTGCTGTATTGGTTGCAACTGTTGGATCTTGGGTGCTTCCAACCCTGCTGGGTCTGAGTAGCATTCAGAGACTGTCTCTATGTCTGGTCTTCAGACACACTCTCAGGGTACAGACTCCAATGCTGGTATCCTCTCTTGGGATATAGAGCCCTGTTAACAGCTGCTCTAGCTTCGAAGGCAGAGTGTGGACCGCCCCAAGTTTCCCCAGTAGCTTAAGCACGCCTTTCACCAGCGCTCCTCTTGCGCAAGCGCTCTGGGTTACAGTTTAATGCTTTGGGGACAACATGACAATTAAATGAAGGATCATGCTAACTTTGCAAAGGCACTTCATAACCATACGCATTTTACTCAGGACAGCACAACAGCTTTACAGATCTATGGAAAAATAACAAGCATCTGAATGCAAACCCTTCCCTCCAGTCTTCACTCCTGGTTTTTGGTCAGTGTTTTTATGGATTCCAGGGCTCTCCTGCACCTCATTCCTACTCAGTTTTCTCTTCCTGGTGATGGTCTATCTTGCTAAGGAGCATGTCTCCTTTTAAAAGCAGTTTCTAATACCTTGTCTCTTCCTGTCCTTGCCCTGGGGTTTTTCCATTCTCTATTCCTCTGTCTGCTGCTGGCTACTGAGGATCATTAACAGTTCATAACTCTGCTGACAGTCTCCATTGTTCTGCCAGCAGGGGTGGATAAAAACGGATTTTTTTAAAAAATCAGACTTTTTAAAATTAGATTTTTAAAACATTTAAATTAAATACAAGTATATTATTTTTTTAAAATAAGCCTATTTATTTGAAATTGATAACCTATGTTAAGGCCTAAACTTCTTATAATCTATTAAAATAATTTAAATTATATACAAAAATAACATTCAAGCAGTATATGTTTGCTGCCAAGATTTAAAGAAAGTCAAACCCCTAAAATAGTGGAAGTCAATGGCTAAGGACCTGGAATCACAGTTTCTTGAAGTGCCAAACCATCTTTTGAAAGCAATAGCCTCTTCCACAGGTGCAGAGAGAATATTTTCTTCATTTCAGTTTATTAAACTAGTTCAGTTCAATGACTGGTTCATTCGAAGTTAAGAACCCAATTGGAAGTTAAAAAAGCAGGAATGATTGTTTTTCTCTTCCAATATATGAATAAAATCTAGGTTTGAGAAGATGAGATCTTCTACTTCTAAAACCTTGGATATTCACCAGAAATAATCACTTCAGTTCACTAATTATAGATAATACTTCCTTTGTTTAATAAATCAGTTTGCTTTAAATGGGAAACATCTTTTGATAAACTTTTTGATAAAGTTCTTTTCTTCTGTATCCAGCATTTTTTTTTAAAAAATGCTCATTTTGTACATTTTTAATTCAGTTAAAATTTCCTTCCAAAGAGAGCTTGACACAAATTACAAGTAAAATTTAATCCACTAATAAATAAGAAATTCATTAGTCACCATTTTGTAACATAATACAAATGTAAACATTAAGAATCTGAATAAATATAAATTAAGCTATATAATTGCTTCAATAAACGTGTATAGATATGGGGTATCTCCTAGTTAGCAAAAAGAATCACAAATTTAATGTAAGGTCTATATTTAGTTGCAAATCAACATGTTTTAATGAAAAGGAGTACTTGTGGCACCTTAGAGACTAACCAATTTATTTGAGCATGAGCTTTCGTGAGCTACAGCTCACTTCATCGGATGCATACCGTGGAAACTGCAGAAGACATTATATACACACAGAGACCATGAAACAATGCCTCCTCCCACCCCACTGTCCTGCTGGTAATAGCTTATCTAAAGTGATCATCAAGTTGGGCCATTTCCAGCACAAATCCAGGTTTTCTCACCCTCCGCCCCACAAACTCACTCTCCTGCTAGTAATAGCCCATCCAAAGTGACCACTCTCTTCACAATGTGTATGATAATCAAGGTGGGCCATTTCCTGCACAAATCCAGGTTCTCTCACTCCCTCACCCCCCTCCAAAAACCACACACACAAACTCACTCTCCTGCTGGTAATAGCTTATCCAAAGTGACCACTCTCCTTACAATGTGCATGATAATCAAGGTGGGCCATTTCCAGCACAAATCCAGGTTTTCTCACGGTATGCATCCAATGAAGTGAGCTGTAGCTCACGAAATCTCATGCTCAAATAAATTGGTTAGTCTCTAAGGTGCCACAAGTACTCCTTTTCTTTTTGCGAATACAGGCTAACACGGCTGTTACTCTGAAACATGTTTTAATGGTTACCAACTAATGAGAATCAATCTTAAAGAAAATAAGTACAAATCAAGGTTTCCTGCTTACTGATTTAAGTCATGATTAAAATTGGAGATTTAAATCCCTTCAGTTTAAATCAATCCACCCTATCTGCTAAGATATAATTATTCAATTATTGATGGCTATTAATGGCCCTTTCTTTCAGAGTTGGACATTGTCAGGTTCATGCCATAAAATGGAAGATTTAATCCATATAAAAGGTCATATTGTATGAAATCTCTTTCTCGCTCAAATGGAATTCATAGATTTACATAGGCAGATTCCCCAAACTGTCACAAATACTTAAATGCCTGCATAATTAAGTAGGAGTGCCTACTATACAATGTAACTATTGTTAAATATCTAACTGGACTCATAGGGAAATTTTCTATTGTCCATGGTCACTGTGCAATTTTCAAATAGTTAGAACTTTGGTAAATCATAACCAAGCCAACCAAAAGCACCACTATTTCTCGGTGAGGACTGTGTTCATGCCAATTTTCAATTCTTGCTGGTTTGGTTTTATCTATGTTTAAAAATAATTATTAGAATTATTTTATAATTGGAAGTGTGTTTTTTCACAGTCTCATAATTCAAAAATGTCTGAAAGATATTTGTTTGCCCTTTCCAGAAAAATTCACTGCTGGGCATAGACTGAATATGGAAAACTAAAGTTGAATGTTTCAGAAAGTTATGAGTGTGAAATTAGGAAGTTATAAATGAAACTTTTTCAACTTTAATTATAGTGGTTGGTACCAGCCATCATAAATATACGTATGTGACATAAGCACTAGAAAACTTTTAATTTTAAAGGATGCTTGCAAACAAAACAAGTTATTTTCAAAATGACCTCTGTATCGGAAACTACAGATGTGTGTTTGCTATAGGTCCACTGAGAGCTGCCAGCTTTGGCCATCTATATATGAAAACACTGATCAGTAAAGTTCTGGTGAATTAAAGAAACTGGATTTTGATAGCTTCTTTTTTTGTAACCAGTGCCTGCACCTAAATCTTTAGAAAATGTGAAAAATCCAGAGCTGTCAGGGAAGCAAAGCAGACCCATTGCCCCAGATTCTAAATTCATTAAGTTCTCTTCTTCATTGGTAAAGGGCCCATTGGAGGAGGCAGCATGACCATCAGTTTAATTGTCTTGGTCATTCATTCGGAAATGCCATACTTTCTCCTAGCTCTCTCTCCACACACACGCAAAATCATCTACATTTTTTGAGAGCTAATAACAGAAACCTAGAAGTGGGGTTGAAGAAAGGTAATTTACTGACATCATTAGCATGATGTTTGAATGGGATCATGCTCCAAACAGTCCTGGAAGAGATGAGTCTTCCAGCCTGAGCTCTCTGCTCAGGTAGTTCCTTCTGCATAATTAAACCTGCAGAACTGCTGTTTTCTGAATTGTGTGTTTCTTTCTGAATATCCTGGCTGAGAGAAGAGCACTGTTCCTGGTGGCACAGATCCCTCAGCTTTATTTGTGTTTTAAGATGATAGTTCACCAAACAGGGTAGTACAAACACCAAAAAGAGACTAAACACAAATATTCATCTGGGAATTTCTAGTTTGGCCACTAGATGTAGTAGATGCCAATATAACGTAATTCATCTTAGAGCGATCAGAACTACTTCCTGCTTTGCTGGCTGTTCAGTGAGTGAAATGTGGATGTTGAACCTGTGTTTGAGATGTGCAACGTTTTGAAAAAGACTCATCTGGAAGCCGTGAAATGAAGTAGAGCTACATCATAACAAATCTGTGGCTGACCAGGGTGGCCTGGTTGTCACTATCCTGCACAGCATGTCACTTGGAACTTCATGATAACAGCATGGCTAGAACCCCAGTCCTGCTGCTACAAAAGGCCCAGACCTCCATCACTTGAGCAAAAGGACCCCGGGATTCTCTTAGTTGTTAGCAATATAGAGTCTGTGACACATTTTATCACTTCCGAGTGCATATACACACTAGCCAGTTAATTTAAATATCTTCAAATATTGCATTGAGAGCATGTCATAAATATAAATGAAAGGGAAAACCCCTTTAAAATCCCTCCTGGCCAGAGAAAAAAATCCTCTCACCTGTAAAGGGTTAAGAAGCTAAAGGTAACCTCACTGGCACCTGACCAAAATGACCAATGAGGAGACAAGATACTTTCAAAAGCTGGGAGGAGGGAGAGAAACGAAGGGTCTGGTCTGTCTGTATATATGCTGCTTTGCCGGGGATAGACCAGGAGTGGAGTCTTAGAACTTTTAGTAAGTAATCTAGCTAGGTATGCGTTAGATTGTGATTTCTTTAAATGGCTGAGAAAAGAATTGTGCTGAATAGAATAACTATTTCTGTCTGTGTATCTTTTTTGTAACTTAAGGTTTTGCCTAGAGGGGTTGTCTATGTTTTGAATCTAATTACCCTGTAAGGTATCTACCATCCTGATTTTACAGGGGGGATTTCTTTATTTCTATTTACTTCTATTTTTATTAAAAGTCTTCTTGTAAGAAAACTGAATGCTTTTTCATTGTTCTCAGATCTAAGGGTTTGGATCTGTAGTCACCTATGCAAATTGGTGAGGCTTTTTATCCAACATTTCCCAGGAAAGGGGGGGTGCAAGTGTTGGGAGGATTGTTCTGAAGATCCAAGGGTCTGGGTCTGTAGTCACCTAGGCAAATTGGTGAGGCTTTTTACCAAACCTTGTCCAGGAAGTGGGGTGCAAGGTTTTGGGAAGTATTTTGGGGGGAAGGACACGTCCAAACAGCTCTTCCCCAGTATTAGTTTGGTGGTGGTAGCGGCCAATCCAAGGACAAAGGGTGGAATATTTTGTACCTTGGGGAAGTTTTGACCTAAGCTGGTAAAGAGAAGCTTAGGAGGTTTTTCATGCAGGTCCCCCCATCTGTACCCTAGAGTTCAGAGTGGGGAAGGAACCTTGACAGAGCACTTTGATGCTTAGACCTCAGAATGCTTTATCAAGGTGGGTACTGTTAGCCCTGTTTTACAGGTTTGATGCAGAGAGAAAGTGAAATGACTTGCCTAAGGTCACTTAGTAAGGCAACACTAGAGTCCAGAATAGAGCCCAGGTTCTCTGGACTCTTAAGAGCACTTTATCTATCAGACCAGAAGTGCTGCTGACATTTAGCAAATGATAAAGCAAACCTCAGAAAGTTATAGAGTAGAGAACAAATGAACTCAGTGGCTAGGAAGTTATTGATCCTTTAGATCTAAGGAACTGACTTGCTTGCAGTTTTGTTTTATTTTGGGGGAGAAGGTATATCTTTCCCTGCAGAGAAATCACTGGGTATGACCCTTTGTTTTTTTCCACCAGTACTGCACATTGCCCAGACTGGGTTGTTGGACTACAACTCCCAGCACGGTGTGCTCTGCCTTTCTGCACACAAAGCTGATGGGTAGGACTACAACTCCCTGCATGCAATGCTCCCTAGCCGGTGTATTTCACTCGCCCTCCCTCATCTCTGATGAGAGACAAGAGTCACTGAAAGGGAGGGCAAACAACAGACAGCAGCAATGCTAAACTGCTTGGTGACCGTGCTGGGAATATTCATCTGTGTTCCCCTTCTCCTGTTCATGGCAGCTCCCTACATCAGGTCTGTATTAGATGATTGATTAGCTACTGTGTAAACCCTTTTACCCTTTAAAAAGCATGCACCTTTTTACTTCTGCTAAATGGGGATCCAGCAAGTGCATTCTTGGTAGAGAAGGTAGATCAGTTTATTAATTATTGCACTTAGAGAAAGATCGGGTAATATGCTAGATAATAAATGTGAACATCAAATCTCAAAGGAAGAGTTTCCAGGAATCTGAGACCTGGGTTTACGTTATCATGTTATCTGTGAGTCTTAAAACCTCTCCATTCCTCTTTATAAATGAAGCAGACTTAACAAGCAATTAAAGCAGGGAACTGGCAGCCAGGCTATGTTTGGTTTGAACCCTGCCTTTGCTGTCCATTCGCTTTGCGATCTTGGGCAAGCCTCTGTGTGCCTCAGTTTCCCCATCTGTAAAATGGAGCTAATAGATAATTTACCAAGATGTTATGAGGTTTACTATATTAATGTCTGTGCAGCACTTGAAAGGCATAAAAGTGCTGCATAAAAATAGTATGACCATAAATGCTTAGGGTAGAGTATTAAGTAAAAGAAGAAAGTTGTTTTCCTTCCAATACATTTTAATAGATTGCTTGCTTTTGGAAAGGGTTTGGACGGGGGATTCTTTTTTGACTTCATCAAGTTAAAATGTTAGTTAGACTAACCTTGAACCCTGTATCTAGGAAATAGTAGGGAGCAATGTTGTACTCACTCCTGATCTTGGGCTGGATTGAGACCTGCTGGGTATTTCTAGCTCTAATTTCTATGATTCTCTGAACCAATGCTCAGGTTAAAATAACCTTTTGTACTGTTCGCAATAAAATGACCATATTTCGCACCTAACCTGACCCCAAGGTAGCCACTTTAAATGCTTTGTAAACTTTCTATAATTGCCTTTTTATTATCTCTGAGCTCTTTAAAGTTGATGTAAGGTGGCAACTTACTTTGGGAAATATGAAGCTTCAAAGAATTAAGAAGATAATTGTCAATCCATAAAAATGTGAAGGAAGAAGGCCAAATTTTCCCTTGCTGTAACCACGCTGTCTTGGTTGGAGTTACAGCTGGGACATCTGACCCAGTTCTTAGTCATGCAAATCAACTCAGGCTCTTTTAAATTCCTTTAGTGAGAATGGATTAGATTAGTTCACAAAAAGAAAAGGAGTACTTGTGGCACCTTAGAGACTAACCAATTTATTTGAGCATAAGCTTTCGTGAGCTACAGCTCACTTCAGCGGATGCATACTGTGGAAAGTGTAGAAGAACTTATTATATACACACAAAGCATGAAAAAATACCTCCTCCCACCCCACTCTCCTGCTGGTAATAGCTTATCTAAAGTGATCACTCTCATTAAAATGTGTATGATAATCAAGGTGGGCCTTCTCACACACCCCCCCCACACACACACACAAACTCACTCTCCTGCTGGTAATAGCTTATCCAAAGCGACCACTTTCCTTACATTGTGTATGATAATCAAGGTGGGCCATTTCCAGCACCAATCCAGGATTTAACAAGAACATCTGGGGGGGGGGTAGGAAAAAACAAGGGGAAATAGGCTACATTGGATACAATTAACTTAGGCTTGACTAGAGACTGGAAGTGGCTTAGTCATTATGGAAGGTAGCCTATTTCCCCTTGTTTTTTCATCCCCCCCCCCCCCCCCCGGACGTTCTTGTTAAACCCTGGATTTGTGCTGGAAATGGCCCACCTTGATTATCATACACAATGTAAGGAAAGTGGTCGCTTTGGATAAGCTATTACCAGCAGGAGAGTGGGGTGGGAGGAGGTATTTTTTCATGCTTTGTGTGTATATAATAAGCTCTTCTACACTTTCCATAGTATGTGTCCGATGAAGTGAGCTGTAGCTCACGAAAGCTTATGCTCAAATAAATTGGTTAGTCTCTAAGGTGCCACAAGTACTCCTTTTCTTTTTGCGAATACAGACTAACACGGCTGTTACTCTGAAACCTAGATTAGTTCAGATGGTCTTGGTAAGAGGAAGATCATTGGACGATCTGTGAGAGAACTGATAGCAGCAGCCAATAGGGTAACTCTCATCCCACTTGTGTAATAGCTTGGCAGTTTGCACATATCAGTGAAGAATTTACAACACCCAATAGAGAAATACAGGCCTGGGCTACAGTGTGTGTGTGTGTGTGGGAGGTTCGAACTAAGATACGCAACTTAAGTCGAAGTATCTTAGTTCGACTTACCTGGCCATCCTCATGGCGGCGAGTCGACCGCGGCGGCTCCCCCGTCGGCTCCCTTAATCCTGCTGCCTCTCGTTTACTCCTGCCTCTAGGCTGTGTATAGTCCTCTCTGCTCTGGGGCTGTGTACCACAGTCCCCTGTTACGTGGTGCTCATAACAAACCCTCAGCTGCATATATGCAGACATTGTGGTCCCCAGCTCTAGTGCATGCAGCATGACATGGAAAACTTCAGATCTATCCCCTGAACTAAATAAAGGAAGCTTTCAGCTAGGTGGCAGAGTACCAGGGCTTATGTCCCTGTTGGGCTGCAGCCACTGGAAACCAGGACTCAAGACCCCAGGACTCAAGTGCATTACATACCGATATATTTATAGCAGAGTGGGCAGCTTGGAACATTGTCTACTTCGGGGTGCAGAAGTTTGGAAGATGAATGGGAACCTGCATCAGTGGCTGTAATGACCTCTAAGAAGAGTGAGCAGTAGCTGGCCCCATGGAGGGAGTATAAGAAAACAGGAACGTGGAACTGGCAGTTTATGTAAATGTCCCCATGTCTTTCCAATTGTTCTGAACCCAGTAACTAAGTGGCTGGCTCAAAGCCAGCAAGCAGGACAACAGAACACTAAATGCCAGTCCCCAGGTCTGAGCCTGATAACCAGAAAACTGTTCTTGTAAATCCCTAGTAGCTCCTCTTCTTGTCCTCTCTTCTAGGAGGTACATAGCAGGAGGGGTGTGTAAGTCAACAGCTAAGCTGAATGGGAAGGTGGTGGTAATCACGGGAGCCAACACAGGCATTGGAAAGGAGACAGCCAGAGATCTCGCACAAAGAGGCAAGTCACCTGTCCCTCTTCCACCTCCAAAAGTCCCTCTGTAATTTACATCTTCACCGGAAGTCATTGTTTTTTTCTCTGGAGCTAGGAGGGGATTATTTTGACAGCCCCATCTATACTACAACTATGATGGAGTTTGGAGACCTGGTTACATATGGTTGTCCTCTGACCCAGTAAAACACAGCTAAAAGTTATAATGAAGATAGAATCAACCATGTCCTAGGAACTAGATTAGACCCTTGGGGAGCCCAGAGCTTTAATATAGAATCATAGGGTTAAAAGAGACTGCATGGGTCATCTTTTCTAATCCCCTACCAAGATGCAGGATTATTTGTGTCTATAACATGGTTATACATCCCGACAACACTTAAACTTTTAGCAATGCTGGAAGCAGGTCTCCTGACTCGATAATAATTTTACTGTAGGTGACCTTTATAGCTTCAGTACTGCACTTTGGTGGACTCCCAGACACACTTTCAGAACTTAGTCCATGGAAGTTAGCATGAGACCCCCTCCATCTGTGTGAGGCTGGGAACCAACTTAGTTTCATTGGTGTGTGTCTTTGTTACAGCATGGCTGAGGCTAACTTGGTTTAAAGCTATTTGGACAGCTACTATGGAGGGGGCTAAATTACATTCTTAATCATTTTAGAAACCGTGCCCTAGCCAAGGCCACCTAGGTGAAGGAGTCCATTCAAACCTTGGCCACTATGGTGAGACTACCAATGTGGGAGTCTGGTAGGACCAATATTGCTGGTTTTGTGCACTGGACACCTTGCCCAAAACGAGTTGGACAGAGATCCTTCAGGCTTGTTTCACACCAACCAAAGAACAGTCTTGAGAAGGTAGCACCCTTTGGTCGCTACCTAGCTGGGCTGGATTTAAGCTGGTAACTCAGAGGTAGAAAGGCTGTTTGACAACTAATCTCCTGACTTACCCACTTATTGCTCACAAATTTATCTGTAAACCTTTGGGTGGCCCACCTGCCTTTCTGTCCCGGCTCCCCACCCTGCCCCCACTGCTCATAGCCTGTGTTTCTGCTGTCCTTTCCCCATTGCAGGTGCCAGGGTGATCATTGCCTGCAGAGACATGGCAAAGGGGGAAGCAGCAGCCTGTGAGATCCGAGCAGAGACAGGGAACCAACAAGTAATTGTGAAGAAGCTGGATCTGGCAGATACCAAGTCTATCCGAGAGTTTGCTGAGAACTTCCTAGCAGGTATGGCCCCTAGATACTGTCACGCTTACCGTTAGGGGACGGTATTTGGTTAACACCAGCTCTGATCAAAAGGGCAGCTCTCTGCTCTTTAGTTCTGAAGAGCAAACGTGGTGTAGCAGACAGATCGACTTGGGAGTTGCAACAACTGGGTTCTATTCCAAGTTTTGTTATTGACTTGCTGTGGAACTTTGGGCAAGTCATGGCTTAACCAACTTGGTAAAATACTTTGAGAGCTGAATATGAAGGTCCTATATAAGTCCTCAGTATTATTATTAAAGTGACTGTGAAAATGCCCCTTTCTTATAGACTCATAGACTTTAAGGTCAGAAGGGACCATCATGATCATCTGGTCTGACCTTCTGCACATTGCAGGCCACAGAACCTCACCCACCCACTCCTGTAATAGACCCCAACCTCTGGCTGAGTTACTGAAGTCCTCAAATCATGATTTAAAGTCTTCAAGTTACAGAGAATCCACCATTTCCACTAGTTTAAACCTGCAAGTGACCTGTGCTCCATGCTGCAAAGGAAGGTGAGAAACCACCAGGGTCTCTGCCAATCTGACCGAGGGAAAAATTCCTTCCCAACCCCAAATATGGTGATCAGTTAGACCCTGGGCATGTGGGCAAGACCCACCAACCAGAAACCCAGGAAAGAATTCTCTGTAGTAATTCAGAGACCTTCCCATCTAGTGCCATGTTACCAGCCATTGGAGATATTTGCTGTTAGCAGTCACAGATTAGCTAAATGCCATTGTAGACAGTCTCTTCATATCATCCCCTCCATAAATTTACCAAGCTTAGCCTTGAAGCCGGTTAGGTTTTTGCCCCCACTACTCCCCTTAGAAGGCTGTTCCAGAACTTCATGCCTCTGGTGGTTAGAAACCTTTTTCTAATTTCAAGCCTAAACATGTTGATGGCCAGTTTGTATCCATTTGTTCTTGTGTCCACATTGGCACTTAACTAACTCCTCTCCCTCTCTGGTATTTATCCCTCTGATATATTTATTCTTACTTACTTACTATATGAGTCCCAATTACTTTAACTGGAGTTGTTCCCTGTGATGGCATAGATTTATGCTGCCCCGAAGCAAGGCTGCAAAGTGGTAATAGTCTGTCCTGCACATATGGGCTGGACCAGTTGTACCCCACAACACTGCCAGCAATATTAAACCAGGAGGGAGGGCACACTGTTGCGAGTGGACTTTGTCAGACACTCCCCTGCTTGAAAAGATGCTGTTTGGTTTGTTTGCATGATGGGGAATCACCAGAGGCTGCAGTACTAGACTGGAGAGGTATCTTTTTTTATATTTTGGAGGGGAGGGACAACCGCAGCTCAGTCAGCTCAAGTTCTCTGGCTGATCTATGCCATACTGGTGCTGGGCGGTTGTCAGGGGATCCCTGTTTAATGTGTCATCCCATCTGTTCCTTGCAGAGGAGAAGGAGCTACATATCCTCATTAACAATGCAGGTGTGATGCTGTGCCCTTACTCAAAGACGGCTGATGGCTTTGAGATACATCTGGGAGTCAATCACCTTGGTAAGCGTCTGAGAGTTGGAGGTGGCAGGCAGAGCCGGCTGTGCCTTTTTAATAAATATTGGTGGCAAAAAATCCCAGGCTGAGACTTTGCATCCAGGACTCCTCCTCTCCTGCCCCAAAGAATGCAGGGAAATAACTGAAGTTCAGAGTACTTTAAGCCTCAGTAGAGACCTAAGCTGTTTTGGAAGGGTCCTAAATTCCTTGGGGAGGAACAGTGCAGGGGAAGCTTGCCCTTTCACTGCCCAGAGAGTGCCTATTCTGAGAGTACAGAGCTGGCAAATGGGACTACCATCTCCTGCAACCTTTCACCAGTTCCAGCTGTTCGAGCACCCGCAAGTAGAGGCCACTTGAAAAATGTTGGGCCCTGACCTGCCTGTGTCTCACATCTCCCATCTGTGAAATGGGGCTAATTGTGAGCTGTCTCAGTACTTGGCCTGAAGTGCTTTGAGATCCTAAGATGGAAGGCACAACAGAAAGGCAAAGTAAAACAAATCCCATCTCTCCCTAGGTCACTTCCTCTTGACCTTCCTGCTGCTGGAGTGCCTGAAGCAGTCGGCCCCGGCCCGCATAGTGAATGTGTCCTCACTGGCTCATCATGGAGGCAGGATCCGCTTCCATGACCTCCAGGGTGAGAAGTGCTACAACTGGGGCCTTGCGTATTGTCACAGTAAATTGGCCAATGTACTCTTCACCCGGGAGCTGGCTAGACGCCTTCAAGGTGAGTCTGAGAGGGGAGTTGATTGTATACCAGATGTGGCTTACTCAGATCCTTTGGGTTCTGGAGGGTGGCATTCAAAATGGCGCTAGAAAGTAGCTGTACTTAGATCCTGTGGAGAAATGAAGATATTCAAGGTGGGGTAAGGAAGAGACTTTATGTGGGTCCCTGGCAGGTGTTCAGGGTGGGTGGGAGCAGATGCAGTCAATCCAGAGGGACCAGCGGTTGGCCTAAGGCAGTGGCTGTGCCCCTACCCTCAGGGCTAGGGCAAGGGAGTGAGCTAGCCATACTCAGAGGAATAGGTTTCATCGTTTTCAACACTTGTCCAAAAGCAAATCTGCAAACAAAGGAGCTGTATCCCCATGGACAAAGCAGCAATTGTGAACCATGGACTGCTACTGAAAAGGCTTTGAATGCTTCTGTGCTCAGCATAGGAATCAAAGGTTATGGTGGAACAGCTGAGGTTTGCTCATCTCTCATGAGATTCAAAGTCTGAAAAATAGAGATAAGGTCTCTTATCTAGAGTCCTAGTACTGGAGTAAATCAGGAGGGGTCTGTGCTTTACAAAGCAGTGGGCAAGCCTTTAATGTTTTTGCCAGGCTGCTTTGTAAAAGGCCTAACGACTAAAATGGTGCAGCGTTCATAATTGTGGTGAGATGTTGTCCACCTTTCCAGCAAGCAAGTGTAAGGGAGTTCAGTTTGCCCCACTATATCTGCATCTGGACCTTTGTTTCTTTAACATTTAGATAATGGGGTAAAACAGGAAGGCTGTTAATGCCTTCCTTCTAAGGAGGCTCTAGAGCATGTAGGCAGGGTCTGATTTGATACATGCTCCTTGTTGTCCCTCTTGCTGTAGGCACTGGAGTCACTGCAAACTCGCTGCACCCCGGCTCTGTTCATTCCAGTTTGGGCCGGCACTCGATTCTAATGACCCTGCTGTGGAAGACATTTTCTTTCTTCTTGAAGACTCCACGCGAAGGAGCCCAGACCAGCGTATACTGTGCAGTGGCTGAGGAGCTGGAGTCTGTGACTGGACAGTATTTCAGGTGAGCAGAGGTACTTGATCTGCTGTCGTGGGGCAGAAGGATGCAACCTAGATGTCTCTGGGGTGTGGGGATAAGCGGTGTGGGCGAGGTAAGGCTATAATCTTTGTCTGAAAGGGGACTGTACTGAGGCTTACAGATCTGAAGGGAGAAGTGCTAGAAATATATGTTTAGAATTTGTACCCGTTACAAGAATCTGAACACTTCGGATTGGAAAAGCGTTGATCATGACACCAAGATAAAAGTCGTATTTCTAAGGAATTCTTTACCTATATAATGATGTACATTATACCCAGTCCTGTAGTCTTTGAATGGGCTCGTGCTTTAAGCACAAGATGAACATAACAGCCATACTGGGTCAGACCAAAAGTCTATCTAGCCGAATATCCTGTCTTCTGATGGTGGCCAATGCCAGGTGCCGCAGACGGGCTGTCCACAGAATCTGGGTTCCATTCCTACTCTGCCATAGACTTGTATTGAGAGCTTGGGAAGTCACTTAACTTCTCTGACCCAAATCAGCCCTGCTGTATCATCACTGAATTCAATTGAGTCACACCAAGGATGAATTTGGTCCTCTTTGCAGTTTTCCCCCATCTGCAAAAGGATGATAATACCTGCATCTCAGTGGGGTTAGGACACTTGGTTCAGTAACGTTTGTAAAGTGCTTGGAGGGCCTCTGATTATAAGGCAGTAGCAAATGTGCTCGGTGCTGTGCAGGCAGAGCTCAAGATTTTCAAAACTGTGTCTCAAGTTAAATACCTCCATATGTGGGCTGATTCTCCAAAGCATGGCACATCTTGAAGCTGCACACATTGCAGGAAGCTTCAGGAAAGGAGATACCTGCACGTCTGTGCATGCAAGGCAGTTCATTCTGCAAAATGGCTTCTGCGGCTCTTCTCGTTCATTCAGTCCAGCTCCATTTTGCTACTGATCTCAGCTGAGCTATCATGTGACCACTGTTCCCTCTAAGCAGTGCGCGTGTGCGCACACACAGCGAAACACCACGCGCACAACAATTTGCACAGAAGAAATTTTTTGCGCACACGGCCTGTCAAAAATTAGAGGGAACATTGCATATGGTCTGCATAACCATCTTCTTACCTCTTCCAAAAACACGGCTCAGGATGGCTTAACCAAATGATCATCACATGTTACTCTTAGGCAGCACTGAATGAAACTGTCCTTCTGCCTTGATCATTTCACTGTGACCACCTCACATTTGGGAATTCGATATGGAAATTGCCCTTTGATTTTTACATGAGATAAAACTCCCTCCTTCATATCTTTGAAACTAGAAACTCAATCTTCTCCCTTGTGATTGAACCATAGGATTATTCCAGGACACGCCTTTGTGTCTGATCTTCAAGTACAGAGTTTTTGTACCATCTTAATCTGCCTTGGCTATAGAAATAGGTCCCCTAATCCTCTCTCGAGCGCCTCTATCTCCCAGTAGATAAAAGCAGCCTTTGTGAATCTCAGCTGTCCCGTGTACTGGAGCATGAGAACTCTAAGTGGATTTCAGGTTTGTAAAAGAAGCAAGCATGAACTCCGTGGAGAAATGATTAGTAAATAGCAGCTTGAGCATGTGTGCACCCAGATTTATATTGGACTGTCTCTGAAATAGAACTGTGTCCAAATCCTGTCACTTAATTGAATGTAAATCGTGACAATCACTAATACTTCTTTAAAATGGTCTTTATATAAATAGGAAGTGATGAAGAATAAAGCAGCTGTGGCAGAAGCTGATGTCCTATAGCAAAACAGGTGGAGAAGAGATATAGCTGGAGACTGCCACAGCTCCTCTTAGGCACATTTTGTTCATCTCCTGTTCGTTTTGATTAGTGGGTACAGCTCTGTGCCACAAACGAGCTGTGGAAATCAAATGCTGGTCTGTGTCTCTGACAGCAGTTCTGATCTTCCTGCCCTGATCCATAGCCCTAGGCTGCCTTTCCTGTTTTCATTGCTAAAATGGCAAGCTTCAAATAGTACATAGCTATCTACTCCTTGTCAGTGGAACTCTTAGGTTTTTTTTTTTTTTTAATGCTGCTTTGTAATGTTCTTGTCTTTTAGTCTGATTAAGTGAATTTTTGTCTCAGATACTTAGGGCAATAATAAACTGCACTTTTCCTTTAATCAAGCATACATCGGGGGCAGGTAATGGCAATGGCTGCTGCTGTTGCCTGATTTTCCCCTTGGCTGCCCATCAGCGTTACCTACATTCCAAGGCACTCATCTTGCTCAGTAATCACGCTTGGAAATCCTGAACAGGTGGTGAATTGTCCTTCCCTTACTACAACTTCAGTTTATTACTTACCATACCCAGTAGTATAGCTGAGAGCATACAGTCCCTGCACCAAAGAATTCACAATCTGATATCCAACATGATGTAATAAAATGGAAGGGGAGCAGGGGGTGGAGGAGCAGGGGGAATAGCACTAAGATGACTGTGGCTATTCACCAAAGGCATGTCCACACCCTGAGGGAGAAGACAAGGGTGAGGTTTTTAAAATAAAGGAATGTCTGACTGTGGGTGTCAGTGGAAAAGCCACTCTTGAGTGGAGTTCGGAGTGTATAAAATATGGAACTACCTTGTTTAGTGAACTCAGTTTGTATGTACCATCTCTTTATAAACAGAATGATTGGGTAGTAAGTTAACTCCTGCCATTAAGTGGGAACCCAGCACGGTACAAGTAACCTCCACCTTTACGTTACAGCCCTCCTACACCTTCCGCTGTCAGCTTGGAAAACTGCCTTCAAGCCACTGGCTCCTCAGACAACCATGCTGAAGAATTGTGTTTAATTATTTGTTGATTGCAGTTGCCATCTGTGGGGGGAGAGCTTTTCTCCAAGCTCTGCTACAGCTTGTTCCACAGCTGTACCTCTCTATGAGGGAGCAGTATCATTTCCCCTTTATGATCACCTGCCTGCGAGGTAGCCACACTGATTATTTATGTGGCCCACACAGGTACAAGGTGCTTTATAAACATACAGAATGGAAGGTCAGGCTCTCAAATGCTTTCCCGATAGCATGTTGTTTTTATAGTCATGTTCCAAAAGGCTTCAGTGAACTATGGCATTTAGGCCATTGCTGTAACCTTTGTGTAAAGCAGATACGAGTAGGTAGAGCTTGGAACTACAAGGGTTGCAGTGGTGGTCCCTCATGTACCAGCTCTCCTTTCCCCCAGTGCTACCTACGCTGAAGCCTGCATCTTTAGCAGTATGGTGGCCTGGCTGCCAGCTGCTTCCTCTCCTGCCTCCACACCGTCCCTCTGCCCTCCCCCACGAGCAATGCTACTAGTTCTCCTCTCCCCCTCTTTTTTTTTTTTTAAATCCAGCTTGAAGGAGTTAAGCTGATAGGCAGCAGCAGCAGCAGCAGCTAGTGTGTCCATGCATTTCAGCGGGACTTGTGCTAATACAGCCAGGGCACCTGATGAAAGTCTCTTCTTTCCTTCTGCAGTGACTGCCGGCCAGCCTATGTTTCCCCTCAGGGCCGGAACGATGAGCTGGCAAAGAAGTTTTGGAATGTCAGTTGCGAGCTGCTGGGCGTCCAGTGGGACTGAACTGTCAACCCCGATCTCTAGCTGGATGGGCCTGGATTTGATGATCTTAAGGAGCATTTTGCTTGGGTAGAGGAACACAAGCAACCGTGCACCCTGCCTGGCACTTGCAGCGGCTCTACCAGTGATTTTATAGACACTATTGCCCTTAAACTTCTGAGATATCTTATGTTTTAAAAGAAAAGGTGAGATTATTGCCCCACTCATCCCTCTTTCCTAACTGGAGGCTCAGGCCAAAGTGCAGTGACTCAGGGCTTATCCTTTCCCCGCCCCAGCTTCCATTCCACAACACATTCTTCCCCTGGTTCCCTAATAGAAGTGGAGGCTTTAGGTCAGTTAGGTTTCTGTACAAGTCAATTTAGAAATTTTGCTTTATGCTTATGGAAGAGTCTTTATGCAGCAGTAGTAACCAGACTGGTTGAGAGTTTCCTTCAATATATGCTCCACTGAGTCACTTGTCTCTGCTCCACTGCTTGGAAGGGGATCCTAAAGCTGCAGCAACCCCCAGCTTAAAGGAGCAAGTCTTAAGTGATCCAAGTGCTGAGGCCCCTCAGGATTGTTAATCAAGTGTATTTCAGTAGCCCTTGTTGATGCAACCAGGCTTGAGAACCACTTTGTGCTAGGCACAGCATAAACTGCCACATGTACCTTGTAGGTGGTTTTGGAATGCCAAACGGGAGTGGGGGAAGGGGGAGAAGAGCTGCCAGTAGAGAGAGTGAGCAGAGAATTGTGAGTGGTGTATAGGGTAGTGAGTAACAGAGTAATTCAAGCTGTGTCTGATCCATCCCTGCCACGTTTGCTGTCCTGATGGAGGATATTGGAATTGCAGCCATAGACAAAGGCAGGGATCATCCCTAGCGAGACAGCAATGGCCACATTAGCAATGGGGCAGGAAGGTGAGAGTAGAACCTAGTTTACATTGGCATTAAGTTTGCCTGCCCAGTAGTTCTAGGGAGAGGCTAGCCAAGGGTGGCATGTGGCACTTACAACACATTGGACACACCTGTTGCAAAGGGCAAGTAAAGTTGGTCATTGTTGCAGTCAAGCAGGCTCCAAATTCTTCCTACCCTGTGTGGTAACTGAGCTGCTTGCCTATAAGAGGTCATATTTTACACCTCATTTGACTTTTTCTGGAAGCATCCCATGGCTAAAATGTCACTGCAGTCAGGATATCACAGCTTGCAGGGCTGCCATTCAGTCCTGTACTCTGTGTAGTCACAAGTGAATGGCATTTTCTAGAAGCAGATGCCTAGTTCCTGAGTTAGGTTAGCACTACCAGCTCTCTCTACAGCAATGCTTGACCCTGCAAGTCACCACTGAGTTACCTCCAACCATGACATTACTAAATAAAATCATTCCTGTTTTACACTGTTACTCTACATCTTCCTTCTCATGTACTTAAGTTGTTCTTAAGTGGGTGGCAGTGGCATGCACTAGTTTCATGCATACAGCGTAGGAGTAAAATTAAATACAATATAGGCTGCATATTAGGAAATATTTCCTCATGGTGAAATTTTTTAGGTTGTGGAACAAGTCTTCCAACTAATTTAGATACTTAAAGCTAAACTAGGTTAGGAAGATTAGAGCATACAAAACAATTCTGCACTGGTTCCCTGGCTTAGAACTCCGCTACTGGGGAACAATCCTACACTGCCTTCTTCTTAGGTCGGGGTGGGCAAACTATGGCCCGGGGGCCGCATCCAGCCCTCCAGACATTTTAATTCGGTCCTCAATCTCCTGCTGGGGAGCGGGGTTCAGGACTTGCCCTGCTCTGGTGCTCCAGGCAGGGAGCAGGGTCAGGGGCTTGCTCCGCTCCGTGTGGCTCCTGGAAGCAGCAGCATGTCCCCAGTCTGGCTCCTATGCATAGGGGCAGCCAGGGGGCTCCACACACTGCCCCTGCCCCAAGCGCTGCCCCCGCAGCTCCCATTGGCCAGGAACCGCAGCCAATAGGAGCTACAAGGGCAGTGCCTGCAGCCAGGGCAGTGCACAGAGCTGCCTGGCTGTGCCTTCGCACAGGAGCCTGAGGGAGGACTTGCCACTGCTTCTGGGAGCTACTTGAGGTAAGCACTACCTGGAGCCTGGACCCCTGATCCCCCTCCCGTGTCCTGGACCCCTGCCCCAGCCCTGATTCCCCCTCCCCCTCTGAACCCCCCGGTCCCAGTCCAGAGCACCCTCCTGCACCCCCAACACCACCCCAGAGCCCTCACCCCCTCCCATATCCCAACCCCCAATTTCATGAGCAGTCATGGCCTGCCATACAATTTCCATACCCAGATATGGCCCTCGGGCCAAAAAGTTTGCCCACCCCTGTCCTAGCTGTTTTCCATAACAGATGGTGACCCAGACCAGTTCCAAACAGAAAAGCTGAAGAGGGAGAGGCCACCCAACTATGCTAGAGGTAAAGAACAGAGCAATACACAAAAGAGGGACTGGGGCAAGTGACCTTTGCTGATAATACTTTATTTTCCTTTGTTCATTGTAAACAAATTATAACTGTTAACGGACAAATGGCTCTTTCAACTACTACTAGTGTTCAATCCATTTTTATGCTTTGGGTTTTTAAGCCCAACATTAACTGCACTACTCGTGACAAGTCTTTTAGGATCAGGGCCAAAATTCCAGTTCTAGTTCTGCTGGTAAGAAAAAGATCCTTAGAATTCTAAGTTAAGCACTATCAAAATTGCAACAAACATTAGATAAAGTGCGTAAAATAAAGTGCAAAGAAGTCAAGCAGAAAGACAGGCACAAGAATGGCTGGACTACCTGGCAGGCACCATTCTTTCCTTCTATAATGTTCAAGTTCCTCTCACAGATGCATACAGAATGGTATTTACTGCATCAGTGGACACAGTACAGACCTCTCTACCCATATTTATTTATAGATTTGGTATCAACCCAGGTCATAAAAAGTATCACACCCAACAAGACAAGCCTAACCCCTGGAGCACACTGCAAGGCCAGTTCTGTCTGGCTGAGACAATAAAAGCAGCTTTTATGACCCTTACTAATGGGATCTCTGAGATCTGGGGTTAGGAGATTCTGGAAGCTAAGTGTGGTCATCCCGGATTCTAAGATCGGAGCTATTTCTAACCCCAGATCCAATGAGCTAATTATCTCCAGCAGGGAGAGAAGTTTGAGTCAGTGGGACAGTGGTCATGAAACACTCAAAATGAGGTCAACCACGTCCTTTTCATCTCATTGGAGGTCTGTGGTCTATCACAAGGACTCTATTTGCCTGCTTAGCTTACCTTGTACAATGGAATTAGTTATATTACACTTCCAGAAACTAAACATCTTTATAGATTTCATTTGGCTGTAAGCGAGCCAGCTGACTGTAATACACTGGGAGCTACTGAAAGGGAAATTGAGTTGCCCATCTCTAAATGTTAGCAGTCTACATCCATTGCACTACAAGCATGTTGTGGGCTGCCAAAGTTAAGGAACTTCTTTTTAAACCATCACTCATTTCTGCTTCTTCCATTCTCTGCTGCCTGTTTCTCCATCCTACTTTTCCCTCTTCTCTGATTATCAGCTGCAGAGAAGCAGTAGCCAAATCCAAATGCCCCTGAACAGAATCACTTTCCACCAGAGAAACATGCTGTTAAATGAAGTAGACCAGGGGAGCGTGGCTTTTGGTCTGTTTCTAGTCAGCAGCAGACAACTGGGGAAAGAGATTCTGTGCAGCAGCAACTAATACAGGGACATCACTTGAGCTATAGGATGCCTGTTGCCTGCCAGTCCCCAGTGTATTCCAGACAGTCTGAGCCATTTTTTCACCCCAGGAACAAATGGGTGGTGGTGGTTCTATTTTAAAGTATATAACAATTCAGTCCAAAATGTTTCACTTTGTCAGAAGGGGAAAGATTGCTTTGGTAAGGACACTCATTGCATGGTTCAGCAGTCTATAACTTTGCTGTGTGATTAAATTTCACCATTTTAACCCTTTTATAAAAGCAAGGTGCTTTCCCTATAGTGCAAGGGGTGTATAGCTCAGCTTGTTTACACTATGGAAAAGGACATAAGAGTCCTTGCGACTATCCAATGACAGTTGTATCACAGCAGTTTAATCCACTTAGTGGATTAAACTAGGGAAGCAAGAGGTAAAACAATTCTCACAGACATTCTTATCCTATTTCAAGCTTTTCCCCCTTGTACTGCATCCCGTTCCAATTACATCCATCCATCCAAGGGCCCAAGCAGCAGGCAAACACTTGTCAGTGATTTCAGCATAGAGACACCTGCCATATACAACCAGCCATTGCCTTTCAAACCAACTAAAGGATTTGCACATACTGTGCTAGTGTAAAAAACTTAGTGATAATTAGTATAGATCTTTAAAAAGTCACCTCAAAAGTTCAGTCCCAAGTCTATGTAAATGGAAACAAAACTCTTCAACCATTGCAATGATAGATCCATTATAAAATGGCTCTGGCTAATAGAAATCAAAGAGATTTATGTTTCAACGTACAGTGAGCTGGGATGGGATGGGATGGGATTTGGTCATCAACTATACACAGGTTTACTGGGTTAAAACAAACCCATGGCAAAAAAGAGTGCAACGCCTCTTGGAAAGAGGAGAAAAGTGCGTTTCTCCATAATCCTTAGTCTTGCTTGTTCAGGTTTAAAACACACAGAAAACACCCTGAGATATAGATTGTTGGTCATCAGAACACAGGATTGGCACTTGTATTCCTTCCCTTTAGCTACAGGCACTCTAGCAGCTCCTGCTTGCCACTTCACTCTCACTGAGAGATCACCGAGCTGCTCTTCTCTGTGCCATATGAAGTCTTCCCTTTATGGATGCTGGTGCCTGGTAGTTATTTCCTAGTGGTCTGGGTGAACCTGCTTTTTTGTTTGGACTGGTGCACTGAAAGCCACTGGGCACAGATGGCTTGCACAACATCTTCCCCGCTGTTCTCGGCCAACTGCCGCACATGCTGCACCAGCTGCACGGCTCTGGTATTCTCTTGTCTCACGGAGACCAGGTAGGCAGAACGCAGCTTGTTGCACATCAGGTAGGCTTGGATCTGAAGCAATAAAGAAAAGTGGTTGTTCACCACAGCCTCCCAGACTGAGTTCTAACACACAGGTAGAGGTGAGGGCTCATTGGGAAATCTAGTTCAGTAGGCTGTACTATTTAGAGAGGGTGTGCATTGTGATGCAGAGGATAGGATGTAGCACAGGCCAGGTTCTGCTATAAGAAGTGTACTACAAAGGGCCAGTGCATTAGACTTTTTAAAATGTAAGCCTCTGTCACTGGCTTTTAGAACTTCTTTGGATGCTGATCATCATGGAACCAAAAATCAGGATTCTTGCATGTGTAGTTCATGCTTGAAAACCTCCATATCTGAACAGCAAAGATTCACAGAGGCATTCTGCCCATGGCCTAGTTCTTTCAAAAGCTCACATTAGGGTCACTGTAGCATTGAACTTAATGCAGTGACAGAAATCAAATCAAATTTCTCAGAACAGCATGTCTGGTGGTCAGAGCAGGAGAGTGGGAATCAGGACTCTTTGAGTCAAGTCCCAGCTTTGCCACTGGTTTGAATGTGACCCTGGAAAGTCATGTGACCTCTGGGCCTCCGTTTTTCCATCTGTAAAATGGGAATAGAATCTATTTATCCATTTGTGAATGTAAAATGATTTGAGAGCCTTATACTGAAGACAGTAGAGAAGTGCAGTGTATATAATTAACAGAAGCCATGTATTTCAGTCTTAGCATAGTCTACAAAGAAGAGAAATTACCAAATTGATCAGGTAAAGGACGGTGTGCGCCTACCACAATGGCAATAATATAACACTGGAATAATAATGAGCTCAATGCTGGTCTCCCTAGATGCACAGAGATCCCCATCAGCTGCTTGCTGCCATGGGAAATTAAGTGCACCTATGAGAAAATAGGTAGGAAGAACCAAAAAGAACCAACTGAATCTTTGCATTGCTTTTAAGTCCCACACAGTAGCTCTCAGAGACCTAAGGGTCTCTAACTTTTGGGTACACTTCACTCCCAGTGATGGGGAGAAGAGATGAGATCAGGCACTTACAAGGTATCTAAGCTCAATCTTGAGAAGCTTTGGTTTCATAGCGTTCCCACAGCAAGCTAAGGGTTTCCCATTACACTTTACTCACCTTGTTTTCGTCGCTGTCCATATCCTGGATCAGATTGTCCAGATCCTATACCCCAAAGGGGAAAAGCAGGTGACAATTAGAGGACTGTAGATTGCAAACCATTATAGTTTTATAGCCTAACAGATTAAAACATTGCACAGATGAAATTACAGCAAGGTGTTTAAATCATCTCAGCCATCAACTGTCCCAGTTCCTGAGGCGCCGGGTACTAAGCCCAAATCTTCCCTTTTACTGCAGCTTACCTCCTGGCCCAAAACCAGTGTCGTGTCTTCAAGGAACTCCATGAGGGCAGCTTTTCCTCATTAGGACTTCCTGCCCCCCTCTACGCAGTGGTAGCTTCATGGAGGTCTTTCGGGTTCCCTACCTCCACACACACACAGAGCAATGTAAAGGCTTTGTGATGGGCAGGGCAATCTTAACGGGTGGCTTCCTATACAGGCAGCAATTCTTGAGGGCACACATGGCTGTGCTCCCTCTACCAGCAAGGGATCTTCATGGAAAGACACTCCTCCTCATCCCAAACAGCAACGTAAGGGAGGATCCCACTGGGTAGAAGGATCTCTCCTGCGTGCCACTTGCACAGCACCTTGCTGGGAGATTTGAGGGAAAGGACCCTGTAGCTAGACAATCACACCCCCCAAATAGCCATTTCCCTTTGCAGATGCAAACTGATTTCTCTGGAGATAGAACATGTAAAATAAGGGGCCAGAAGAGGTTGACAGCATGTCTCAATGCATGGTATGGATGCTGAGAGGCAAGGGACTGTCCCCTTTCTAGACTATCCCACCTCAGAAGACGGTGCCATGGGGGCAGCATTACCTCAGAGGGGATATCCTTAAACTCATCCAGGCAGTTTAGGATGATGATATCCCCGTCATTTTTGGCTGCAACTCCAGACTCATTGACGCATTTAAGGAGCTGCCGGATCTCACTGTAGTTCTGCTGCTTCACCAGCACCTTGGCCACTTTACTGTACACAGCTGCAGCCTCCAGCTGGAAGTCCTGAAGTGGGAAAATGGAAAGCATCAAAGCAGCATGTTCAGTCATGGCAGATTCTACCAAGCCTGCCCAGAGGAGGAGCACTGTGCTGCTAGAAGAACAGAATGTGGCTCAAGTACAGTCCACACTGCTCTAAAACGCAGCCCATTGCCACCCTCATTTTCCATACAGAAGTACAGCCCTCAGGGCAAGAGGGCCAGCATGCCACTTTGCTTGTGAAGGCCAGGTCACTCAGATCACAGTGGGACCCTAGTCTCCAGAGGCCACTCCTCTGCACTGAAAATCTGGGCAGCTGCAGTCTGTTCCACTCCATGCAAGGCAGACTCTCCCCTTGCACTCCCACCAAGTTACTAATGTGGGTCCTTCTCAGCTAAGCACCTGGGCTACTAGTACCAGGCTGGCAAGTATCTCAGCCTCAGCCATCCACACATGCTGGAGAGACACATTTCCAAAAGAACAGTTTCCAATTAAAACTTTCTGCTCCCTGGATGAGCACGCTCTGGGAATAGCATTGTGCCAGCTCTGGGCCTGTTTCTTCACTGCCTCCATATCCTGCGCAGTCACTGACACCTGTGCAGAGTGGGTGTCAAATGCTACCAAATCTGAATTCTCCATTCAGACCTGGGGTAGCACTTTGCACAGGGTGAATGACTGAAGAAGGTGCAAGGCAGTGGAGAACGCTGCTTGGTTACTCTGGGAGAGCAGCAGGGAGGAAGGGAATGCATTGCTAACTCTGTGGATGAACAAGGAGGCAAGTTAATTGGCTCTGAAGAGACCAGACCCATCTCTCAGGAGAGCAGGCAGTGCCCTAGTTTTCCTCTTCATATGGTGCATGGAGCCCCTTCCTTCACTTGTTCTCTCCCATCAGGGTGCCCCCTCTCTAATCTCCTCTCCTTCAGTGGATGAGTGGGCACCAATTTATTCAGATGCACAGCAAGACAGCCTTCTGGCTGATCTAGAGATCTCAGAACTGCCAGCATGACACTGAGACACAGACAGGGGAACCTTGAAAATTAAGCTCTACTCCCTCCCACACTCACAGCCTCCCCCAGCTTAATTGGATCTGGAAGTTGACGTCAGTGACTCTCTAAACTAAAAGCTGGCCAGGCAGTTCATTTCCAGGGCGGAGAGGGGTCTCTGACAATGCATGGAGGTTTAGAAGCTACATAATTGATTGGTCTGTATTTTACACAAACATGGGGACTGATCTGAAACTTGTGTTTTCCCCACTTGATGCAAAGGGTCTGGTAATAAACAGTGGTGCTTTACAGGAGTGAGATCAACCTTACATGCAGCAACTTCTTAGGTTTTCCATACCTGGAGGACTCTGAATGCAATTCCAAAACCTTCTTCAATGTTCTTCCCTTCCAGCATGACCTGTGAAGAAATTTCCAACATTAGACATAGGGGAAAGTGAGACATTCCCATTTGGTTATGTGTAGAAAACTCACAAGGAAATGAAGTCACTTGTACAAAGTAGCCCAGGTATTTTACTGCCTCTTGCCTGAGTTCAGCACTGCAATACCGTTTGTCAAAAGGCAATTTACCGCCTTGTTAAGAAGTATCTCTAACAATGGGAGGCAGCATGATCCAGAGAGGGAGAGGCAAAGAAATGAGTTCTGTTGTCAGGTGCCCCATGGTAGTCAAGTTACTTAAACTTCTCTCCACCTGTAACATAAGGATAAGGATACTTACCTACCTTTAAAATGCACTGAGAGCTACAACTGGAAAGTACCTTATGTATTATTTGAGAGTCCAGATGAGTGCTCCAGGCCCCCAAATCATCCTTTAATCCACAGAGCAGGTCAAGTTAAGGCAGCAAATGTTATGTTTTAAATAGCAGCTAGTACCTTGCCAGCTACATCCATCTTCATGTGATTGTTTCCAAAGAGAGTGGGCAAGGTTGAGCCAGTTATCTGAGAGGTCCCTGAACTCTCACACCGATGCAGGAACTTGGTGACTTCCATCTGTAGCTCAACTGTATTGATGTGCCTAGATTGGGAAAAAAATTCTCATTTATCTGGGTACAGAGACGCATTTACACAACTATTAATGAAGTGCACCATCCACAAATTATTACATTACTGAAAGTGTCTCAAAAGGTAGATGTGTCTCTAACAAAATTAAAAATGGCTATTTTAGCTGCTGTTTGACTTGGGCATACAGTAATATTAACGTTAGCTCCTTCTGTCTCACCCCATCTGCAGCACTGAAGTGCCCTCCTGAACTGCATAGGAAACATGCATTACGAGTGCTCACGTGAAGTTCAGCGTTACACACACCGACCAGCTGTGGATCTCTAACAACAACTCCCAGACACGCACAAAAAGACTAATTTTTATTAAGCTGCAGCCAAGTGTGAAAAAGTTTCAGTAACTTTAGATGAAAATAAACCTTAAAAAAACTGTAGTTATAGACACCCCAAAAGTTAGAAACAGAGGACTAAACTTCTAACAACATTTTAAAGTTTGGAAATTCAGTTAACCATCTAACTCTTACTTCTAAGGCTCGCATCTAGCTCTGCTACTATACAGGTAATAAGTTTAGCAAACAAAATGTAAACTGTATAGACTATATCGGTTTTGCCTACATACAGGAGGGTAGATGGTACAGGGACTGACATTCTGTCACTTGAGACTTGTCTTGACCAGGAAGAGCGGTGCTTCCCGTATACCACAGTAGGAAAAAGGTCAATTTTGGGCTGGGTTTAGCTAGAGTATGTGAGCTAAGCCCAACCTAAACTCAACCAGTTTTCCTCATCAAGACAAGTCTCAAGTGCAACCTCATTCCCAGAACTTCATTTCCTGTTTTGCAGATACCTTGATACATCAGTGGCTGTCATTTTCTTCCGAAAAGTGCAAGCAGCTTTTTTCCTTCCGGAACTCCTTGAAACCTCCTGCAGGTAGATTTTGAGGTGGTCCTTGACCTTCAGGAGCCATTTCTGTTGGCCTCCCAGCTCTGTGTAAGACTTTGCCTTGTGAGTGAAGAATCTAATGCAGGTCATGGCAGCACGGACATGATCCTTGAACAAACAAGTAATGAACTTTTAAAAGGGGGATCATTTGACAACAAGGCTAAGACCTATGATGTTGAGAAACACTATAAGAATCTCAGAAGCGGAGAAGACTGAGAGCATCCATAGGCAGAACATCTTCAGAGCTACTTTGACTGTTGGTACTAAAATGCTCACACAAAGCAAACATTATGGTTCCCTAAGAGGACATACAATTAAAGCAACAGATAAGATGGTGCAACAAGACCAGATTCATGACAATAAGCACAGCAGATATGAATAGACAGTATTGCCTGGAGTCTTCCTAAGATCAGAAAAGTTCCTACCAGCTTATATTCAATAAAAATTAAGCAAGCAAAAGACATACTATGTATCCGCAAAGCACAAGGACTTCAGTTAGAAAATGCGAAACAGGAAACAACTGCAGACATGGACTCTGCAGTTACTCTCTCACTTAAAAAGAAAAGGAGTACTTGTGGCACCTTAGAGACTAACAAATTTAGTTGAGCATAAGCTTTCGTGAGCTACAGCTCACTTCATCGGAGCATCCCAGGGAATTCACAGAAAACATAACGTGACCAAGGCACAGAGTTTAACACCCAAGTAAAACTGCTGAATAGAGTGATACTATTCACTATTTCAGCAATAAAGGGGGGGCCACACACCCCACCCTTACCTTCATAAACTGCTGCAGTTCATACAGAATGTGGTAGTAGTTCTTTTTCTGCAAGTGTTTGCAGGCTGCAATCAGGTAGATGCCCCAGCTCTCCAGACTTGGATCAATGGTTTCCAGCAAGTTCTCCAACATGTGCAGTTTCCCACTTTTATAACTTGGGACAAAGATCCCTTCAATGAACACTTCCGGTGGGCTCTCCTACAGTGGGAAGAAGGAAGCTTGAGGTGAATCAGCTCCAGGAATTGGCTTTTCTCTTGCTACTGAAGGGAATACCAGTGACAGAGAGGTTAACCCTACATTCTGAGCACAGGCAGGCACCCAGCAAATTGCTGGCTTTGAACTGTTTTTTAAAGGGGTGCTACCATGTTGTTTAATCACTGCATTCAGGGTAGTGACTGGGTTTGCTATTTTTTTTAAAAACCACTGCACAGCACAAGTTACAGAACCCAGTATGCACAGAAATGTTTTAACAAAAAATACATTTGGTGGAAACAGGTTAACTTTTCAGTGGAATCCTTCCCCTGCAGTGGTGAGAGCCTCAGCACCAAAACAACCTTGCACTGCTGTAAGAGAACCGGAAAGTGAGAACTGCCATTTGAAGCCTCTCTGTCCAAGTTGTGGTAGGAAGTTTTCAAGCTAAAATTGTTTTGAATTACCTGAAAAATTTTACTGGTGGAAAACTGCTTGTGCACCACTGGGCACTCAAAAGCAAGCAGATTTTCTTTAAAAAACAAAACAAAAAACAATTCACTTCTAAGCTAAGAACAAAAAGGATATGTTCAAAAGGTAACTGAGAATAAGGGCTTTGAAAGGACCTTCTCAATTCTAACTACAGCAATCACACTGGTGATAATAAAGAGAAACCAGAGCTGATAAGGCCACTTAAACAATTACCTATTAATAAGCCAGTTAACAGATTGGGGATAATGGAGTTAGGTATGTCAATCAGTATGTTCTACATCAAATGTATTTCAATTCTAATAGGCCAACGAACCAGCTAAAATCCCACACACTCTAGAAGTTTTAAGTATTTTTCAGTAGCTTTCATGTTGGTAAGAGCTGGTGGATTGATAGTACTGGAGGAGAACAGAGAATGGCTCTCTTCTCTAGCCTTCCCTACTTTGGCAAGGGGATGGGGCAATAATAATTTCAAGATGGAACAGTGCTGGTTAATGTTCTACATGACACAGATGTTCAGTCATTTGGAATAAATCCACAGAGAGACTGGACAATGAGAACATAAATAGTGAAAGCTCAGAGGAAATAGAGCATGCTGGAATTTGAATTCAGTCATTATATATACTGTATTATCCTGGTCACCATCTTGGATTTGCTTGGAAGGGAGAAGTCCTCCTAATGCTTTCAGATCTCCAATTTAGATGATACAAGAGCAGATTCTGACACTGCCAGCAGAATTCTTTACTCACCTTATTTAACAAATGCAGAAGTGCTTCTCGCATGCAGTCATGTCTCATGTAGAAGCTAATGATTGCTAGGTTGGTGCCATAAGTGTGTAAATAGAACAAGCACTCCTGATAGTAGCTGTTGTGTTGGATCTTCCCTTCGGACATCATCTCCAGAGACAGGCTTCGTGTCCTCAGGGTTGCTTCCAGGTCTCTCAATGTGGCAAAGTAGTCATCATCCTGCTATTAAGACAGAGAATCAATGACATGGGACTGTCCAGGAACGATTAACAGGAAGACTATTCTGCAGAGTCTCCCTGGGGTTAGTGCGTATCAGCCAACCCCCTCTCTTTTTCTACTGTGATATACATGGGATGAAACTCCAGCCATATTACTGGATAGGGAAACTGTATTCAAACCTTGCTAGCAGCAATGATGCTTAAACATGACTGTAGCTACTGTGGTTCTGTTCCCAATATGAATGGGTCCTTATAGGAGGTTTGTTTTTTTAAAGATATTTCCACTGCTGATAGAGACTTCTGATAAAACAGCAAGTCAGAGACTAAAATGCATATTTGCTGAAGACCAGAAATTTTAGGAGAACAAATATAATCATAGGGGGAAGCCCTCTTGGGATAGCAGTTTACTTAAAAATTCAAAGCTTCAATTGGGGCCTGAATTTTAGTTAGTACCTAATTATAGCTTACAGTAAACTCAAACTATATAAATTCTAAAAGGAACATTTTCAATCTGGAGGTTCTGATGTCTCAAGTTTCACCCTCAACTATTACATGACTATCAGAAGTTCTTGACAAAAGAGATACGACATCACATTGTACAGATGGATGGAACTTAGTCTCTTCATAAAGACACTTTGTATGCTCTGTAATAAAGATATAAAAACTTGGTTTAATTACAAAATCAGTGCCAATCAAAAGAGACTGAACTTCCACCTGCAATGGATAAGGGTTTTTTGGTGGTGGTGGTGTTAAAGCAAATCTAGTGCTGGCAACAGATTCTGAATTGTGAGTCTGGGAAACTAAAGTTCTCCAGCCACACAACACAGAATTGATACCAAAAATGCAGGCTTCTTAATAATGACCTTTGTCACAGTACCATAAGTTAATTTGGAAGGGCTGCACCAGTGATGGTGGAAGGAAAGAGGAATGTCTCTTCTAGGACTCATACAATCCTTGCTGCCTCTGAGATCAACAAGGGGGGAAATTAGTGCCACTTCTGATACATAGTGACATGGACACCAGTTCATTAAGAACTAGACTGAGACCTCCACCCCATTTCACACTGGCCTCCAAAGAGCAGTCAGATGTGCTTCTGCATTACTGCATAACCTTCAAAAGATGAGCTTCTTCCCCATTTACTGGGCACAACACTACACAAACAGAATCCCATCATTCTGCTCTCAGTCACTGACTGGGGGGGTGCAGCCAGTGGGGCTTCTGCACAGGCTTCAGTATTTGTGGTGCAAATCCTCACACCATCTGCTCCAGATGCAAATCATGTCAAAAAGACAAAAGCAGCCGCAAAATACTACTCCAGCATTAACCCCTATAATATGCTATGGATGTCCCCTCTCCCTCGGTTGAATCATGTTCTTCCTAAAGAACTGTGCCAAAGCCTCAGGACTTTGACAGTTTTGGTACAGTTCTCCAGAACAGGTAGAATAGCCTCTTACCACCAGGAGTATGGGTTTCACAGTGGACTCCAGATATTGTATCACATCTTGGACTAGCCTTGAGCCATGATTCAACTGGTTCAGATCAAAGGGTGGCTTTAAGCATCGGCTGAATTTCTCTCTTGCTGAACTTAAGTTCCCAGCTTTAAGGCAAGCCATACCCCAGGCATGCCATGCGCCACCTGGATCCAGCCCAGTCTTTGTAGAAACCTAAACCCCAAAGCATTAGTTAGTAGTACATAATACAGAGACAGCACAGGAGAAGCAGATAATTACACTCCTAATCTAAATCAGGGACCTTCCATTGCCCAAAGAAGAAATGTCTTCTTGTACACTAAGAAATGCCTTTATCAGTTCCACATTAGTGACCTTAAATACTAGCTACTGAACTACCCACAAACTCTGATTATGGAAGGATTTTCCGATTGCAAATGTAATGGAAGAGTTTAATCAATCACTGGTCAAGGAAAGTTCAATCCAACAGTTTTTACATTCATAAAGGTAAAGTAATTTTCCCCTTCATAGTAGATTTTATATAGTTTTATTACAAGAACAGAACAACACTAAACAGGTTTGTGGTTTAGAAAGTGATATGAAGTGTTAGTGGTTTTCTGTTTATAGACTTGCTGATGCTTCATGAAAACATTTTGGCAACATTCATTTTCACACAAATCTGCTGATAGAAAACTTCATCCCACAGTTTCTTTAGCAGAGATGTTTGCATGTAAACAGAAACCATTTTTGTTTAACAGTTCATCTGCTCATGCTGCTTATTCCCTACTAGAAATCCTAATCCTGTTTGTGTCATCATAATCCTCTTCATAATAATTGTGATGCCACAACCAGAGGCTTATGAAATCAAGGGGGTAGGGAGGCAAAAAGCAGAAGATAAGCCATATGACCAGATGAGCTGTCAAGGTTTATCATTGTCTCAGTGAATGTTTTTCAAAGTTGTCCGTCCTAGCAGGCCTCTGAGATCCTTAAGTAGAAATCAAATCACAGAAAAGAAAGATCTATTAGGCTGAATGTCCTAGCTCCCCTACCAATGCAAGGTTGTTCCTGACGGTGCATTTTTAGTTTTTTGCCTGTCCTAATTGGAATTGGATGAAATGATGGGGTTCACGTCACTCCCCTTGGCAGACTGTTCCCAAGCAGAATGCAGCTCACTGTTAAACTGAGCATCTGAAAATATTTCCTAAGTTTTTCCTTTTTTAATCACATCCCATTGTACTTTAATATCAGAGATCACATAAATTAAGTTCAGTGGGGAAAGCAAGCCATCTAAGACGATTTTAAAAAAAAAAGGGGGGGGTTAACACCTTCATCCCCCCGTTATTGTTACCTCAACAGCTAACTGATAGTATTCTGCTTCCAAAAGCCGATTCCTTAGCCTCGTTACTGCTGCAGGCTGCAGAATCTGATCCAAAGATGGTACATGGCGATAGGCAGCAGCAACTAAAATATTCAGCACATCCACCTTGCTGATGTAACTGTTCGGAAGGAAGCAGGAATGAAGTGAGTGGGCACGTGCACACACAGCATATCACTATACTCTAAGGCTCATTAGCAAGGATCTTCAAAGCCCTTATGCCTGTAGTATCTTTTACATTGGTGATTCCCAACAACTGGTACTTCCAAATTTGTCTCTGGTACTCTAACTCTACTTCCCTTCCTTAATGCACTGTCCTAGAGCCATTTTGCTGCTCCGGCTAGCTACTTCTCATTCAACCAGACTGGCTAATACAGCCTGTGGAAACACTAACCAGTACTGTCAAGTCTGGTTTTGTGGTACATTTACCTGAACAGCTGGGACCCCTTGCATTGCACTTCCCACTCTATTCTGCCTTACACTGATGCCCCAGGAAGGAATAAAATTCAAATGCCTGACAAGTACCATTGTAAAAGCCTAAACTAAACAAGCGTCTGAAAACAAGCAAAATGTTAAGCTTAAAAAAAAATCTCCCATAGTAAAAGCAACAAGTTTAAACAGTCAGGGAGATTTATTCCCATCTACTCCAAGAGTCTAGTATTCCCAATAGTGATTTTGTGGATAAACAGGTCACTCTCTAGCCTCTAGAGAGGTTAGACCAGCACCATTCACCACCACTTTAATTCGTTAAAGGAAGGCTAAGAGCTCCAACGAATCCAAAAGGACAGCTGGCAACTTACCTGTCACACAAAGCTAGATCCTGGCTCCTTCCAGCTTTTACAAACATCATCTTGGCACTGAAAAGCAGCTGTTTCATGATGTCCATGAGAAGCCCAGCATCCACTTCAGGGTTAATCAGACCTTGGGACAATTTACAGCAGCACTGTATCAGCTGGTGGCCACATGCTGTGCTATCTGAGTGCAGACTGAGGATGGAAATACACAAGGAAGAACTAGGGGCCTGTCAATTAAGAGTAAAGAAAGACCCAAGAGCTTGTAAATGGACACTACAACAGCACTTAATAGAATTCTAAAGGGAACTGGTTACATTGGACTCACCTCTCTGTCTCTCAAGCTCTTACCTGTTCATAATAAAATTCGTTACGCACAATTTCATTTTCATCTTCACTCAGAGAAAGAAGCCACTCAAGTTCAGTTGCCTTGGGTACTCTCATCACTACAGAGCAATCCAAACCTCCGTTACCACAGGTCTGTACTGCTGAGAAAGAGGAATCAGTTAATCAAAATCATCCTGGAAGGGGCAGAAAATCAGGCAGAAAGCATGTCACAAAGTTATTCTGTATGCTTTATCATCAGAGCTACCTGTGCTGTTCTCAGCACACACTCCAGAAGTTAGAGGGATGAAACAATCTCACCTATACAACACGCACAGCACAGAACCACAGAAAGCAGCTATTGCATATGCTCAGTAGCAGATTTCCACTCCCAAACATCAATTTCTATACTGTCTAAAATATTTCCTCAATGAACACCCATATCCCCAATTCAGGGTATTTTTAACTCTTTTGGTGCCACTCCATTACAGTATACCCACCTTCTTTTTTGACCACCTGTGAGCTATAATATTTCTGTTTTTTTGTCAGAAGATCAGTGGAGATAAGTGCTCTGTGGGTGGTAGAAGGGAAGTCATTGAGTCTGAGAAGGGGAATGAATAAACGGATTATAGATGAAGCACTACATGACTTACCAACTTATTTATTTTCTTTTTAGGCTTTGCACTGATGGACTGTGCAGCCCAAAAACCTTAACTCAAATCTGGAAAAAAGTTCCAGTAGCTCTGGAGCAATGTCAAAACAGTACTGTTAGTTTGAGGGACCAGACCAATGAGTTTTTAAAGGTCCAGTACCTCAAAGTGAGATTGCTAAGAGTATCTGCTCCAATCCCTGGAAAGCTAGGGATCTCAGATTTCAAGTGATATATAGCATTAATTTCTAGCCCTGGTACTGTAATTCATGAGATATGGGAGCATGAAAACCAGGTCATTCTGATTACTATCTGGCTTTTTGGTCCCAAATTTAATTCTGAGCTGAGAATCTCTCCCATCAAAATTGACATATGCTGTAGTCAGACCAAAGCTGCAGGCCATCTTAAAGCAACTTGGGAAGCATTACCCTTCTGATGAAGTGATTTGAGATACTAGCTGCTAAAAGTGACAACATTGAGCCACAAAAGCCAACTAACACCCCCTTTCAAAATCCAAATTCTACACCAAGCAAAGTTTTTCCCTCAAAAGGGAAAAACGCCACAGACTCCACAAAGTCCACCAAGGACTATTTATGCTATGAAACTGTCTATTGCTATGAAACATACTCCGATTGTACCATGACAGGCAGCAGTAGAAAACCTTAAGATATACAGAAAATTATGTCCAAACTGAACTGGAAGATAACAGATGGCAATCAGAACAAGCCCATTTTAGAAGTGTGAGTGACATCTAAGTTCTTAATATCCTTATTCAGCAAAACATCCCCATAGTCCCATAAAGTCAGTATCACTTTGCTGCATCACTCTGCTCTGGTTCTTCCCCTGCTAAGTCTGAGGCTCTATAAGTCCCATGCAGCTGTCCTTGTTGCCATGTTCAAGAGGAGCTACACAAGTCCAATGAAATGATGTGCACTAAATACTGGACACAAATGAAAGACTGAACAAAGTAAAGAAGACAAAGATCTTCCAGCAGCAACTGACCAGAAGTTCCATTTTCAGTTGCTTCAGTCTGAAGTATTTATCTTTCTATTTATTAGACATCTGATACTAGCTGCTCTTCGCCTGACCATTGTAGCTCCTCTGGAGCACAGCAACAAGACCTGCTTTTGACAATAAACAGCCTGCCACACTTCACTGGGAGAGAGGAAAATACTAGCTTGTATTTATGGTTTGTGGAACTATTGAGAAGCTTTACAAAATTTTATGTTTTAACCTTAGTTACTAGAAGAATTTCAGTATTTCAACTAGCACCCATACTTTGTGGGCCCTTTTCTCATGACCTGCCAGACCTGGAAATGTTCTGGAAGACCAGAACAAATGCTTGCAAGATCCACAGGTCCTAGACCAGCAGCCAGAGAGAAAAATACTTCAACTTTTATAATGATGTACTTTGAGATCCTTTGCATGAAGATGCTTGAGAAGAGCAAAGTGCTTTTATAAATACGAATGAAGTCTCACAACAGTATTGAAAGATGGGGAAATTGAGGCACAGAGAGGTTAAGTGACTTGCCCATGGTCATACAATTAGACAGCGTCAGAGCTGGAATTGGAACCCAGCAGCTCAATCCTCAACTCCATTCATAGTTTCCTGCATGACTGACTTCAGACCAATGATATTTGAAAACAGTAGAGATTTTATTACTAGAAGTGCTGTTGGATCCTTTAGCTACAGCACAGCTTCCAGCTTATTGGCAATTGTCGTACAAAGATGACAATCGTACACATTAAAAGCAGAAATTGAACGTTACTTTGTTCTCACCTTCCTTCAAGTCTTGATCTTCCTCTTTTGTGCTGTAAAACAGAGAGACAGAAGCTTCACACCCATTCCAACACACTGAGGAAAGAGTGATTAAAGCCTGGCAGTTAAGAAAATGGCTCGTTCAATATTGCTAACATTTTCGTAGCATTAGTTATAAAAAATAATTGATGACCTCTCCCCTCCCCAAAAAATACACAGATGGAAAAATAAGTATGTGGCACTAAGAACATTTCACCAACATTAAATAATTATTCCTTATAACCTCCAGAAGGAAAGGTATTGTATCTATTAAACAGGCAGTAAGGAGTTAAGAGACTTGCTTAAGGGCAAAGAAGAAGTGTGTGTCAGAGATGAGATTAAAACTCAGGAGTTCCTGGCATCCAGTTCTCTGCTCTGCCCCCAGATTATGCTACCTCACACCCCCACACACCACCAGCCACAGTACAGAAAAAACAAGAAATACTCAAATCCTTTATCGTCCAACCTACTTGTCCCCCTTTGGCTTCCTTGCCCCACACAAACAAAATTTAGGGCCCTGTTAATATATTTAGAAATGCCACAAGCTCCCCTGATTTACTGCTCATTCTTCCCTCATGTACCATTTCAAAACTGCACTGTGCTCATCTCTTCCCAGTAGGTCCACTGATAGCAGGGCAGAGAGGTGACTGCTCTCCCACTTCTCCTCACCACACCCTCCACCAGCTCAGTGAGTCTGTATGAAATGAGTTTCAGTCCCATTTTCAGGGGAAAACATCCACATCACAAAACCCTTCATCATTACTGGCCCTTTCATCGGCAATCTCAATCTCCAAGGACTACTTAATCCACAGCCTCACTTCTGAATCCATGGAGGTGGCTCCTTCTGGTCAGATTAAAGCACAGTGCTTGCACTGCTGTACTTATGCTGTCTCACACACAAACAGAGCTGGGAAGAGGGGTACATGGAACTATGCAGAACTTGTATGCAAGGACTTACATGCTTGTGTCTTGGGCTAAGACAGGTGGACAATGCTTGCTGTAGTAGCTGTAGCACTGGTCACATACACGAGCCGGATTTTCTCTACAAGCTTCCACCACCATTTTCTTGGTAGAGCAAGAACTGCACACCAACCTCCCACAACGTCTGCAGTGATGGCGCCTATTAAACTGAGACACAAGAGAGGTTATGCTTAATTGGAAGAGTATAGTAGATTAGCAGCTGACATTTCCTTCCTTTATTAGAGCCACTCCGCTCATAGGTGAATTTACCCTATTAAAAACAATGAACAGCAGAGAGCAAATAATTTCTGTTCATCTCAGGCTTCAAAAATCTCTTTAAAGGTCTGCCCACTGATTGTTTTTTCCCCAAAGGCGGTGATGGCAGGGAGGGACAATGTGCTCAATTGGGACTAGCTTGCCAAAGTCTGGCTTTTCAGCTTTTAGCTCTCCAGATGCAGAAGTTCGGTAGACTGTCTTTGATTGGAAAAGAACAAGATGACATTCCACAAGACCCTTAGCAGTTTACTTTCCCAGGATCAATTTTCCCCTTTCCAGGCTCTACTTCTATCACTTCACCTGCCCCAGAAAGATCTTTCAGGAGCCATCAGTGTAGCCTGTCACCTCAAATACATTTAAACCTCACAATCTCCCCTTCAACATCTGTTTGACTGGCAATTTGGACGATATGAACATAATAAGGGACAAACTGCTAGCATCATGGGGGGCTCCTAGGAAACAGTCCATCCGAATTAGCTTTCATGTTAAATCACCGGCTGCAGGGAAAACAAAAAAACCAAACCACCAACACATGCCCCACCACAGCCTTATGAGTATCTGTATTTGACCTGGGTTCCTTACCATAGTAAAACGTTCCGTTTTACAGACCATGCATGTAATTTCAGTTTCATCAGGGATCCATTGCTGCTTTGACGGTGGCACCTCAGGTGGCACAAACTCTTGAGGAAACAGATTCCGAGGCAGGCTTCTCTCTCTCGGACTTGAAGATTGGATGATACCTTGGAGAACCAAGCCATATGTGGCATTGGATTTAGGCTGCTTAGTGGAATTTCAGAGACCAGACCACATGCTAAAGCACAGTCAGACTGACCCTCTTGGTTACCAATGAAAAGATTACTAGTACCTTTCAACCCTCCATGCTAGACATGGTACATCCTACCATAAGGCATTCAGATGCTTTAAGTAACAAGATCTTTCTTAAATGCACAAGAGGCTTCTTGGCATCTTGCAACAACGTATGTTGATAGAGACTGCAAACTCTTCCAGTCACTTCAGTACCTACTACCACAGGCAAATCTTGCTTTTGTGTTTGCAGCCATACATCACTATCCCCACCACACCTGGAGAAAAGCGATCTTTGGGCTTGCTTGTGCCTTGTCATCAACCAGTCTTACCTGGAGAGCCTCTACAAGGCAGGAATGCAACACCAGATACATGCGCGTTTGCACAGCTATATTCTGTGCTGCTCAGCAGTGCCAGACTGACTTTTCTTCAGCACAACAGCAACTACAACATGGGACAGCAGCAGCCTAGACTTCCACACAATGCACCCCTGCTTCACCATCACATCATATCCTTGGCCTGGAGGAATTAATTCTGAGCAGCAAAAGGATAATTTAGTCTCCATGACCTTTCAAATCCTTGGTCTCACTACTGAGATTGCCAGCTTGGCCTCTTGTTGGTGCTATTAATTGTAGTAGTTTGTGGGATGTGGGTATTTACACACATCAAACAGCTGTCAAATATTCACTACCAACATGGGTTGAACAGGAATTGGCTCCTGGATGTGAAAGGCAAGGGGACCCTGTACTATACCTGTAACCCATTCAAATTCCCTCACATACTACTTCTAAAACTGAAACAACTTAAACTCCAGCTGAAGTAACATGCTCCCACTAAGAGAAAGTTACTTCATGTTCATCAGGCTGACAAGCACTGGAGTGCAGATTAATGCCAGATGCAAAAGGAAGTTAGTGATGTTCTATTAGGAGGTCAACAGATCCATGCAGGACATAAGTGAAACTCAGTATTTCATATTCATATAATACCTGAACAGTTATAGGAGCTAGAAAGTCCAACACTAACATTTGTATCAGGAATACAGGACACACAGATGGGTCACATCCTCCAGGCTGATCTTCTGAATCCTTTTTCCCAGGGTCCCTATCCATGGACCACTTCCCTATCTCCAGTTCATGGTTTTTAAACACACCGTACCTGTCAAATAATGTAACCTTCTGATCATCTGTATTGCCTGATCATCATGAAGGAGAGCACAGAAAGCTTCAGAGAAGGAAGTCAAGTGAGAGAAATACCCACCCTGCAAAGCCACTGGCCTCCCCTGCACATGCATAGTGAGGAGGTGCTTTACTTGAGAATGGGTCTGGTCCCAGGCCATGGCTCAGACCTCCCCCATTTATAGGAGTGGCGGGGGGAGCAGGGATCACTATAGGTATGTGTACACAGCCACCGGCAGGGAGCCTCCAACCCAAGTTGACAGACTTGGGCTCATGCTATTGAGCTAAAAATAGCTGCGTAGACTGTGATTTGAAGTTGCAGCTCAAGCTAGAACTCGGACTCTGAAGCCCACTCCCCTCACTTGGCTTCAGAGCCCAAGCCACAAACATCATATGAGAATATCAAACAGTGATTAAGTCTTCCAAAATACCCCTGAGGTAGGTGCATATTAATCCTATTTCATAGAAGGAAAACTGAGGTGCTGGGATATTAGCAGTTTGCCGAAGAGGAGAGAGCAAGCCAGTGTCAGCACAGGGATTAGAGAACCCAGGCCTCCTGAATCTTGCGTGCCCTGCTCCAATTACCAGACCTCAATTTTTTATTTTTTTAAATTTGGTCCATAACTCAAAAACATCTTTTAAAAACCTAACCTTCCCCCCGCCCCCCCCCAACAAACTCCTTTTTGTATCCTACCATATCCAACAGTCTTGTGGCCACAAGAACAAACAGGATGATTTGGGGTGGGGCTTGGTGGTTGCTGAGTGGAAGGGTTTCTCCCTCCTCTCTCCTTCCCCCACAAACCTGCACAGCATCCAGGGCAGCACTTCTTTGAGAGGACACAGTCTCTTGGGCCTTGTCTGGACTAAGATTTTAAAAGTGTGATGTAACACATGCTAACTAATCTGTGTTAAGAGTCTAGTGGTGACAAGGCACCCTGCTTCAGTTAAAATCTAGTGACTGCAGTCCTCACCTATTGTGTTGGGTGCAATACAAACATAGAAAAGAGGAAATCTCTACCTTGAAGTCCTTACAATCTAAAGATGCAAACAGATGAAGGGTAGGCAATGGGGACAAACATATAAGCAAAGAAGTATGGTGAAGAATAGGCACAGCTTTATTGATTTTTTAAAAATTGGGGATAGACAAAGCGAGTAGGAAAAGGAAAGCAGTGATAGAGGACTATCGCTGCTCAATGGTCCATCCAAAAGCTTCTCATGCAACAGACCTGTCTTTCCAGAAAGGAAATCTTGGGCCAAAGTTTCTCAAAATCAGAGCTCCAAGTCAACTTGCAAAAGTAGACAAGAAACCACAAGTAGGTTCCTACAATTGCATGCGCAAGTTAGTTCACATCATGCTCTAAACATCACACCATGCCTACTTAGGCTTCTGTGCTTAGATTATGCTTCACTAGACTTCTAGGGAGGCAATTTCCTGATCTGCACATGCAATTCTGGATGCACTTTTGAGTATGGACTTGGGCCCCTTATATCACATAACTTGGGGCTGCTTCTCAAGCCTTCTGAAACAGAGTATGACTAGTGTAGGGATGTAACCAAATAGAAATTTAAAACCTAAGGTTGGGTGATGTATGCAAGGTGGGTTGGACTTAACACCAAAAATACCTTGAGATTTTTGTTGATTTAAATAAAAGGACCGTCAGGAAAAGGAGGCAGTCAGGAAAAGAATCATTCACAAAGGAAAAAGAGTTATCTACGCAGCTGAAAAGAAAGAGCAGAAATGCAGCAAGAGCAGCAGCCATTGTGGAGAGCTCCTCTATCAACTTTCAGAGTCACAGAAACATAGGACTGGATCTTGATAAGTCACCTAATTCAGTTTCCAGCACTGAGGCAGGATTAAGTATAACCTAGATCAGAGGTGGGCAAACCATGGACCACGGGACTGTTCTGCCCAGCCCCTGAGCTCCTGGCCCAGGAGGCTAGTCCCCGGCCCCTCCCCTGCAGCCTCACCTCGCCGTGCTGCCGGTGTGCTCTCGGTGGCGGGGCTGTGAGCTCCTGGGGCAGCGCAGCCGCAGAGCCCAGCCTGACCCGGTGCTGTGCTGCGCAGTGCATGGCTGGCTCCAGCCAGCCACCAGTGCTCCAGGCAGCGCGGTAAGGGGGTGGGGGTTGGATAGAGGGCGGGGGAGTTCGGGGGGTGGGCAGGGGCCAGGGGTGTGGATAGGGGTCAGGGCGGTCAGAGGGCAGAGAACCGGGGGGTTGAATGGGGGCAGGGGTTCCGGGGGAGCAGTCGGGGTGGAGGTTCTGGGGGTGATCAGGGGACAAGGAGAAGGGGTGGTTGGATAGGGCAGGGGTCCTGGGGGGGCAGTCAGGAAGGAGAAGGGGGTTGGATGGGGCAGTTAGGGATGGGGGGGTCCAGGGGAAGTCAGGGAGAAAGGGTGGTTGGATGGGGCAGGGGTCCCAAGGGGGGCAGTCAGGAAGGGGAAAGGGTTGGATAAGGTGGGAGGGGGCAGTTAGGGGCAGGGGGTCCAGGGCGGTCAGGGGACAGAGAGCAGGAGGGGTGGATGGGGCAGGAGTCCCAGGGGGACCGTCAGGGGGCAAGAAGTGGGGGTGGGAGGGGGGGGGGTCAGATAGGGGGGTGGGAGCCGGGCCATGCCTGGCTGTTTGGGGAGGCACAGCCACCCCTAACCAGCCTTCCATACAATTTCTGAAACCTGATGCGGCCCTCAGGCCAAAAAAGTTTGCCCGCCCCTGACCTAGACCATCCCCGACAGTTGTTTGTGTATCTCTTCTTAAAAGCCTGCAATGATGGAGGTTGCACAACCTCCCTAGGCAATGTGTTCCAGTGCTTAACCACCCTGACAGTTAGGAAGATTTTCCTAATGTCTAACCTAAATCTCCCTTGCTGCAATTTAAGCCCCTTACTTCTTGTCCTGTCCTCAGTAGTTAAGAACAATTTGTCACTCTTCTCTTTATAACAACCTTTCATGTACTTGAAAATTGGTCACTTTTTTTGCAACTCTATTACATTGTTGACTCATAGTTAGTTTGTGATCCACTATAAACTTCCAGATCCTTTTCTGCAGTACTTCTTCCTAGGCAGCCATTTCCCATTTTGTATCTGTGCAACTGATTATTCCCTCCTAAGTGTAGTACTTTGTATTTATCCTTACCGAATTTCATCCTATTTATTTCAGACCATTTCTCCAGTTTGTCCAGATCATTTTGATTCTAATCTGGTCCTCCAAAGCGCTTGCAATTCCTCCCAGCTTGGTATTGTCTGCAGAATTTCTAAGTGTATTCTCTATGCCATTATCCAAATAATTTATGAAAATATTGAATAGAACCCAACCCAGGACAGATCCCTGCTGGATACCGCTTGACATGCACTTCCAGATTGATTATGAACACTGATAACTAGCTACAGCAAAGCATGCCACCCTCTAAGGAGACAGGTCAACCAATGCCTTTAGAACTCTAGTGCTGGGAATTCCTGCCAGTCATGCCTTGGGAGCACAGATTCAGTATCAGATTGCAATGCCTACCTTTGAAGGTGTGATCATATACTCTTCAATGTCACTCAGGGCTGATGTGATGGTGAACTAAGTACATTTTATTTCTAGCTGCATATACTTTTCAGAAGGTTTGCTTTGTTTTAAATAATTATTTTGCTTTCGCTAATAAGTGCCAGGATATGAGAGTTCTAGACCAGTGATCAGAGCCCACTAAGACAACTGAAGACCTGCCCCTCAGGAGAGGGGAGGGGCCTCTGATCCTAGAAAACAATTAGTTACAGAGGATAAAGAATGAAAAAATAGGGAATGGGGAAAGGTCAGAGGGGCAAAACAAGGGATCCAGATTGAGGTTCTCTGCTTGATCTCCCAAACAAACAATGAAGAGTGCCAAGGTGACAGCCTTGGAGTTTGAAATCCTGTTTAGTCACAGAGCAGATACTTCAGAAGTGTTGACAGCATAAGCTTATCCTATACCACCATCTGCCCATTTGCTTTCACCCTGACATGGCGGGAAAAACTTCAGGAGCAAAAGGGAAGTTCAGTCTCCATGGCCCATTCAGCCGTTGGCCTCTCTGCCAAGACTGCTGGAAAGGGGACAGTTAGTGCCAATTGTGTTGGTGGTTTTTGTGATGTGGACACCTATCCGCTAAGAACCAAACTGAGACCCTCTCCCTACAAGCTCATGTTTCCTAGACCTCCAAACAGTGATAGATTATTACTCACCTGTGCTGAATTTGAACAGAGTGTGTAACTACTGTTATTTTAAAGAGAGGGGTGGGATGCAGGATTAGGGCAGAGTATGAGGTTGAGAAGGAGTAAGAAGAGGACCAGAAACAGTATGACCATTAGACCTTTTCCTTACCAGGAAAACTGGCAGGAGACAGTTCTGCTGATCCTGATTTAGACGAGGTATCTGACTCAGATACCTGATTGAGACTCTCTTGGATGCGAATCACAGAATCTAGGGCAAAGGAAATAGATAAAATATTGGTCATCCATTCATCTGCCAGCAGGAAGATTAGCATAACCCCTTCACAGCAGTGTGCAAAAAAGGGTTAGTCCACACGGGATTAACTACATCTTTCATGCAGATTAGCCCACAAATTAACTAACTCTACAGCATGCAAACTACACACACAGGTCTTACTGCTCAGAGACCTAAACAGAGAGAGAGAGAGACTCCCTATCTCGGGACAGGACAATTGTGAAAGACACAGGAATAATGGGACAGATGCTGCAACTCTCTGCTAGAATACCACACTTGTGACAGATATAACAACACTGTTAATCTGACTTTGGTTCCCCTCCACTGGAACAGGATGGTCAAAGCAAAGAGGAAGTATCTAACTCCCTGGCAGGGTAAACACACATACTAATATTAGAGTGTCAGACTTGATCTCCTGCAAGCAACTGACTGGAACAAGAAAAAGATGCATGTTTTATTAAACAAGCTCAACCATTAGAGGGAGGCATAATGCAAGCAAATGCTGTGCAGGCTTCTCATGCACAGCTCTGCTGATGCACCTCCTTTGATCTGCAGCACTCTCTGCTGTTCCAGTCCCAGACCTCTTGAGGCAGAGACAACCAATCATACAGAACTGCCCCCATACTCGGGGGGATTTGCAGAGAGTACAAACAGGGGTCAAGTCTTAAAGACTTTATCCATTTAGATCCACACAACAAACTCCTGTTTGTTTTTGGGCAAGATGCTATTGAAGCCCCTATTATATATTAAGTCCATCAATGAATTTACATTGAAAGGGATGAGATTAAATGGTAAAAGGAAAAGGGCCCTGAAAAAAGCAGCAGGTGAAAATTAAGACTATTTGGGCCACTAGTCTTTTGAAAACACATGGTGTGGTGAAAAGAGGAGGACTTCTCAAATAATATACCCTCTGCTGGAACTAGGAGGGGATATCTGGTTGTATAAAACCCTGCAGTAAAATGGGGTAGGGTGCTCTTAAGGGTAACTGACAACAATGTAGCCTCTGCCCCTGCCTTTCCTGGTAGAAGGGAAAATTCTGAAATGCAGTCACCTGATCTCTTCTCTTTTAATGAGTAGGGGAAGTGAAGGGCTCTCTCTGAATACTTGGAGAGCAAAGCATCCATGTCTTCCACAGTGAAGCCAATCTCCTGCCCAACCAAGAGCTGGTGCAGCGTCTGCACGGCCACGGCTGCCCAATCTACCTTCATGTTCATGAGCAGCTGCTCCAGCATGAGCAGAGGCCTGGAGGACAGGTGGGAGTAGCTAGCACGGTAGGGCTCAGGAAGAGTCAGCAACACCTTGGACACAGGAAGGAGACAGAGACCAACCATTATCACATAGCCAGAATCAAAGGATTAGCTACATCCAAAAAGCTCCCAACAGAATGATCTATATGGGGGAGGAAGCGATATTGAGAGGTTAAAGACTATACCTGAGAGCCTGGGTCCTATTCCTGGCTCTGCCTCAGACTTGCTATTAACCTTGGGCAAACCTCTTGAGGCAAGAGAGTTTGTTTCCCTATCTGTATAATGAAATATCATAACCTCCCTGTGAAGTAGGTATGTAATTAGCATTTGTAAAATGCTTTACGATTGTCAGGAGAGAGGAGTTACAGAAAGGCAGAATATTGTTCTCCCACTATAATAGACAGCAGGCAAAAACAACAATTAACCCAATCCTTAATATTTTTTGCTGCTCGGTTCCATTACACTCATCATAGGATAAAATGGAGACAGCAAATAGTACTTTCCTCAAGAATGGCCACTTACTATAGCCATTTTCCAATATACCAGGTAAGCTAGGTAACAGAAGAGTATTGCACCATGCACCAGTTATTTTAGGGAGCACTGAAGCAGGTATGATACTGGTAATGTTACAGGGCAGAGTTATAAATGAGACTTCAATCCATTCAGTTTGCTTAAATATCTGCTTAAAGTGGAGCATAGTGGCAAGAGCAAGGGACACACTGGCCAGAGCAAGGGAGGGCAAAAATCAGGAGACCCAAGTTCTAGTCCCAGCTCTGTCATGGATTTGGTGTGACTTCTGTAAAGGCAGCTGCTCTCTCTGCACCTCCGTTCTCCCATCCAAATATTGGAATAATACTGCCCACATCTGGAAGGCTTCTGGAGAGCCTCAAAATGAAAGACACCATATATGTGCTATATATTATACAGATAGCAGTGTTATTGCTCAGAGTGCATCAAACAGCTATTGTATTTTCTACTTCTATCCAAGAACCAGCTTGGGATTCATTCCCTCTCCCAAGGCAAGGAGGAATCATAGGACTGGAAGGGACCTTGACAGGTCATCTAGTCCAATCCCCTGCACTTATGGTAGGACTAAGTATTATCTAGACCGTCCCTGACAGGTGTTTGTCTAACTTGCTCTTAAAAATCTCCAGTAATGGAGATTCCACAATCTCCCTAGGCAATTTATTCCAGTGCTTAACCACCAGTAAGGAAGTTTTTCCTAAATGTCCAACCTCAACCGTCTGCTGCAATTTAAGCCTATTGCTTCTTGCCCTATCCCCAGAGGTTAAGAAAAACAATTTTTCTCCCTCCTACTTGTAACAACCTTTTCTGTACTTGAAAACTGTTATGTCCCCTCTCAGTCTTCTCCAGACTAAACAAACCCAATTTTTTCAATCTTCCCTCATAGGTAATGTTTTCTAGACCTTTAATCATTTTTGTTGCACTTCTCTGGATTTTCTCCAATTTGTCCACATCTTTCCTGAAATGTGGCACCCAGAACTGGACTCCACCATTTGATGCCCAATCAGTTTGGAGTACAGCGGAAGAATTACTTCGTGTGTCTTGCTTACAACACTCCTGCTAATACATCTCAGAACGAGGTTTGCTTTTTTTTTTTTGCAACAGTGTTACACTTTTGACTCATATTTAGCTTGTGAATCCACTATGACCCTCAGATTTTTTTCTGCAGTACTCCATCCTAGGCAGTCATTTCCCATTTTGTATGTGCAATTGACGATTCCTTCCACGGTGGATAAAAATCAATGTTTTTTTAAAATAAAATTTAAAAAAAATTGATTTTTTTATTTAAAACAGATTTTTTTTTGATAAAATGCTTTTTGAGGGAAAAAACCTATCTAAAAATACTTTTTAATTAAGATATTATATTTATATATATTATAGTTCAAAGATATCTTATCATGGAAAAAGGATTATAAATTCTAATTCTATAGTATGAGGCAATATATTCATGAAAAGTTTTGTAAATATGTTCCAATAGTTCATGATTAGGGACCCAATCTTATGGGGTTCCAGGGGCTTTTGTATAGATTTAGATTAATTTTTCTATACCCAATCGGACTCAGTGCTCAGTCTAGAAGATACCATCAGAGATGCTTAGTTTTGCAGTTCTCAAACTGTGGATTTGTGTCTCCAGAGATCACATGCTTGTTAACAGCGAAAATGTTTTAAAATAAATAAATAAATAAATATATAGAGGTGGGAAATAACAGACCTCAACCCTATTGTCCATCTGCAAATTTGTGTACACAGAGTCAATCCCTTACACTCTCTAAAAGTGCAAAGTTTCAAAAAGTTCAATGAATAGAAAGATTGTTGGGGGCAGAATAGATCTGGACAAGGAGAAGAAGTCTGGAGATAAATGTGAGAAGGGAGGGACAGGCAGTAGAAACAAAAGTGAAACTGTTTGAGCAGCATATTCCAGAAGTCTTGAGGTCTCTGAGTGTATCCTTCATTGATTTGAGATCTACCATACCATTCTCTCACTAGAAGGGAAAACCCATAATGGCAGCAGGCCATAAAAGAGACCCAGTTTGGGAATATTTTAATGAAGTTCCTCTACCTGCGGGTAAGACAGGCATGCATGCAAAATGCAAACAGTGCAACAAAGAAATGCAAGGCCTGGTTGCCCGAATGAAACAACATCATGAGAAGTGTTCCTTCTCAGGAGGACGCTGCGTTGAAGATGATGAAAGGAACATGTCTGAACATGCAGGATCTTCAGGTTGGTAAACTTTTGTATTTCATACTTCTTTCTTAAGGATTGCCTGCCTTCCTTCTGGACTATTCTTAAATTCTCATGTTTGAGCAAAAAATATAGTTGTTACCCTGCGGTACTATCATTTTAGATGCAGCTGTGATAAAAAATAAATAGCTGAAACAGGCAGATCTTCCTTTTCCAATTTGACCTTTAAAGTAGTACTGAGTGTCAGTGAATGCAATGAGTAATACTAAATGAGCAGTATGGTAATAATAAATAACTGAATTGACTTATTTTGTTTAGGAGAATCCATCCTCAATATACAGGATTCTGAAGACTATCCACCTTCAAGATCACCATCATTTTCTATAGTTTCAGAGCTAACTGTCAATTATAGTATTTCAGTCACATCATGTAGGTCACATAGCCACACTGTATCACCTATAGCAAAAAGAAAAGAAAAAAATCTCCATCATCCAGAAACAACCATAGATAAGTTTGTGATAAGAACCAGCAGATTACAAAAAGAGGTAATTGATGAAAAAATCACCTGGTTTGTTTATGCAACAAACTTTTTTTTCCGTATGATTGAGAACCCATACTTCATTAACATGGTTCAGTTATTAAGACCAGGATACAGTCCACGCAACAGAGCAGATGTTGCAGACAAATTGCCGGATAAAGTGTATGAAAGAGAAATTGAGCAGTGTGCAAAAGGTCTAGACAGTAAAATTGTTAACCTGAGTCTTGATGGGTGGAGCAATGTCCACAATGATCCTGTTGTATGTGCTTGTGTCACAACAGAAGAAGGGAATATCTTCCTTACAGAAACAATTGATACATCAGGAAATGCACACACAGCAGAATACTTACAAGTAGCAGTAAAAGCTATAACACACTGAAAAAAAATTCAAATGTCTAGTACGCAGCTTGGTCACAGACAATGCTGCAAATTTATCCAAGATGAGAAGAAATTTAGAAGAGAGCGAGGAGTGTCCCAAGCTAACAACATAGGGTTGCAGTGCTCATTTGATGCACCTCCTAGCCAAAGACTTCAGCGTTCCAGAAATAAAGGCTAATGTTGTTGAAATTGCAAAATACTTCTGTAACAACCACTTTGCAAGAGCTGCTCTGAAAAAAGTGGGGGGAACCAAGCTAACTCTCCCACAAGATGTGCGATGGAACTCAGCAGTGGACTGTTTTGAGCACTGTATCAAGAACTGGCCTAATCTGACGACAGTTTGTGAACAAAATCGTGAAAAAAAAATAGATGGCACTGTCATAGCCAAAGTTCTCAACGTTGGGCTTAAGAGAAATGGTGAACATATGCTGAGTACCCTGAAGCCTGTTTCTGTAGCCTTGAACACAATGCAGGGAAATAGCTGTTTTATTGCTACGCTGTTGAAATTTGGAAGGAACTGAGTGAGATCTTAAAAAGAGAAATATGCAATGACAGAGTTAAATTACAAGCATTAAAAAAAACGAATGGGACAAGCACTATCTCCAGCTCATTTTCTTGCAAATATTCTCAATACTCGATACCAGGGTCAAACCTTAACTGCTGAAGAAGAGGAGTTGGCTAGGACATGGACATCCAGCAATCATCCCTCCATAATTCCAACTACAATAAACTTCAGAGATAAGGTGAACTATTCAAGAAATATATGTTTGCTGATGATGTTTTAATGAAAATCACTGGTGTAAATCACTTAAGCACTTGGATTCTGGGACTGTTGACGTGATAATCTCACTTTTAAGAGAAGTAGCTTTTTCTGCCAGTGTAGAAAGAATATTTTCTTCCTTTGGACTAATTCATTCCAAATTGAGAAATCATTTGGAACCTGAAAAAGCAGGAAAGCTTGTTTTTCTTTTCCAGATTATGAACAAAGAGGAAAATTAAGGTAAAGACGATTGAGTTAGCGGCAGAAGCCAATATTTTAAGTTTCTCATGTTGACCTGGCTGACATATTTAAAAAACAAAAAATTAAATAGACTATTTCATTTAACTATTTTAGTTAAAAACAATTTTAACGAAAACAAATCTGATTTTAAAAAACTTGAATGTTTAACTAAATTTAAATATTCATATTCTTGTTTTGTTAAATTATTATACATTTGCTGTTGAAGAAAAAAATCCAGAATACATAACATTGTTGTTTTAGTTAAATAAAACAATTTAAATGTCAGTCTGGTGATGGTCTCCTAATACAGCATGGCAAGAAAATCCTCCAAATATTATGATTAACCTGTTGAATTGAAGATAGTTCACCTCCCAATGACTTCATAAATATCTGCTTCAATTACCTTTGGTAAATAAAATAACCAAACAATCATTCATTTTCTGATATAGCTGTAAATCTAATCTGAAAAGTTTTCAAAATAAATCACTTAAAAATGTATAGTGTGTACCTTCTAAAAATGAAACCTACATCTATCTCTGAGTTGTGAAGAATATGTATTAAGGTTATAAGAACCAACAAGAATGCACTTTTATGTAGAAATCTATGATTAAATCGAGACTTCCTGACTAGTGATTTAAATCAAATCCACCCTGGTTCCTTCCTAAGTGAAGTACTCTGCATTTGTCCTTATTGAATTTCATCCTATTTACTTCAGACCATTTCTCCAGTTTGTCCAGATCATTTTGAATTTTAATCCTATCCTCCAAAGCACTTGCAAACCCCCCGCCCTCTCCCCCATACACACACTTGGTTTTGTCTGTAAACCTTTTTAAGTGTACTCTCTATGCCATTATCTAAATCACTGATGAAGATATGGAACAGAAGCAGACCAGAATTGATCCCTGTGGGACCCCACTTGATATGCCCTTCCAGCTTGACTGTGAACCACTGATAACTACTCTCTGGGAATGGTTTTCCAACCACTTATTCATCCACCCTATAGTAGCTCCATCTAGGCTGTATTTCCCTAGTTTGTTTATGAGAAAGGCATGCGAGACAGTATCAAAAGCCTTACTAAAGTCAAGATATACCACATCTACTGCTTCCTCCCTATCCACAAGGCTGGTTACTCTGTCAAAGAGAGCTACTAGATTGGTTTGACATGATTTGTTCTTGACAATTCCATGCTGACTGTTACTTATCACCTTATTATCTTCTGGGTGTTTGCAAATTGATTGCTTAATTATTTGCTCCATTATCTTTCCGAGTACTGAAGTTAAACTGACTGGTCTGAAATTCCCCTGGTCCTCCTTATTTCCCTTTTTATAGATGGGCACTATATTTGCCCTTTTTCCAATCCTGTGGAATCCCCCTTCCCATCCTGTGCTGACTATTCTCTGCTTTCAATAGCCCATAGAGTCCCAAGGCTGCTCTGATGATCCTGGAAGCCCCAAAAGCCCCAAAATTCAGCGTATACAATTTTGGCCTCCTCCTCCTCTCACCTCCAGTTTATACACTTGGTTCAGATAAATACTGAGAATTGGTACCTGGGTCTCCCACTGGTACTGCAGAATTCTCCTCTCAGGTCTACCGCCGAGTGCTTGTAGAATTAGTATGTATTACTGTAAATGCAGAATGTAGTGAAGCAGCTGGGATTCTATGGCTTTGCTCACCTTTGATCCCATGTAGAGAGCCTGGATTTCGTTATGGCGTGTAGCTGTCAGGTACTTGTAGAAGTGGGTAGTGAGATAATTGGCTAGGAAGTGAGAGGCTGCCAAGCTGGGATGCTTGTCAAGAGACTGTTCGCTTATCACAAGGCGCATATCAGAGTCTTCTATTCTTTCTAAGAGCTACAAAAGCCAAGAGAAAAATATGCAGACGATCCTGATTACATGGCAGGGAAAGGCCCCTTAGCTCAGCTAGTCCATTTACCTTGGATGGAACAGGCTACTTCCCCCTACACTAGTCTTTCAGGCATTTTATCTAAACTGCAACAACCTCGTAAAGTACATGACGGTGTTTTAGTCACCTCTATGTGCATATCACTGCACTGCCTAACTGCCCCCAACTTAATGATCTATGATCAAGGACAGGTTCCTAACAATTAAAAATAAACAGATGTATAGCAAGTTAAATTAAATTAACAGGAAGTGAAATATAGAAGACCAAGAATAAAGAGTTAAATACTGAATCATCAAGAAGACCCTTTTGTTAATATGTAAGGACTCTAAAGTTCTCTGTAAGAGGACACTTAATTTCACTCTCTCTGTGTGTTACGAAAACAACACTCCCATGATTATTCAACCCAAAAGAATTTTGCTTTCACACTTCATTAAGTCAAGGCAGCAATGAAACCAGATTGGTCAGTTTCACTTCCTGGTTCTTCTGCACTAGCAGCACAAGAATGTTCCATTATAGTTTCTAACGTTGAATCCAAACCAAGAAACCACGCATATTCATTAAAAAAAGCCATGAAAACGTTTTTGTTATTAAGATTTTGCAAAATCCTTTTTTCCCCATAGAACTTAAAATCTGGGCCTCATAGTATCCTTTAAAAGAAGCTTGCTTTATTAACACACACACACACACACACACACACACACGAACCAGAACACTAGCAAAAGAAGAAGGTTTTGCTAGGACCTAGGGCATGTCTGCACTAGAAACTTAAGTCAGTGTATGTTAAGTCGACTTAGAATCACTGCAGTAATCACTGCAGCATTTCATGTCCACACTACCCTCCTTCTGTTGGTGGCGTGTATACTTACCAGGAGCGCTTCCACAGATTAAGGGGGGGGGGCTGAGAACCTGGGCTCTTGGCTCCCCATCGCTGGAAGCCCGGCTTTGTCCCCTGGGCTCCCAACAGGGAGCTACGAACCCAGAGTCCAAGCAGCTCCGAGCTTATAGTGGGGAGCAGGGCACATGCAGCTCGGCTGGTAGCGGGAAACCCGGGGGGCAACCAGGCTCTAGCTGGAGCCCCACACCTGCCCTGGGATGACTGCCCAGCTTCCTCGTCAATTTCATAGCTCCAAACTGTAGCTGTGAAATTGTCAAGAATGACAGCCAACAGCCAATATAAGTTAAACAGTGTCTACACAGACACTGTGTCACCCTGACTACACTGACGCCTCTCGTGGAGGTGGAGTTTTTAATGTCTGTGTAGTAGGGCACTTACATACTACAGCCTTGCTTCTGCCCACGTACTCGAACATAATTAGGTTGACATAAGCTGCCTTACATGGACCTAACTCTGTAGTGTAGGCCAAGCCCTAGTGGCCATCAAAAGTGTTCTTTAAAACGAGTTGCCAAAATGCAGCATAGGGACCAAATGTGCCCCATGTAGACAAGTCTTATGGTATTTAGTGTTTTTCTTGAAGCCCCAACTTCAGAATCTTAGCTTTCATTTAGGAAAAAAAAAATTGTTGTCCTCGTGGTTAAAGAGAAGAGACAGAAAAGGTGACCCCTAAAGACTTGAAACCTAACTATCTAGCAAATAAGAACCTAAAATGTGTTATTTTTGAAGTGTCATGATTCACGAGATTAGTTTAAAAATGTTTGTGGTCTGTCATGTTTTTCGAATGCTTGGGCTTGGCAATACTGTTGGTCCACAATGTGTGAAAGTTGTCTAAACCTCAGTGTAGAGGACAAGACTAAAGGTCTCTGCAGACAACATTCCACTTCGATCAAAGTGGCCTGGCAGTATTGCGTGTTGAGACCTGTCGTCTGTACAGGTTGACTCTTTGTAACAATGAGTTCAGCTGCAATCTACATTTATGCAGCCAAGGCTTCCAGCAAGTAACCTAACTTAGGGCTGCAATAGCAGCATTTGGGTACCCTTGTTTACCAGCAACCTACCCTTTGAAGATAGCAAGGCAAAAACAGCCCTCTGGTTACCTGCAAAGCCTTTTCAGTGTCTCCCATTTCCAGCAAGTGCAGGAGGTGCTCCTGGTGAAGACTGATCAAGTGTTCTTTTGGGACAGGGTATAAGTGACCCCATTCTTCACACAACTCATAATCCTAAGGAGAAGGAAGGCAAACAACAACTCCCTTCATTATGGCTATTCTTGCCCACGCTCTGATTAACATTTCAAGGTCAGCTCAGTAGACTTACAGTACTCTTTCCACCAGCAAGAAATAGTTACAACTCCATGGTTGGACACTCACTGCATGCTGCTTATTCTTCCAAGCATTTAGAAAAACTCACCTAGCTTTGCCTCTCTTTGGTAAGGACAGCATGTTACTTACATACAGGTCACCTAAGAGAGTCACTCCTTGTCGGATTACTGAGGTAGAATGGAAGAAATGGGTTATGTATGGGAATAAAATTAGGACAAAACTATGGGGGTGCTTGGTTTTCATTTAAATCCTGACATTAAACAAGGATTCCTATTAGCTTCTGCAATACACAATTTATTAAGAGGTTTTTTTCTTGCCCTGTGAACTCTGTTGAAACAAGCATCTATAAACATTGCTTAACAAAATGTAGTAGTGCCACCATTTTCTAATTTTTAAACACAAAAGCCATGTAAGATGCCATACCTTTGCCTCCAGAATAACACTCATGATGGCCTGGGGATCATCAATGCAGGCTTCTTTCAGGTCTTGCCAGTCATTCCACGTTGGGACATCTTGCAAATTCAAAATCTAATAAAATAAAATGTTAGAGTTTCTATGAATGATTGTATTGAACAATATTTCTTCAGACCCATCACCAGGCCCAGGCAGATAGCTGAACTGGTTGCATCAGGAGTTAGCCCAAGCCAGGAAACTACATTTATCATAATAGAAAGGGTCTGGGAATCCTAGGTGATGCACTTCAATTTCAAGAGGACTAGATGAAAAGATTATATCACAGAGGCCTAAACCCATTAACATATATCTGTCTGAAGAGATTGCTGATAGAGTTCCAAGAGACAACGCAGCACCAGTTATGCTATGAATAGGCCAAACCTACTGGATAAGCAGGCAAGAATCTGGATTCCTCAACTACTTAGGCTTGTAAAACTGGGGTTGAAAATTCAAACAAGAATAAGTTCTCTTGGAAAGTTTCCAGTGATTGCTGCCTCTGTGCAGGTTGGAGGAAAAAGAGACCCTGAAAGAATGGACTCAAGTTCTTTGGATTTTTTTGCGCTTTTGTCTCCAGTCTTCTCTGGAAGAAAAGTACAGAGGCAACTGGAAAGGAAAAATTATGGATGAGGGAAGGAGAGAGTTAACCTGACATTTCAGCACTTTCAGAAAGTGGACGAGATTTAAATTTTGGATAAGGGCTTGGGGAGGATGTTTTATGTGCCAAAGAGAACCAAGGGTTAAAGAAGTATTTAGGCAAATATACTCCATACCTAGTTACTTAATAAAATGGCTTTTGTACCTTTTGATAAACCTGCAGTTCTCCTGTTTTGCTCTGCAGATCAGACTTCAGTTCTTCAGTTATGCCAGGATCACAGATGCAGTAAGCTAGGATTTCCAGACAAGCCTCAAGGGGCCACCTGTCCACGCAGTGCAGGGCCAATCTACTTCTCAACATTGCATCCTTCACTGGGAACAGATACTGCCAACCATCCTTATCTGTGAAAAGAAAAGCTACCAGCATGAAGCCCAGCTTCTATGCTTTGGGGAAACAGGGAGAGGAGAGAAAAGAATTTCCATTCTTTGAATCTGCCCACAGATCACCAGATCAGTCCCCAATTTCCAATCCCTATCTGAGATCGTACACTATAAAGAAAACTTATTCCCTTTACCGTCAGCTGTTGCACAGCTCAGCACAGCATCCCTCACGCTGGTCAGCTCCTCCATATCCTGACTGTACAGGTCCAAGACCGTCAGGGCTCTGGGCCAGTCCTTTGCAGCGAGCGCTTGCTCAAAGACTTCCATTAATACCTCGACAGCCATGGCAGAATGCAAGCCCAAGAGGACAAGCGACATGTACGGTTTGCCACAGAGGCCACTAACCAAACCACTACCCTCCTCCTGGGGATCCTGAAGTGGCTCAGACATGGTGAGAAGAAAATTCTCCAGTATCAAGAACTCCTTCAGTAATGTCTCACACTCTTTGAAAATCTGCTCCAGGCCCAAGGGGACCTCCCTCTTGCCCCGAAATTCCATCCATGACAGGCTTGGTTTGGGGACCTTCTGTATCTTGGATGCACAGAGACATGCCACAGTGGCCATTAGCTTTGACTGACACTTCAGGAAGGCCAGGGAAGAGGCAGTGAGTGAGTGCTGGTTCAAGTCAGCCAGGGAGGAAGACGGCTGAGTAGAATCCTCCTCAGAGTCCATAGCTGGATTGTGGATAGGTATCTCAACATCTGGCAAACAATGGTAGGCATGAAGATGTGCTAGGCTGCTGATGTTAGTCAAAAGAGACCTGGTCTGGCTGCTTTGCCTGGTACTGCACAAGGACAGTGGCTCACAACAACAGTTAATGATAACTTGCTGCACATTTAAGTTCAACTCTTCTTTTGCCAACAGTGAAGAGAGCCTGGAGGAGTGAAAACAGCACCAATTTAGCAGGTGCACGTGCATATTACCTTGCACTTATACAGGATCTCAAGAAGTATTACAAACATTAACAGTCCTCCGAGGTATGTACTATCCCCTTTAACAGGGGAAAATGACACACAGAGGTTGTGTATTGCTGAACATCACTTAGATTCAAGCAGCAGAGCTCTGAAGAGTCCCAGCAGCTATTTCTCTGCTCTTACCAATAGGCAACATGGCCTGAAAGTGAGCATCTACCTTATTAATTAAAAAAAAAAAGGCACTCCCAAGTCAGGCTTAATATCCTTTGCAACAGCTGCGTGTGAATGAGAATCACCAGGATTATGCACCTAATCCTATGTATAACCTTACAACAGTATATTTCGCTCCAAATTTGTAGTAAGGAAGGAACGTCCCCCAGTAAAGGGTGACAATGGAGACACTGGGTGTTTTCCACCTCTCTCTAGGACATCAAACAGGGAGTATCATTAAGAAGCAGATGGGCCCATACTATCCATTTCCTCAGCTCCTTTCCATTGCCTATATTTCTGTGAACTGTAAGTTTCCTGCAGATAAAGCCATTAAAATGAATAGCCTGACAATCCATCCCACTCTGTAACTAAACCCTGCATTTATTCCTCTGTTTTTGGAGGGAGACTGAGAAGGATCCCCTAGGATCCTGCTGACAGAGTCATATCAGCCTCCCCCACACCAAAGTGCTGGGCACAGCCTTTCTGGAGCTAGTGGATTCCATTCCGGGGGGGGGGGGGAGGAGGGGGAGAGGAGGAATTTGAGAACAAAGCAAAGTTCCCAGCTCTAGCAGCTGCAGCACTGCCATCCTGGCCAGTCTGCGGAGGTCAGGACCCAGTGACTACCTACCTAGAACAAATGTACTGCGATCTCATTACAGCTCAATTAATGGGGTCTGCCAGGAAACGAATGGGATGGAATATGTAATTTAGCCAGACTACAGAAACTTGCTAAGCACAGAATATCAACTCTCTTTGATAAAGGCCCAACGTAGGGCCTACAACAAGAGGGCTTTCTGGTAATATGATTCACTCCAATTCTTAGTAATCACTCAGAGGCAGATTTACAGTAAAACACAGGGTGCCCCCCAGCAACAGGGGGCCCCAGGGCCAGGCAGCTGTGGGAGCAGAAGCTTGGTCCTGCCGGCTCCTGCTGCAGGCTCCACCCGCACCCACCGACAGCCAAGCTCCCCACTCCCCCGACTCTTCCCCACCTCTTCCCCCAAGCATGCCACGTTCCTGCCCCTCCCTCCCAGCGCTTCCCCCGCCACCGAACAGCTGTTTGCCGGTGCTCAGGTCACTCCGGGAGGGAGGGGGAAGAGCGAGGCTGCAGCATGCTCATAGGAGGAGGCGGAGAAGAGGCGGGGGCGGGACCTTGGGGAAGAGGGCGGAATCGGAGCAGCGCAGATGCAGACCCTGCATCCCAACCCCCCAGCCTGCTGCTGTATGCTATCTTCCTCCCAGACCTGCACCCCCAGCCCTAAGTCCCCACTCACACCCTAAGTCCCAGCCAGACCCCGCAGCCCAATGGTTTTTTACAAAGCACTCTTAGCTAACTGTTGTAAAGCGCTTTGGATAACGGTACAAACAATATTTGGAAAAATCATTAAGTGGTCTGCTGAGATCCTCAGCTATTTTCAAGTGGTCTGTGAAAAAATAAGTTAGACTACAAAAACAATCAAGGTACATCACTTTATTTTTATTTACTTCCTATTACTTATAGGAGGAGATGGAAGAAAAAAAAGAATGAAAAACAGGAGGGAGCGGAGGGGGGAGATAAAAGAGAAGATTCATTTTCTTGGCTGGGTCCCAAGGAGGAGCCCCAAAAATTAAGCTGAGCACAGGGCCCCACTAACTCTAAATCCGCCACTTTAATCACTTAAATAGTGTGAAAGTGTACAGGGCACTGCTCAGCAGCAGGGCAGTGCCAAAGGTATAACAGATGCCTGCACTGTAGAGTTACAGAATTTGGAAATAGCAGCAAAGATAAAGAGTACATAAAATATGAACAGAGGAGGAGCGAGTTTTAAAGCTTAAATGCTTCATGGACCAGCTGTGTGTTTAGGATGTTTCTTGGCGGAAACAGTGGGAATTTATGTAAGTGGGCAAGTGATTCTGGGAAGATGCGGGGCATAGAACTCAAAAATGTAATGACCATTTACCATAAGCTATTACTGGTGGACCGCTCTGGGATTGGTTGTCTTCTGAAACAGACTTAGTAAAATCCAAACATAAATATACAACTTTGTTAAGTTTATTACCCTTTGTGCAAATATCTCCAAATGGTTAAAAATGTAAAATATACAGTAAACACCTGCTGCTCCAACAGCTGCACTAGCCATGGCTCTAGCAGCTAAGAGAACTTCACCCTAAAATTTCATGCAATAAGTCCCTTGTCTGATATACCTGGCTCAGGGCGATACCATGAAAGACCCTTCAGTTTGGTCCTCAGTACATAGCGACACTGAACAGCTTATAAAGTATTATCAAATATTGTCTCATTTAACACCTGCTTCAGTTATCTAGTCGCACACTTTCAGTACCAGCCCAATACAGAATTTAGAGATGGAAAACGTGCATTAGATAATCCAATCTACTTGCCTGCCAGTGTAAGATCCATGCCCAGAAGTTCTCAAAAGTGATCTTGGGAAACTATTTTATTTTGTTACATGTATAAGATGTGTGACCACTGTGCCCAGAAGTCAGACAGTTTCAATTTAAAAACCACAAATCCCTGGAGCTCTCAGTTCAATTCCCAATGGCCAGTAGTTGTCTAGATCACAAAATCGTTAAGTTTCACTAATTGCGATCCTCTCTGGCCATCTCATTAGAGAAGCCAGGGACTAACGCTTTCCTCAGATCTAGCAGAAGTCTGCTCTGCAGCCGTTCTAGTCATAGAGGACTTACAGTGCTGCCCAGTTCACGAGCACTAAATTCATCAGTTAAGTATTCATGAAAAACACCAACCTGTCAGGAGGAACTTGTCTCTCAAACAAGAGCAGAGAGAGCAAGTGAGATGGGCTCTGCTGTAGCAGTATGAAAGGGTTCCCCACCTTCACCTCTGCAGTTTGATCTACAAACATAAGAGAGACACATTTAAAAAACAAAACAAAACACTAAATTAATGTATTACACAGACTGAGTTCTAGTCAGCTAATCTGTACACTAGGCCTCTGAAGCCCAGATACTCATAATCACCAAGGCATGAGGGCCAGCAATGAAGCAAGTTGGGAACCCAAAGACCTAATTGCTCTGACTGATGTGCCCCACAATCTTTTGCACAATTTGGAGGAGGCATTGCAAGAACCAGCGTAGTGCCAGATGGAGAGCTTCTGACATCTGAGTAAGACCTGGCTGCAAATGGCAGAGCAAATCTGCTTCAGCATGAAAAACACTACAGGGAAAAAGAAAAGGAGTACTTGTGGCACCTTAGAGACTAACCAATTTATTTGAGCATAAGCTTTCGTGAGCTACAGCTCACTTCATCGGATGCATACTGTGGAAACTGCAGAAGACATTATATACACAGAGACCATGAAACAATACCTCCTCCCACCCCACTCTCCTGCTGGTAATAGCTTATCCAAAGTGATCACTCTCCCTACAATGTGCATGATAATCAAGGTGGGCCATTTCCAGCATAAATCAAGTTGCAGCAGGAGATTGTCAGAGTCACAACACATGCACTACTATAGTGATCTGCTTTATTAGAATTCTCTAGACACAGGTTAAATTTATTTTCTCAGCCTATTTTTTGTTTTGCTTGCCTTGAAGTAAGAATTTCTGGTGCTCTTGGGATAATTTCATTGAAACGCAGAGGGTAGCTGTGTAAAGCTTCTTACTTGTACTCGTCCCACAACTTAAAACCTAGCATTAGTAGAAATGCTGTTGGGGAATTTTTTTAATTATGTCAGCAGAGTTTCATTGGCCAGCAATGTGAAAAAAAACCACACCCTTAACAAACATAGCTACACCAACAAAAAACCCCAGTGCAGACACAACTTTACCGATAGAAGAGAGCTTCTGGCAACATAGACAATGTGGTTCAGGGAGATGGTGTTCCTATACTGACAAAAAGAACTGTTGGTGCACACCTATGGCTGAGTCTACACTAGGGGGCTATGCCAGTATAGGCTCTGTAGTGCAGAGGTACCCAGATACACCCCTTCTAAACTATTCTTCCACCTCCTAAAGCAGCAGGAAAACATGGAGCACCACTGGACTATTACCTCACATTTCTCCAGTTATGGAAACTGGAAGTCAATGAGAGGTTGTGTTACAGTGGGGCACAAGTACCTTCCACACATACAGTAACCAGACATGCCAAACCCATGAAAAAAAAAAAAAACACGCAGAAATTGGACTTGTTTTTGGCTTGATTGGCTTATGAGTTGCTTGTTGGCTAGTTTTTGGATTCTAGCTTGTTGCTTATTTGGCTTGTAGCTTTTTTTTTTTTTTTTTGATTGGCTCCCGGCAAGCAGGGGCAAGGGAGGGAGAGAGTCAGGGGTGCACAGCGGGCCCATCACAGTCTCATACTGCATGCCAGGGGGTTCTAATCACAGAGTGTTGGGGTTCTTAGGGATTGGCTTGTTTTGAAATGGGATTAGCTTGATTATTGGCTTATTGTGAAAGTCAGGGTGCTTATTTACCACGTGAAAGTTGGCAACTGTGACAGTGACAGGTCCTGATAAAGTGAAAGTCTGAAAAAGGTTCTGTCATCTTCCTTTTTCCTCTACCTCACTGAGGGATGTAACTTTAGAAGGCAGTTTATTGGGAAGCAACTCTTAAACCAGATTTGTGGAGTTCCACATTAGAGCAGCCCAGTGACTCCAGATTAAACTGGCTTGGTTTTTTCTCCTAACCGCCAGCACAATATACTCAGGCTAGGGCTCTTCTGGCTCACGGGGCACTACCACTAAGTGATTCTATGAGAACGTTCTGCCCGGTTACATCTACACAGCCCCATTATCTTCAATGCCCTTGCTACCCACCAAAGAAAACGGAAAGACTCCCATATAGTTGTTTTCCAGAATGGAATCATACTCTAAGAGTTAGATAACGTCACCCTCCTTGTGACAGGCTTCTCAATAGACACGTCACCTAGCTCTGTATTCAGGCTCCGTAGCACAACAGCAGCCAGCGTGTTAATATAATCAAAGAAGCTCTTCACACAGTCTGTCTGCACGCTGCTCACTGGCATGGTCTGAATGTGTTGGTCCAGGGTTTTCAGCAGAAGTTGGATTTGATTACGAACCGGATGTGCCTCCAACTCTGTAGGCTTCAGAGATGCCTGTTCTACCAAGCTGGTGATCAGGCTCCCTTTGGAGTCTAGTAAAAACAAAATTTGATTAGAACTGAAATGCTTAAAAATATAGGTGTGCTGGGACTTCTTCTACCCTAGCAAGTGCGTCCCTCAATTTAGAGATTACTTTCAATGGAAGTTAACAGGAATTACTATACTGGAACAGGCCAACAGCCCCATCTACTCTGGCATCTTGACTGAGCAGCAGAGGAAAGCGTAAACCCCACAAAATGCATCTATTGTGCAATACTGCATTAGTGGTGGGAAAGGATATAGATTTCTTCCTAAACTCAGCTGGTGGCCAACTCTTAAGTCCTGAAGCATGACATTCAAAGAGCACTTACAGTTCTCCTAGCTTTCTGTGAATCAAGATGGCATACAGATTTCCAACCCTTTTACTAAAGCTCTTTAGAAGTCTGATGGGTGAAAAATGTCACGGCTACAAATTAAGAACTTGGAGACTAGGCAGCAATTGTTCCAACACTGGATCAGTTATTCCTAGGAACAACGATCAGCTGATACATAGTTTGACCAATGAACCACTGACAACAGCAGGATTCTTAGGCTACCAAAGTTTTCCTGATGGATACTCTTGTTTACTCTCACCTTACTGGGCAGCAACAACCAAATACAAAGGGAAAAAACAGGAGAAGCAGAACTACCATTTGTTTAGCTATCATTTAACACCCAAGTGTTTTGTTTTCATCTAAACAGACACTGGGAGATTAACAGTCATATCTGTTTTTAAAACAAAATTTCTTTTTGTATTTTTATCTCAGCTTATTAAAACTGAACATTTAAAAAATGAATTTACTTTTCATCATTGACATTTTGCTTCTCTCTCTGCTTGAACGAATAGAGCCTAATCAGTTTAACTTTTGCTACTGGTGAGCTTCTCATTTTGGTGCAACAGCTAACTGTTGCAAGGTTTGTATCACAAATGCTTGGGGGGGGGGGAGAGAGGGAGGGGAGTTTAAATCCCCAAAAGAGTGTTTGCATTTACATGTACATGTACATGTACATTTGAGGATTTCAATAGCTCAGACATAGGTGAGAGGTTTATTGCAGGAGTGGGTGGGGGTGAGATTCTGTGGCCTGCGTTGTGCAGGAGGTCAGACTACATGATCATAATGGTCCCTTCTGACCTTAATATCTATGAATCTATGTAAGAAAATTCACGACAGCATTCACCCTAGCTACTTCCAATGTTTCACTAATAAAAAGTTTTTCCTAATATCCTCTCCCCCCACTTTCTCCAAATACCATTTGCCCCCTTCAAATCACAATTTTCTTACCAAAACTCCCTATACATCCCAAACTATTGTCTAAATTCAGGAACTAAACTACTAGGGTGAATCTATTCCAACTTTATTCCCATGTCCTTCTGTTTTAAAGAGATATGATTTGATTCCGTTTTTTTAAACAAGTCCAACCACCTCTATCTCCACAGAGGGCATCTCTCCCCATTACCCAAAGTGAAAAAGAGGCAAACAGAGCTTCCACACCTCGCACTCCCCCACACCCCCCCCCCTCCCTTTTTTTCCTTCTTCCCATCCCCCCCAACCCCCCCCTTCCTTCTCTTCCTCCCCTCTCCCCCCCGCCCCCGCCGGGGGTGCGGTCTCCCCCTCCTAATACCCCTCCCCCCCCCCCCAACACTTTTTTTTTCCTCCTCCCTTATCCTACCTCCCCCCCCCCCTTTTTTGTAATTTTTTTTTTTTATATCCATCAACCACTCAACCATCCCCGCAGGCCGCCCGCCCGCCTCCCTTTTCCTTCCACCTCCCTAATGATTGGGCTGGTCGCCACCCCAAACACCACTAGAAGAACTCCAACCACTGCCCCCCTCCTCCCCCCCTCCCCTCCCACTCCAGCCCCCCCCCACCCGCCCCCCCACCCCGAGGGGGGGGAGGCCCGCTTCCCCTAAAGCCAGGGCCCGTACCGCGCCGCTTACCTTTCTTCCCTGTGTCAGGATCCTGAACTCAACAAACTTGTCAATGCTTTCCCCCTCTAAGCATTCAAAATTCCTCGCTTTCCAAAACTTCTATTTTATGCACCCCCGGGGCCCCCCCCCCTTTTTTTTTTTTTTCTAAAACCCATGAAATTCACCTGGAGAATCTTCAACATCCGTCAGTGTTTGCAGGACTTGATCTAGGTGCTGCGATAAAGCAATGTGATTAGCAATACAGTCCTCAGTCAGAGCTGGGTAGCACATCTGCAGAAGGTCCACAATATTGCATCGAAACTGATTACTTATTTTTTCATCTGAGACCTCTGTTGAGAAACAAAGATCAACAATAATGATAGTTAATAGTGGCCACTAAGTCTTGTGGAATTAAAAGACCCACAGAAAGAGGAGAAGCTTTACACTTCTAGTTAACCAATTCAAAATCAGCACACTTGGGTAAGCCATATAGATGATGTAGCTGGCAGAGCTAAATTTTCTAGTGGGAATTAAGAGGCCAGAGAAGGAAGTGTAAAAAGCCAAGATAAAAATACCTGTGCTATCATGCCCTCCCAAAGCCAGAGGCACTGTAGTTTAAAGGGTTGACAATTCTGTATTGTATTTAATTGTATCGTCAGTCAACTTTCCATCCTTGGCTTAATTCCTCTTCTGCTAGAGTGCATTCTTCTCTCCCTATCCCCAAGATATTATTTGCATGTCTGTTGCCTGTATTTCTTCTCTCCTCCTCCCTGCACCCAAATCTTTATTTCTCTGCATTATGCTCTTAAACTTCTTTTCCATGTTTAATGTCTCTCTGCCTCCCCAATGACCATCCCACAGACTATTCATTCTGCTCCCATCTGCCCTTTTAGGGTATGTCTACACTGCAATGTAAGCCCCAGGCTAGTAGAATGTGAGTTAACAGATCCCGGGTTTGTTAACATAGGGCTTGAGCGTCTACACTCATTTGTAACCCCAGGTTAGGAATTGTTGTCCCAGCCTCGGGCTCCAGCACATGCATTATGTGGGCCCGAGTCCAAGCACCCATATCCCAGATTTCCTAGCACCCTCCAAAATGTGGCCACTCTAGCCCTTTGTTCATGGTGCAGTGTGGAAACACTTGACTGCACACCAAACTTGATTGTCCAGAGGACAAAGAAAGTCGGACCATGAGATTGTGGAATACTTTTGGCAGACTCCTTGGATTGAGCCCTCCACCCTTGTGGGGCCCCTGATCCAAGCCCTGGATTAGTGTGATTTGTGTGCAGACAGAAAGGAGGTTAGAGGCTTGAGCCTGAGTTCAAACCCTGGGCTTACTCAGCTTTGTAGACATACCCTTAGGAAGGGGAGTAGAAACTCAATCCCCCTTGCTTCCTGGCTCCCCATCCCCTCCAATCAAACTCCAGCCCTTCTGCTCTCTGGTTCCCATTACCCTTCAATGAAAGAAGCTGTTCTAGTCTTCAGCTCTGCCTTCCCTCCTGAAAAGCTGGTGCTCTCTGGTTCCCTCTCTGGGGAAGGAGCCTGCTGCTTCCAGCCCTCTCTTCCCTAGCCACATGCCCAGCTCAAGTCAGTTTTTCACATCTTGTATGCTGGACTAGATTTTCAAAAAGATAGATGTATGTATGTATATGTGCACCCAAAACTACTCATGCAACAGTCAACCTAATTTGCAGAGAGATGCATGTATGTGCTTCTGAAAGTTTTAGTGCATGCCTGTGCCAAAGAGAAAAACATGAGAAGATTTGATAAATTTTGTCATTTCAAGTTTTAAAAATCAAACATCAAATTTCATCATTTATATTAAGCTCTTTTAGAAGCAGTTCCCAATGGCTTCCGCATCTCAAGCTATTCTATGGCAAGCTATATTTTTCCATGGTGCTTTATGGAAATCTTTGGAAGACTCTGTTTAATGAGCAACTACTTAGCTATATTTACTTATCCATTGTGGTAAAGGCCAAATCCAGTTTATGGATTTTCAGTACACCCAAAAAAGTTGCTGATACATTAAACAGATACTCTGCCACAATACAAAGGGAATAGATACCAATTTAGCATACAAAAGAAATTTCAGAAGCAGCATAAAATCTGCACATGTACTCCCTAGCCCCGGAAAAACTAGCAACCAATACAACAAAAACCAAAACCTCAAAACACGCAGAAGGGAAAACACTTACCTGATTTGGATTGTCCTTGCGACATACAAGGATAGTTGAGAATTTTATTTATTTGTTGAAGAACTGCTGGGAAACCCCTTATGCCATCAGAGTGAAGTAGAATGAAGTCAAGTCTGCGGCCTAAAAGCAACATTGGACAAGGGAGGGAAAGCAGGGGTTGAGGATGGAAAACATATATGACAGAGTGATAAGCTTACATAAATCATGTTCTTTCTTTAGAACTCCATCGTTACTATGAATTATAGTTATTTTAAAACTAGATAGAGCATACAAGCATTTTTCCCCAATCCCACACAGCTGAATAGAGAAAGGGAAAACCTACCCCTTGTTTCAAAGCTATTATGTAATCGTCTCTCTGCTGTTTCCAACAGCTGTTTGCAGGTTTTCCACTGGTGGCACTGAGTACAAGCTAAGTCAAATGCTGCCATTGCTGAAGGGCTGAGATCTGCCACAACTTCACTCATAGGATCTGTATGCTCCAGCTGGATGCTGCTAGTCCAAAAGTTTTCTTGGAGAGTAGGGACAAGGCTTCCAGAGGTGGCAAGCAACTTATCAGTAACATCCGAGATGGAATAAAATACCATACCTAAACAATCCAGCAAAACATGCAGTTACTGGTTAAACTGAACAAATATTCTGTGTCCCATAATGGATAATCCTTTGGTCCTTTACTAATGCAATTCAGCATCTGGTCTGCTTTTTGGACCACTGCTGCACATGGAACAGAGGTTCACACTGAGCTATTCACAAAGATGCCTGGTTAATTTCCCTGAGTGGTTACAGCTAATTTAGAACCCAGCAACAAGACAGTCTGAATAGTTTATTATGTTCTGACAACATGCACCACCTTGTACTCATCAACATTGACTATCATCTATCATGTTGCCCAGATTTACAACTTTGTAAGGTTATTCTGAAGTTCCTCAGTCATCTCCAGTTTTTAAAAGCCTAAATAACTATTACCCATAGATTGTCAGCTCCCTGTTCTCATTTTCTAGGCCATTAATATAGAAAGGCCAGTTTATTCCTCTAAGCAATCATATCATAGTCACCGCTGTATCATCTGAGTTCTTGTTCTTCCTTATTTGTCTTCCACCTCTTAGCCAGATTCCTCATCTCTAATTTGTAGGATTCAATCCTTACCTGCCGCTGCTGCACTCCCAATAGCCTGAAGCGTTGAGCGGCCACTGCCAGATCTCCTGATTCCTCCAATACCATCAGCTGACTGATACACAATTTTATGCTCCACTTTTGCGAGCTCCCGCACCACCTCTTGATAGCGTTCCATGAAAACCAGCTCACCATAGCAAGCCGAAGACTCCAGATTAAACATCAAAGCCACCTGTCACAGGTAATAATGAACCATATTTCAAAATACTGTCTGAAAGGCTACATAACATTTTATTAAACTTACAAAAAAGCCTCAACTTGAGTAATTTCAGCCCACATGGCAATTTTATTCAGAAAGTTATAGATGCCTGAAAACAGGGATTTATAATGGAAGCATTTTTGCAATTATAGCTCTATAGCTCTGCTTGCAGGTGCCATAACACTGGATTTGGATTCACTTTAACAACTCACTTTTAAAGATGTTACAAGACTCCAATATATTGTACATTAAAAAGATGAAGTAGCTAGTCCCACAGTATAAATTAGTTCTTATCAGCCAGGGAATACCCTCTAGAACATTCTAAAGTTATATTAGCAACCCGCACAACCCTTGCTGTGTGGAACACCGGGGGTTCACCAGTTAAACCCTGTTCCAAGTCCTGTTAACATCAGTGTTGTAGAGACACAAAGTAGCAAAGAAAACAGATCTGTTAGTCCCAGGAGACGAAAATAAAAATACCATGTTTGCTAACTGGAATTGTTTAAGGGCTTGACATTTACCTACTGCCGACACACGGGTAACTATGCAAAAGCACTTGACAATGGCCCTCTCAATCTTAGCCAAGCCACTGCACTTTCTTGAGGATTCAACTGCCAAAATACTTCAGGCCAGTTTTTCAGAAAGACAGCCTGAAAGCTACATACAAAAATGCACATGCAATTGTAACTGAGTGTTGCAATATAGAGGAACAATTGCATGCACACGTTGGTTAACTGCACATGTAAATGAGGGGGCTAGGAGTCAATGGCAGACACTTCTGCACACAGACCTTAGGCCTCCTGTTCTGACAGCCTAGCCACAAAACACACCTCCTTCACCTGCCCATAAAGCAAGTGTGCCATACACACCAGTCCAAGCCAATAGCTAGGGGACTACAGCGTGCGTTTACATACTACAACTGGGCATGAATGTGGTGGAGTCATGTTTTTTGGATCAGTGACCAAAAAATAGCTTAAATACTGCCTCTCATTCAAGAGTGGTGTTTCACACATGGGCTCCTCACCTTCTCCCTCACCCAACTGGAACACTAAGACCTGGTCTACACTACGGGGTTAGGTCAAACTTAGCCGCGTTATGTTAATTTAAAAATGACTGCATCCACACAACCAACCCCATTCCATCGACCTAAAGGGCTCTTAAAATAGACTTTTGTACACCTCCCTGACAAGGGGAGCAGCGCTAAAATTGCCCTTGCTGGGTCGAACTTGGGGTAGTGCGGACGCAAATCGACAGTATTGGCTTCCAGGAGCTATCCCAGAGTGCTCCATTGTGACTGCTCTGGACAGCACTTTGAACTCCGATGCACTAGCCAGGTACACAGGAAAACCCCCGGGAATTTCTGAATGTCACTTCCTGTTTGGTCAGCACGGCGAACTCAGCAGCACAGGTGACCATGCAGTCCCCCCAGAATTGTAGAGCATAGAATGTTTCTACGCTCCCCCTATCATCTCCGTCCCTGAGGTTATCACAGATTAGAAGGCGAAAAAAAACTCGTGATGACATGTTTTCTGAGCTCATGCAGTCCTCCCACACTGATAGGGCATGGCTTAATGCACAGAGGCCAGGAAAGAATTAAGTGAGCGCGAAGAGTACAGGCAGGATGCGATGCTGAGGCTAATGGGGGAGCAAACGGACACGAAGCGTCTGTTGGAGCTGCAGGAAAGCCAAAAAGAGCACAGACCCCTGCTGCATCCACTGTATAACCACCTACCCTCCTCCCCATGTTCCACAGCCTCCTCACCCAGACACCCAAGAACGCTGCGGGGGGGAGGAGGCTCCGGGCACCCAGCCACTCCACTCCACTCCAGAGGATGGCCCAAGCAACAGAAGGCTGTCATTCAAACAGTTTGATTTTTAGTGTGGCTACAATAAGCAATGTGGCCTTGTCCTTCCCTCCTCCCGCACTCCAACCCACCCAGGCTACCTTGTCCGTTATCTCTTTTTTTTTTTTCTTTCCAATTAATAAAGAAAGAATGCATGGTTTCAAAACAATAGTTACTTTATTTTGAAGGGGGGAGGGTGGTTGGCTTACAGGGAATTAAAATCAACAAAGGGGGCAGGTTTGCATCAAGGAGAAACACACACCACTGTCACACCGAAGCCTGGCCAGTCACGCAACTGGTTTGCAAAGCCTCTCTGATGCGCAACCTGCCTTGCTGTGCTCTTCTAATCGCCCTGGTATCTGGCTGCTCAAAATCGGACGCCAGGTGATTTGCCTCAACCTCCAACCCTGCCATAAACGTCACCCCCTTTGTCTCACAGATATTATGGAGCACACAGCAAGCAGCAACAACAATGGGAATGTTGATTGCGCTGAGGTCTGGCCTAGTCAGCAAACAACGCCAGCAAGCTTTTAAACATCCAAAGGCACATTCTACCACCGTTCTGCACTTGCTCAGCCTATAGTTGAACTGCTCCTTACTAGTGTCCAGGCTTCATAAGCCATGGGAGCAAGGGGTAGGCTGAGGTAGGTACAACCACGCAGTACTGCCAGCTGGGAGAGCAGCCTGAGGCAGAAGCCTCCAGCTCGCATGATATTCCAGGCGGGACTGAATCTCCATGAGACGAAACTTAAAGAAGAGAATGACCTGGAGTCTCTGGCTCCCATTCGGTGCCCTAAGAGTAGAATACCCATGTCTGTCCAGGCGCCCCAGATCAACCTCACTGAGGTCTACCAGGAGCACCCAGGAGACGTACGACGGCTATCAGTCCTACTGCACCGTCTGCCACGAAGGCAAGGAGCTGCTGCTGTGTAGCAATGCAGTACCACATCTGCCAGCAGCACCCAGGAGAGGTACGGTGACAGTGAGCTGAGCAGGCCCCATGCTTGCCGTGGTACGGCATCTGCATGGGTAACCCAGGAAAAAAAGGCACGAAACAATTGTCTTCCGTTGCTTTCACGGAGGGAGGGGTGGAAGGAGGGAGGGGGGCCTGACGACATGTACCCAAAATCACCTGCGACAATGTTTTTGCCCCATCAGGCATGGGGAGCTTAACCCAGAAATCCAATGGGCATCGAAGACTGCGGGAACTGTGGGATAGCTACCCACAGTGCACCGCTCTGTAAGTCGATGCTAGCCATGGTAGTGAGGATGCACTCTGCTGACTTAATGCACTTAGTGTGGACGCAATCGATTGTATAAAATCGGTTTCTAAAAATTGACTTCTATAAAATCGACCTAATTTCGTAGTGTAGACATACCCTAAGTTAGGCCCAGGCCTGGTAAAGCCTTTGCAAACTTTGAATACCCAGCTGAAAAGAGGGTATTTTTAAAAAGAGAAAGAAAACTTCCTTGAGGGTAGTGGCTTAGATGCTGGTTTCCCTCCTGCTCCTGGATTCCCTCTGACACCTGGATTTGTGTTCTTCAAAACCCAGCTGGCTAGCACAGTAGAAATTCAATACAAATCTCCTCAACCATCACCAGCGCAGCTTCCATACAGAACCAACTTCCAAGTTTTATGTAGTAATGATCACACACACACTTACCTGATGGGCTTCTATAAAGTTCCCCCTCAGGATACAGGAGACTAGGAGCGACTCAGGTGGGGAGAGCATCATAGGGATGAGGAGGTTCTGCTGCTGAGGCTTCAGCCTACATTCCAGGTCACTCCAGCCAGACACAGTACTGGTACTTCCCTCTACAAGAGCAAAGAGGGAAACAACATGCTGGGTTATAATTGAAATAAAACTTATCAAGTACCAATGCTTCTCAGCTTTAATATGGAGATGGAGAATTTGAAGCAGGGTTTACAAAACAGTTGTAAGGGGTTGTATTGTCTGCTTTAAGTGACCAACATCCAGCTGATCACGATCATATATAATGCCTCCCACTGCAAAGAATCCAAAGCACTTTACAGAGATCAGTTCACCCATCACCTGCCTCTGTGGCAGACCCTGTTTAATAAACACTGCAGCATCACACAACTATTTAGGCCAGAAAGTGAAGAACATTTTCAGTTAACAATCCTACTGTTATATTTTTCATGGGATCTTCAGTAACTATTACTGATCTGGACCTCAGTTTTACAATTCACCTGAAGGACAGCACCCCCAGCAGCCCACCATCTCCAAGCATCAGCAGGGGCACTGGCCCACTAGTAACAGAGGTATGAGTCTCAGGTACTGAATCAGACGACGATGTTGATATAGAACTCTAGGTGTTCATTGGTGGTTTTCTAATCAAGTGCTGACCAGGTCTATTCCTATTTAGCTTGTGAGATTAGCCAAGATCACAGCCTGAGGTGACAGGTACTCAGTCAAGTAGCAACTGTGACTGCTGATTGGACAAAGAAGCTGAAAGGCAACTTCAGGTCCAATAGACTCTGTATTCCACAGAAAAAGACAGTTTTTATATAGCATAATTCAGAAAGCATTCCAGAACAACTGTCAACAGACATGAGTCAAGCAAAAAAGCCATGGTCTTGAGAGGTGATGAACCCACACAGCCTCCAATGAAATCAGCATGGCACTTAGATACCACAATGCCAGATGCCTTCGAAAGGTATGCGGGGTCACCTCAGGCTCTGGATTAGTGTGACTTTATCAGTGATATTTTAAAGGCACAACAGTGAGAGTCACAGTTCTAGCTCCTACCACAACCATTACTCCATCCAAGCACATACGTGTTCTGTATTAATGCATTAGCTCCTAAACGTACACAATATATATTTATATTGTAATAATAAGAGAGAAGACAATTCAGGGCCCTGGTGTCCCAGTGTTTGGGAGAGGGCAGTTGCAGTTCTGTAAGCCTTTTTATGAATTTAAATATTTTATATTTAACAAGTCTGTGGCCTCCTAGAGGTTCACAATTGTCACTACGCTGCATAACACAGCCATTTGCAAAATCACAGAAGCAGCAAGAGAGTGCTGATCTTCCCGTCCCAAAAAGAACAGGTCCATGGCATTCAAATTAGAATCTCTGTTAGCAGGAGAAAGTCAAAGTCTAATGACTCCATCCTGCACAGAGCAGTGATGTGCACAAACCAATCAGTTAATTTCAGTACTGCATTATATCATTGTGTAACGACAAAACAAATATATCCTTTCAATGAGATTTAGTACCTGATGTGCTGGTGCTCAATTCACTGCTTGTACTCTCCAGTGATTGACTTGAAGTGCCCTCTTTACAATCTGAAGTAGAAAATAAAAACAGCACGAGAAATATATCGGACCCAGACAGGGCAATCAAAGCTCCTCTTCTGGGCAAAAGTGCTCAGTGGGGATAACACAGATTATTAGGCAAATGCAAGATACCACTGACGTGGTCTTGACATGAGCCATCACTTAAAGAAGACACTCACTCTGGAACAGAAGAGTGGGCCATCCAGTCTGGTCTCCTGCTAGTGGAGAATGTCAGATGCTTCAAAGGAAAATGTAACCACTCCCATTCCAAGAATAACCCTAGTTCTACAGTGTTGTTTGAGAGCTGAAAAGGATGTCAGATTTTCTTCCCCACAAGGTGATCAGTTTAAGTCTTGAGGCAGGAGACTCAAAGGCTACTGTAATTTTTAACCCACTTTCTATCACTGCAGATGCTATGCTCATCCATGGTCATAAACAGATTTTTTTGGGGGGTGTGGGTGTGGGGTGGGGTGGGGTGAGGCTTTTTTAAAAACAAAACAAAAACCCCCACAGTATCTTGCAAGTTCCACAGAGTTATCATATGTATAGAAAGAATTATTTTCATGCATCAGTTTTAAATGTGTTGCCTTTTAATTATGAGGTGGATTTTGGGATAATGACATCTAACCAATGGGTACTGGACTGGGACCAGCCACACTTCACACAGAACACCAATTGTATTTATCGAGGATACTGACTAGAGAGCTAGAGGAGATAGAGTACTAGGCCAATCTCCAGTCCTGTGAGCCACACATCTTAAGACACCACCAATTAGTTTCCTATCCGGGTGACATGACATGCACTTGCAATGCAGCCTCCACGGCGATTTCTTAACTCACCCATCCTCCATCTTTGAGTTTGACGGCGCTTCCTCAAGCTGGAGCGTCTGGTTAAGGAGTAGTGTCTCTTGGAGGCTGCAAGCTGATTTTCTGAAAGAGTAGCAGTGTTAGTGATTTCTTTAGGAGTCATCGTCATACACATACAAATGCACTGGCTGGCAACTGGTCATGACAAAAAAAATGACCAGATATATAGCAAGAAACTAGGCACCTAGTACAAATAAGGATGAACACGCAACAGCGTGGTCCAGGGCAATGCCCTAGTGAGAAGTTCAGACTCATCTGTCCACAGATGTCAAGGAAGGTTCTGGGATTCCTATCAGTATGCTACTGCCCCTGGGCTCTGCTCAAAGTAACTAATATTTAATACACCCTCTGGAGTCAGGTTTGTTGGAGAAAAGGTCACAACACTTCAGCTCCATGAATGTTCTGCTAAGTCTGAGCCCACACAAGCTCCAGAAGACATTAGCACTACACCTCAAAACTGACCTGCACTACCTACTGTTTTCCCAGCCCTGGGCCTCTCTAGAGGAGAATCTTCCAGCCATCCCACATCATGTAGCAGCTTTGTGAAGCAGACAAAAGAAGAAATGGAGAAAACAGTCATTGCAAGCTACACTAAAGACCAGTACACGAGCCCACCAGATTAAAATGAGCTCCTCTCCCACACATGCTGTAGATCTTTCAATTCAAGGATCACCAAGCTGGCACTACTGAGATCCCAGTGGATCTTACCTGTGTTTCTATTACTCATCACTACTTTGTATCTCCATTGAGCTTCAGAGAGGTATTTGGAGAACTGCAGCACCCTGCTCCCAAAGACATCTCTATTCACAGAGAAATTCAAGCACTCCACCAACTCCAGCTCCTCATGGGGCACGTTACTCGAATCCCATGGAAGAGAACTTTGAATTTCTTCCAGGTGGTTGAGGAGCATCTTGAGGAAGGCATCCACTGCCAGGTCATCCACTAAAAATCCACTGACACCACTGGCAAAATGTTTCAGATCTAGATAGCTCAGCCTGGAGGATTCACAGGTCTCACCACTCAATTCTGAGCCAAGCAGAGTATCATGGTAGACTGTCCGGGGGGCCTGAGGATGTCTCTCTGCCTTCTTTTCAGGCTCTGCTGGGTGCTGTGGACTTTCTGAGGTGGAAGACTCTCGGCTGGCACTACCATCCAAGTTCCCAGCACCACAGCTCTTTTTCACAATATCGTCCTCTTCTGCATAGTCCTCAAGCAGGGGAGTCTCTGTGTAGAGGTCACTATAGGAGACAAAAAGCAGGGAGAAGATGTTCTCCAGAAGCTCCAGATGCAGAGGAGCAGGGACACGCCGTAAGAACTGCTGGCACTTGGCAAGATACTGAGGAAAAATAGCTGGACAATCTGTATGTGTTATAAAAAAAGAAATAAAAAACACACTTAAAACATTTTCCAGGAATTGTTTCCTCCTCCCCGACCCCATTTCTGATTCCACAATGGTGCTCAAAGTTACAAGAATGGGAACCAAGACAGCCATTAGTGAACAAGATGGCAATGGACTTTTATAAGAATCTTTGCCATATCAGTTCAGAGCACTGGTCCATCTAGCTCAATATGCTGCCTCCAGCTATGGCCAATGCTAACAGTTCAGAGGTGAACATTTCTCTCCTGATAAAGCATCTAAACGTGCAACGAGGGAGCAGGGAATTAGTCCTCCCTGACCCCAACAGTGACCATCTTATGCCCTGATGCCCAAACTCAGATTTCTTCCATTTTAGCACATTTCTATAGCTTGTGGCCACTAAGAGAGACTATGTAACCACAACGTTAGCTACAAAAATATCAAGCTCTTTTAAAAAAAATCCCAGCTAAAATATCCCATTAATGCTAATGTTTTCCCCTTACAGAATGTTTTTAATCTAAGGATTTTAGAGTGCTTTACAAAGGTGAGTAACTTACTTTCTACATCTATTACTATTATGTGTAACACTTATCTACCTCACATAGATGCTGTGAGGTTTATTTGCTTGTAAGTGCTTTGACCTCTTTGGATAAAGAAAGTATAGATGTTCACAGTTTAATATTAAAATGAATTACAATCCACAGAATCTAGCAACTAGATATGTACAAGCTACTAAACCTAGGCAAGGAGGCCGATCTCCTGGTGGGTCTTTAAGAGGGGTTGAGTCCACAGGGAGGTCACTGAGAAGGCTGTGCATGCAGTCCTTGCACTTTGAATGACGGTGCGAATTCACACACAGTGCATAGATTGCATATTTCATGGCGCAAAATGCCCAGAAGAGCACCAGGTTGCGTTGCTGACTCAGGAGGCTGGGAACCGGCACTGCTGCAAAGTGAAACATAGGAGGGTAAATTCTCACACATTTTGAGGGACACTGACTAATTCTAGTTTCTAACAGGTCTTCAAATTCCCCTCCATCCCGAATTCCTTTTAGAAAATGAAAGTAGGGATTTTTCTGCCCTTCCTGTACAGATGTTTATAAAGAGGGCAAGTGTTCCGCAGTATAATTTGTTAGTTTCCCTCCTGCTGAAGGCAGTGAAAACAACTGCACAAAAGTCAATACAATTTAAAAAAAAGGAAAAGTAATTTTGCCCCACATCCCTATTGACTTGTCTTGGGTATAGTCTCCTTATGGGGTACTCGTGACTACAGTAGGGTCAAAGTGTTCTGACAGAAGTAAGATTTTCAAATTGATAGGTGCCCTTTAATTCTTATATTTCAAGTTGTAGACATGCTTCCACGGAATTAAATACCTCAAATCAGAGTTATTTACTAGACAATTCCATAGACGATTCCACCATAATTCCTGTCATGCAGGTTCCCAATCTTTGTGTTTTAAGATTCCTCTACCTGCTTTACACTCTATTCCACCCTGACTATTGTTAAATTCTCTACATCTCAAATCTGCCTCTTACTCTCCAATTCTATTTCTAAACCCTTGGTTTTTTAAGCTTCACTTACTGCAGTCTCTTCCTCTTGGTTTTCTCCAGGTTCCACATCACAACCCTCAATATCCTCCAAAATACAGCTATCAAAATCATCTTCCTTGTTTACTATGCCAGCTACGTTGTCTGCTTTCTTTGAAACTCTGTATTGATTTTTTTTCCTCTCTCTCACATCTATATATCACACGTCCTCAAGACCCTGGCATAGCTTGGTTCCCATTTCATCTTCTGCCACTTCCTTACATTCTGATAATTCAAGTCATCTTGATGCTCTCTTAGTTTCTTTCTCCCATGAGTGGCTCTGCCCTTTCTTCTTGCCATTTCCTATACCTGATCATCATCCTTGACCCTGCGCATCCCACAGTCAGTCTCCTCCAGTCACTTCTTATACAGGTGGCCTTCCACGGCTGACCTCCACCCAGCCTTCCTCCATGAGATTATGATTTAACAATATATGGGACAAAGAACAGAGAACAACATCCATACTTGGCAACAGTGGGAAATTTAAGCAAATCTATCCTAGTATAAACATTGCCTAAAGGTCTGTGTTGCTGGATGTGGTTACAACACAGAAGAGTTAAACACATTCAATATATGGTTTGGCCTTGCAGTGTAGATAGGACTGAGTTGTGTTGATGCATTTACAATGCAAGACCAAACCTTATTTTAACCAGATTGAATGCTAGCATGTTATAACATGTCCTGCAATATGGTAGATTTTCCTTGGGCAGACTGGCCACAATTGTGGCCAAACTAGTTTATGAGCTGCTTTAAAGAATTTGTATTAACCTAGCTGTATTATAACCAAACTGGCTGATCAAACTTTTAAAAACTAGTTTGGGTGCTACCTCACTTGAACAACACTTAAGCATGACTATTAAGCATGATTAAAGGTGACCAGTAAAGGATTTGAAGTAAGTAAGGGAATTATACCCTTTTGGTTTCTTTATGACAGATACCAGTAGCTTGAAAGGTCTCCCCCACCCTTCCCAGCTTGTTTTGCAGGCAGAAAAGGTGTCAGATGCTAAAAATGTGGTCCCTTCTTATCACATTAAAACAGCAGAGCTGAATACAGTGTACAAGTCACCCCCAGCTCATCAGGGAACAAAACACAGGTAGTAGCATATTATGGCATTTCTGCTTTCAGTACAACTTATGCTCCCTATGTAGATAAATGTATTGGTTTCTAATAGATCGTGTATTATTGTACAGTAGTGGTCCTCAAACACTACCATTTAAAACAATGTTACAGTAGTGTTTGGGACCACTACTGTACAACAGAGTAGTACTTTTTTATAGAAGGACTGGACCAGCCCATCTGCCTGCTGGTAGTGCAGCGTGCGTATTCATGAACTATTCAAAACCAATATACTGGAGTCACATAATGCCTATGGTCCTGTCCAAACACTGGGAGCTGAACTGCAATAGCTAGAACAGTGTTTGAACTATGTTAATTAAAGTGCTCAATCATTGTTTCCATGAAAACCAAGAGCACAGATTTTTCTGAGAATGATGCCATAAAACTAAGGAGTTTTACAGAAAATAAATCTGCCAGTGTAAGCACACCCTAAGATCCATCATTGCAGTTCTACTGGTGGTAGTAATGGTGGAGTGTAGACAGTACTCGGGTGTTTTTACCATCCTGTCCTCTAAGGGTATGTCTACACTGCAACTAAATACCCGCCGTTGGCCTGTGTCTGTTGACTCGGGCTCATGGGTCCCAGGCTGTAGGGCTGTCTAATTGTGGTGTAGACGTTCGAGCTTGGGCTGGAGCCCAGGCTCTAGAACCCCACAATGGGGGAAAGAGTCCCAGAACCTGGGCTCCAGCCTGAGTGTCTACACCCCAATTAGACAGCGCCCCCATAGCCCAAGCCGCATAAGCCTGAGTCAGCAGACACAAACACCCGCTGCTGGCCTAATTGCAATGTTGAAAACACCAGTCTCCAGTCTGTAGTGATACATCCTCTCTTGCTAAAATAATGGTGGGAGATTTTCAGAAATGCGTAAGTGCAGACACAACCACACAGACTAGAGCAGAGTTTGACTCACATGGGTTTCCAGAAAAAGTCTACATCCAGACTATTCGAACATAAATCATCATCTCACTGTGTCTCTGAACACCGTTATAACTGAAACATTTTATTTGGGCCCTTTCCACATTGGAAGCAGAAGTGCAACAGCTGCTAATAGGGCTATGTTTAGACTAGTCTTTTTTTCCTGAAACTTCCCACCATTGTAGTTCTGTAGGTGGTAACAACTGCAGGAATGATAGTTTAGGAAAGGTGGCTGCTGGTGTTTTAGCCAGGTATCATATAACCCTTACTCCAGTCTGTGCATTTGACAGCACTTTGTGTCTGGTCAGTTTCATTGTTTTGTTCATGGTCAGTTATACTGTCTCATGCACTAAAAAAGACATTACCCTGATACACTGATCTGAGAGGGAAGCTCAGAAGCATGCTCTTCCCCAGGAGGGTGTTAACCAGTAACAGCAGCAGCAAAATTAAACTAAGCCAGCAGCAGACAGGTGCATGCACAGGAAGGAAGCGAGGTGGGTGGAAGCCTTTTCCTGGTATGTGCTGCTATTTTTGGGCCCACCCAAATTACCCTTCTAATCATCATCATCAGAGTAGAATAAACTCAGTTTTTTTAGACTTCCCGTCCCCCCACTCTTTCAATTTCAGGATACGCTATCTAAATTTACCTGTCAGGAAGCTGAATTGTAAAAGAATTCACAGTCACAGCACCCCTTTTAAATGCAAGTCTCTTAATTCACCCCTGAACTGGAAGAAAAGGGAAGGCTTAATTTTCATTAACTAGTTCTGTAAATTAAAGTGATCTTAGAGAAGTGAAACCAGGGCTAGAATTATCCTTCTGTGCAGCTGCATGACTCAGGCAGATCTAAGTGGCCTGAGTCTTCCCACCCCAGAGAGGTCTCTGATAGTATTTCATCAGCAGACATTTAAAGGTGGAGTCCTATATTATAACAGAGATGCTAATAAACATCTAACTCAGAGAGGAGTAATGCACTAAGTTAATGTAATGGCACAGCAGCAAAATAAGTCTCAATAACAGGCCTTGGGGGAAAGAAAAAAAAAAAAAAAAGATCTTGCTGACTGAGTATGATAATTACAACAGAATTGAAAGAAGAAAAAAGAAAAGCAGGGGGGGGAACCCCAGAAGAATGCCCCAGGTTGGGTTTCCTCCTAGGCCTATCTCATGACCAACTGCAGCCCAACATTTACCTCTGCTCTGTTTCACTGACATTTATTTGAACAGGCCCAGGGAGCCGGAAGGTGAGAGAGAGATAAACCTCTGTTCATTAGGGGCACTAATTGATCTCCAACTCCCTGTCATAAGCCCACACACACACAAAGTTAAAAAATAGGATGCCACCATCTTGACACTTTGTGGTAGGAGATAAAGAACTGGCTTCCTTTTAGAGAGCAAAAGAAATCAGAAAGATTCAGCATTACTGCAAATTCTTTCATTGAAAATTGTTGGTTCATTTAAACAACTCAACTTGAAATTACCCATTCCATACACAGACACACACAGCTCCCGCATGCAGAGGAAAAACAAAAACCAAGCTAACTGGGTTTCATAACCTTCTCATAGGAGACAGTTCTCCTTTAAAATGGAAATTGGTGAGAATCACTTTCCTACACCCTATGGAGTTGGGTTTAAGTTCTGCTAAGTGATATGTTTATGATTTGCAAATTGCAAGTTGTATGCACTGATCCTTCCAGACGGGAGTACTATCAGCATGATGAGAAATTTAAAGGTATATGCTGAGTGGACTCTGCAGAAGGATACCTTTAAATGACATTCCTACTCATTTACCCTTTGTCTGCTGGTCTCTGGCTGGAACCTTCTGAAGAAGCTCAATGACATCCTCTTCATTCAGGGCCAGAAGGTTGGTGAGGTGATGAAGAGAGTAGAGTGCAGAGTGGCAATCCAGACTGTACAAGTGTTGCAAAAGAATCTTCTTTGGGATAGTAATACTACAAGAAAAAGCAAGACTAATCAAAATGGTGAAAATGCGTCCACCACCTGAACCTTGTCTACACCAAGGATCTTCCAGTATTAACACTGACTCAACTTGCGAATTTAAAAAAATTAAATAAAAACATAGACAAGCATCAAGTCTCTATAGCTTATGGCCACTAATGGAGACATGGCATAGATATTGTATACTTGGCATTTGTATATTAAACATCTACATATGTAATTCTGACTACGTGGGGAGCCTTTGTCAAAATACATGGTTTGTAAAAAAAAAAAAAAAAAAAAAAAAAAAAAGTGCTTCTGGCTGTTTCACCTGTTTTGCTGTGTGCACCATTCAAGAACCTCCACTTGAGCCCACAGCCCATCACAGAACTCTTTTAATACTGAGTCATTGCACAGACCCTGTTAGAGAGAGACAGAGCAAATTAGCCTCAGCTAACATAAAATGAAGAGATCACATTTACACCAGATCCCTCTACCTTACCAAGAATAGCACAAAATCAGAGTTTGGTTCACATGTGTGACGTTTAATGGCTAAAGGAACCTTAACATATTTAGATGGGCAGATTTCTGCACCTTTACTTTATTTACACATTAAAGCAACAAAATAGAGGATAGATAGCTGCATTTTGTTTTGAAGGGGCCCTGTTAAGGTTAAGCAATCTAAACTGGACAGTCATTTTTTCCAGTCTGTAAGCTCATCCCTGTAGCTTTTAACATTTTATTTGTAAAGAGAATCTAGTGCTTCTGAAAGATACTACAGGACTTATATCTCCAAAGCTGTCACTCTAGTTATATACCCAGAATGGATACTGTATGGGTTAGAAGTACACGCTGCCTACAGACTCACCTCCAATATGCCTATGTTCTGCTATGGATGCCTGCCCACTAAACACTGATCTGAGACTGTGCTATCTTATACAGGTCACTGACCAGGCATCAGACGGTAACTCCCTTAAGACATTATTGACCTGGGATGGAGTTCAGTCAATGATCTAGAAGAGAAAGGCTCAGTATCCCATTATCAGTTGTCCAAGGCAACCATTCACCAATACTGCTTGGATTGGAACTACAGGCTTAGTGTTTAAAAGCTCTGCATACCCAGAAAAGGAAGAAGATTCCAAAATAAAGTGGACCCTCTAGTCTCAGCTCTAACATTTAGGCTACTGTGGATTTTATTTTGGGCATTCAGGACTAAGTGGATGGCACCGCTCAACTCAGATCAATAGTGTCTACAAGTTCAGTGGCACATGTGAAATGGATTAAGTTGTCTCAATGCAGTTCCTGGGCATAAGTACCCACAATACAAAGTCAAAACCACTGGCACTATTTGGCCTTGAGTTTCTGAGGTCAAGGACTGAATGGGCCCTAGAGAATGGCCTCGAGGACCCCATTCAGGTCACAGTTGAGGCACACTGATGAAGATGTAGTGAAGACGAACTTGCAATGCTGCTGCCTGTACACTATTTGTTTTAAAGAAAAGTTTGTTTTTATAAAACCTTTTAAAAAGAGGTTGAAAATCCTAACCAGAGGATTCACCCTTACATCTTCCATTTGGAAAGACATTTAAAAGTCCAGAATCTCAGTTTATGCAGTTAATCAAATCTGAAGTCTCTAAAATGAGACTTGTTCTAACAATCCAAGCAACTAATTTAAAAGAACTGGAATCAAATTGAACGGTCAGTCATAGCATTCAGCCATTTCAACCTGCTCTCCACTCACGTACTTGCCTGAGTTTTGTGAAGAGCATACAACAAGTTTTTTGCTGATTCTAAGCTGTGACAGTGAGTCCACCCTAGCAATACTAGAAGACGGCTGAGGGGGTTGAATTCTCGACTCAGTAAGCTGCTCAAGCCTGAGAAGTCTTCCCTTTTTAATAGTGTTAATGCAATCACCTAGAGAACAAAAAGGAAGAAAGCATCTGTTATTCTAAAAATGCAGAATCCTGCTAGGGTGGTGGTGGACTGTCACAATAGTAGTTTCAGAAAGTAGTTTAACTTCCTCAAACCCAGATTTTACAGGCTTTATTTGGGCTACAAAGAAAAGGAGTCACTCTAAGTGGAAGCCAGAGAATCAATCCACCCCCTCTCCAATTCTGCATATTTTAAATAGGTTTTATGCAGAAACTAGTGGAGTTTTTGAGCCAGTAACAGAATAAATCTTGGCTCATCTGTCTGGATTCCTGTGCCCTCAATACACGTCTTTATTTGTGCACTTTTATCTCCAATAGCACCTTTCACCCCAGGCTCTCAAGTGCTTCACAAGTATCCATTTAACTCCACAACCCTTTTGTGAAGCATCATTATCCCCATTTTACATATGGGGTACTTGAATCACAGAGAGGTTAAGTTGCTGCCAAGGTTACTCAGTGAATCAGTGGGAATCCCTGGCATGGCTGGGAGTAGAATACAGGAGTCCCATCTCCCACGTTCTCTGTTCTATCCATCAGACCACACTGGTTTAAATCTTCCAGACACCTCCATGCCAATATCTTAAATCATAGAGATGAAACACTGCAGATGGGTCAACAGATAATAAAAACCCACTGCTAGTTAGCTAATCTCTTGGTACCAAAAGTCAGGACACCTGAAGACCTCTAATCAAACGTAAAATGTTCTAATGCTGGAATCCTGGTGCAAACTTGATCCACTACTGGGTTTTCCCCTCCCTATCATATTTATTGCCATACCAGAATCTGCTCCAGAAAGTGCTTGCTGCTGCTCAGGCAGTAGAAATAGGCAGTCTTCCAAGAATAAACCTCTTCAGGCTCTGAGAACAAAGCCAGCATTACCCGCTCTGTTTCCAACTGCTCAGATGAACCTGAGAGACACATAAATGGGATTACTTTCAAACACAGAGAGCTACCTCTGAAGAAAGCAGGCCCTGGGCAAGGTTTACAGCAGTAGAACAGTTAGGGAATCACTAAGCAAAAGCCACATTCAGACTCCATAACTAAGTCTCCATAACAAAAAATCCCTATGTGGCCAAACTCCCATCCCTTCCTCCCGCCAACCTTTCTTGCCTGCAAAGTCTCAATGGTCCAGCTTTTAATGAGAAAACAAAACAAACCTTTTCCTGGCAACTTTGGCCCCAGCAGTTTCTCTCTTGTCCTCTCTGTGAAGACGTTGCTGTACAGACTGAGCAAGGCATGGCTCTGCTTCCTCAGTATGCAGTCCAGTAACCTCTCTTCCTTCAGTGGGCTTCCTTCAGCCCAGCAAGCATCCAACAGCTCCCTGCACAAGTGTCGGAGCTCGCCAGTCTGATGCTCCACTTCAAAATGCAACACGCTAAGGGCACTGTAAATAGCATCTACTGTCTCACTCTGATCCAATTCTCCTGAGGATTTGGGATACCGCTGAAGCCTCTGCAGAGATTTTAAGGAGTCACGGAGAAAGTCAACGTAGATATTCTGCAGACAGCAGCTGTGCTGGAGTGCAGAGCTGGGTGTGCCAGGTTCTCCCTGCAGGAACTCCAGCAGGGCTTGTGCCTGCCGGGGAGCCCTCAACAAAAGCTTCCGGAGAGCAGAGGTTGCTTCCACACTGAATCTGTAAGTGCGGCCATCTCTTTTCTTTCTGTCCGATTCATGCTTGCTCTGGACACATTCAAATGCTTCGAACAGCTCCTGGGAGGAAACAGACAGATACGATCGGGGGCCTGAATGCCACTTGGTTTTCACACACACATTAAAAAAATATAACCAGATATACAACAAATTTAAAGATTCAATAGACATCCACTTGGAACCATTAATTTACCTTGGCAACCAACTCTGCTACAGGAATTCAGAACTACAGGCATTCAGTTTCAATCCCAAAATAATGCACTTTTTGCAAACACACGCCATCAATGGTTATGACTCCCAAGAAGCTCAGATGCTGCATACTGGCTCACCTAGTCCAGTGTCCTGTCTATAATAGTGACCAAATCTGGATGTTTAAAGTATAAAACTCCCATAATGCTCCTAACTACAATACTGCATTATTGAGGGAGTTTCTTACCGTTCCCCTTCTGGTGGTCCGCTTATGAAATGAGGATACAGAGTCCTTATGATTTTCATCCTAACTAGAATCATTGCAGATCCTATTAACCATTAGCAACTAGTCTTTTTTAAAAATCTTACAAAAGTAAACATTCAGCCAACAATTAAAAATCTTTGAAAGGCAAATCCCCATCCAAATATTTGGTTTATTAAAAACAAAAGAGTTTTTAAAACCTATTTTACTTTCCACCACTGGTGCTGTTTGAATTTTTTTTTTTATTTTATTTTATTTTATTTTATTTTTTTTAAGTATAGACACTGGAATTTTTTGTTTTTAATTACGGAAACCTTCCTACTGTATGAAAAAAGTACTTCACAAAACCCAAGTTTTTATTAAAGTGTCCCACTGATTTTGTTACTTTGGCAGCCAGATCCAGGTTTTCCTTCATTCATCTTTCAAAGTGTCTATTGGTTTCCTCCCCCACCTTCCAGAATTTCAAAACCAAAAGAATTAGCATGGTGCAAAGAGAAAAGCAGAAGTATAGACCAGACAATTACATTCAGCAAATACTTGCAGCTGGTTAATACCAATAAGGAAGAAGTATTGTTTAGGCTGATGTAAGGAGATAAAGTTAGAGATAATGAGATGAAGCTGAGCAAAGGCTGATTATTAGAAGAAACCTCCTGTCTGAGATCTAGAACACTGTGGAACAATCTAACAAGTAAAGTCATGGAAACCTGCACTGTGTGGGATATTGAAAATGAGCTAGATAGAGCACTGGAGAATTATTACAGACAGTAACAGTGTCCTGGGCCCAATGGACGTATTTCTGTACTTCATACAAAATGATCTCCCAAGATACAGGAGCCCTTGTATCCATTGCAACCTACAGTCAAACCTTGTTAGTAAAGGCACTTTTACTCCAGTCTGGTCTACCATATTAGTTCTTTCAGGCTGGGGTCAGTAAACCTAATGGAAGTATGGATTTGTGACCCCAAGAACACTATGAAGAGAGTTCCTACTCCCCAAATGCATTTGAGATAAGTTTGCAACATTCCACTGTTATTGTATTTAAAGGGCTTTCACAAACCCTAACCTCTTTACAACTCCCCTCAACGCACAAAATCCCAATTGAGATGGAGCGAGCAGAGACAAATCATTTCAGTGTGATTTCAAACTATCAGCCTGACATTATGATCTGATGAAAGGGTACAAAATAGGTAAATAAGAGGACAGAGTCCCATGGTGAAACCATACCAGCTACATCCTTTGTAGAACTGGCATGCAGCTTTCCTCCCCATCAGCCCTACTGAAGGGGTTCTCCACAACAATCACTGTGCAGCTGGCTGCAGCCTCTTGAACTGCACCACTGAGATCCCCCAATTCTGGCAGCAACCTTTTTAAAACCACAAATTTAATAATTTGCTCCAGTATCTTTCTAGGTATCAAAGTTAGGCTGACTGGTCTATTATTCCACAAGTCCTCTTGGATCCTCTTTTTAAATACAGGAACTATATTTGTTCTTCTACAGTCCCCTGGGACCTCACCTTTCCTCCAACAATTTTCAAAGATAATTGCTAATGGTTCCACGATTGCTTCAGCTAGTTCCTTAAGCACCCTAGGATGAATTTCATCAGGTCCTGCTGACTTGAATACATCTAACTTAGCTAAATATTCTTTATCCTGATCCATGCCTTGGCTTGCATTCCTTCCTCCTTGTTGTTATTAATTGTGTTGCGTATCTGGTCACCATTAACTTTTTTAGTGAAGATGAAGCAAAATAGGTATTAAACTCCTTAGCCTTCTTGATGTCATCCATTATTAGCTCTCCTTCCCCAAAATGGCCAGACAGCTGTGTCAGCTCCATTGTCTGGAGTCAAACCTCAACTTGACTTTGAGTTGGAACAAGAAGCAGAATGGTAGAGGACAATAACAATTTAAAAAACAAGGGCAGTTCTGGTCACTATGGATTTCAAAGCCTACCAGTAAGAAGGTTCAGTGATTCATTGTGTTCGTACACTAGCCTTTCCTCTATTGAGGCCCAAATTCATATCCTACATTAAGTCAAGATGTGATGCTTCTAAGCTAGTGCCCATTTCTGCAAGTCAGAAAGCTACCATACAAATAGTATTCTCTGTCCAGGGAAGCCCCAAGGCTGATGTAGCAGGAAGTGACATGAGGACTGAGGTGCACAGACAGTTGCATATGGGGATGTATGACCGTAACAGCAGAGGCAGCTGGAGGTCAGGAGTCAGGATTGTTAGCAAGGCTATGGAGAGAAGCTTGCTCAGCACCTGCCTACATTATCCCCTCTATAGCCAGAATCACCATTATATATGCCAAATTCACTACCTAGAGCAGGGGTCTCAAACACGTGGCCTGCAAGCCACATGCCCGCCAAGCTCCTCCCACCCCGAGTTATTTCCTACGGCCGCCAAGCTCCCCTCACCCGCTGCCCCCCCCAGTGTGCCACGTCCCTGCTCCTCTGCCTACCTCCAGGTGCTTTGCACTTTCCAGGAGGGAGTGGGGAGCTGCACGCTCAGGGGAGGAGGTGGAGAAGAGGCGGAGCAGGGGTGGGGATTTGGGGAAGGGGTTGGAATAGGGACAGGGAGGGGACGGAGTTGGGGTGGGAACTTTGGGGAAGGGGTGGAGTGGGGGCAGGGCCAGGAGCAGGAGGGGTGTGCTTTTGAATCTTTATATGAAAGGGTGTCAGTAATGTGGCCCTCATGGTGATTTCAGTTTGAGATCCTTGACCTAAAGTGAGTAAACTTGAACTGCCCTCACATTCAACTGTCTTTATTTTATGCAGAGAAGACCAAAGGTACATTAATGTCTCAAACACAAGGTCAGTCAAGTTAACTCATAGCATTAAGTTTCATCCTAAGAATGATCAATATATCAGGCACTCAGCTCACCTTTAGGACTTCATCTGAGACATCCTTTTGCAGTTCTTCTAAGAGGAGTAAGAATTCAGTTTCTCTCTGGAGAACAGCTGGAATTATTTTCTGAAGTTATCAGGAAAAGAAAAAAAGATAAAAGAATAGGGCAGATGTGAGCCACTATCTTAGGTTTACAGGTAAAAAACCCAAAACCTTATTTAATTGTTATTTTAGGGCAGACATCTTCAGAGATATTTATTTTATTGGGGATTAAAAGTCCTTTCTCCCATCCTAAGATATCTAGGGGCTGTTCCTGAACCAACAGATTCCATTCTTTATTTCCAACTACTTAGCTAGCAACTATCACTTCCCCATAACCCCTTTGGGATAGGGTCACCTTTCCTCAAAGATCATGAAAATTCATGAACCTAGGCAATGGGGTCAGAGGAATGAAAAAAGTGAGGAAAGAAACACATGACCAATCTTCCCCTTTTTGAAGGCCTTGTTTCTTTCTCCCTCATGCAGTGTGCTAGCTGCCTACCACTCTCCTCCCCATAGTTTTGTATATGTAAACTACATACCCTGAAAGTATGCCATTTGTAAAGCATTGTGCAATCCTTGGTTTATTTCATCTTTTGGGGATAAAAGGGGCTATAGAAATGTAAGTTACTAACTCATGCTGTCTATTCATAAGAACATCTCATACTGAGTATGCACATTAAAAAGCTAACTCACATGGCCTCAAAAAATAATCCCAAAACACTTATTTTAATTTCTTGCTAAGTTTAATGGAAAATGGTCTAAGGAACCAGTTGACATTATTAATAGCAGTAAGTCTCAAATTTTAATAGGCAACTACAAAATTTATTATTTTTCTGTTTACAAACATTATCTTCCATTTGGAGATCAACTAGAACAAACTTCTTTACCTGATCCCACACCAGCCATTTCTTGAGAACAAGGAGCCAAAGCCAAGCAAGTCTCTGAGGGCTGTAATTCTGTCCACACCTGCAGAGGTAATAGCATATACCATCAGTTTCAAACATCTAGGCACCAAAACAAATCTCTACCCACTTCACAGTAGGAAAAGTTGCCCCACAGAGCCAGTGTATGCCGTGTTGCCAGTACCAAGTATAATATATTTATTTTTCTCATGTCTGTTAGCAACACCAATTTAATTGTGTTTTTTCCTCCAAACAAAAATTATTCCCAGAATGCTGTCTGTGTAGTTGATACTCAAAAATTATTACCAAAAAGTTATACAAAACTTAAAAAGAAATATTTGATACTTTTTTCAAAATTAAAAAAAGTTGAAATTTTTTAAGTTCCCCTGAAGTGTCAGAAACCCAACCTTAATAGCCTCATGCAAGTGCTTGAGAAGTCAAGAGAAAAAACAAGTGAAACTAAAGGTTGTTTCACTATTCAAATTGAGAAATGTGAAAAGTAGACAATTTAAGTGGTGAGAAATAAGATTTTTAAACATTTTCAGTTTTAATCATCTCAGGTGTTTAGTAGTAAGCCAACATTTTAAATAAATAGGTTGATCATCTTCTAAACAAAAAGCACTCAGTGTCAGCACCATTACAATTCTAAAACAGACTCCCTCTCCTCCAACTCACATTATTTCAGTGAAGTCTTTCAAAATTGACCTTTGCTAGATTTCTGCATGATCTTGTGCTTATACCATCATTTTCTCTATTGCATATATGAACATGGTTGTAAGCTGACTGAGGCTGGGTCCCCTACATATATTAGTGCAACTCTGAGCAGGTCAGCACTCAAATGTTAACTATAATAATGGAATGCATGAAGGAAAAAACACTGGCAAGGAAGCATGTTCTGCTTCAAGGATTCTAAGCAGGGACGGATTAACTCTCCTGTAGGCCCGGGCCTATTATATTTTGTGGGGTCCCTGTATACAAGTCTTTTTCCTAATTTAAAACAAAATCATCACAAGTATGGCATCGAGGCTATTAATGCTATACTAAACTTGCCTTTTAATTTACATAAAGCCATTCTGTGCTTACATTTCAGTCTTAAAACATGTAGAATATAGTTTAGTTAATTCAAAATAGCCTACTTCTTACCTTAGAACAGCTAAGATATTAGTTTCTTTCTGAGAGGGAGTTGGGTGCAGGAAGGGACTCCAGGCTGGGGCTGAGTGTTGGGATGCAGGAGAGGGTGAGGGCTCTGGGAGGGCTCCAGAGGCAAGAGGGGGCTCCAGGCTTGGAAAGGGGTGCAGGAGGGGGTGCAGGGCCTGGTAGGGAGTTTGGGTGCAGGAGTGAGCTCCAGGCTGGGGCAGAGTGTTGGGGTGCAGGAGAGGGTGAAGGGTGCAGGTTCTGGGAGGGAGTTTGGTGCAGGAGGGGATGCGAGGTCTGGGAGGGAGTTGGGTGCAGGTGGGGATTCTGACCTGGAGAAGAGGGTTGGGGTGCAGTAGCGGGTGTGAAGTTCAGGCTCTGGCTGGGAAGCGCTTACCACAGGCAGCTTCTGGCCGGTTGCGCAACACGGCTCAAGCAGGCTGCCTGCCTGCCTACCATAGCCCCACGCTACTCACGGAAGTGGCTGGCTGCTGGCACGTCTCTGCACGTCCCTGGGGAGAGGGGAACAGCTTGTCTCCGTGCGCTGCCTAGGCCAGTAAGCGTCACCCCCACAGCTCCCATTGGCTGGTTCCCACCAGGGGCCACAGACGTGCAAGCAGCTGGTTGCTTCTGGGAGCAGCATGAAGCCACAGCGTGCAGGCAGCCTGCCTGAGCCCTGCTGAGCCGGAGCCCCTCATTAGCCCAGGGCTGCAGCCCCTAAAGCCCCTGCATTAATCCGGCCCTGATTCTAGGGGTCCATTATAGTTAAGAATAAAGAATCAGCCTCAATTTCTGACAATTGCATCACATACATCCTGTTTAACACAGTTCTACTTCCACCAGTTAGACAAAAATCCCACACAGCACTTACCTTAACTGAGATGGACAAGCTATTAGAGCCTGCAGAATAGCTGTAACTTTCTCAGAGCCATCCCCCTGCCACAGATGTAACTGAGGAATACAGGCCTGTGCTAGCTCCCAGTCTCCCCGCTGCACACATTTACAAAAAAACCAGAAAAGATGTTCCAGAGAGGCTGCTTCCTCATTACCAAATGGATGCATCATCCCACTGTGACTGGACTCCTGGGGACAGGAAGGAAAAAAAAAAAAAAAAAGGAAGAAAAGAAAAACCATCCAGAGGTAAGTCACAGCAAATCTTCCCTCAGTGCACCTGGAACAGAACAGATCTACAATCAGAAACCAAGCTGCAGCTATTTAAGTGTTTTAAAGTTTGGAATGCACTTCCAGCCAGTGATAAAATCAATACCACAGTATTTGTTCAAGTAGGTGATTTAAACATTATCCCTGTGAAACACACTGATACTTGCTTAGAGTCAATACTCTCAGGAAACAGGAAGGATCAATTTGTTTGTTTATTGAGAGCATAGTGCTAACAAAGAACTCTGACTTCAGTAGGGAAGGTAAAATGTGGTATCTTGACAACCGTAGTGAACAGAGCAGCTACAGCATGAGCAGTTCCATCTCAAGCTTTCTCCACACTGGGAACTTCTCACCCCTATATATTAACCTGCCAAGGTGTCTCAGTCAGTCATGATCTAGAGAGATCATTTTAAGGGAGACGAGAGAGTTTAGTCTCCATCGTCTAGTCATTCAAAATACAAATGACAAGTAGCACAAGAATTGCCATACCAGATCAGACCAGGGGTGCATCTAATCTAGAATCCAGACTTAACAGCAGCTGCTTAGAGAAAGGTACAAGAAACCCCCCAACATGGTCCTTTATATTTATGACACAGACATTAGGACGTGGTTAGAGATTCACCAAACACTTTCGCAGGGCTACCTTCCCCCACCTCACACACCGTGTCAGCCCTCCCATCACTGGATTTCCCCACCGAGCTCCCCATCCTCTGCTGTCCTACCCCTGAACCAAGGACCTGGGTCATCAGCCCTCCGCCCACATCCAGAAATCCCCCCGCTAGCCGGCTGCCTCTCGTGCCCCGTCCCAGTGCCCGCCTGGTCACCTGCCTGGGATGAGTGGAGATCAGGAGATCCGCGTCGGATGGGATGGGCCAGGCTGCCCTGCCCTGCCCTGCCCTGCACTAGACACACAGCTCTTAGGGAAGACCCAGGGGTGGTGGATCGGTCCGGCTCCCCCTGCGCACTCAGGGGCTATGGGACGGTCCGCACTGATTGCATTCCCCAAGCTGAGCAGCCTAGTGCCGCGGCCATCTTGAAAGACGAATCAGGTGACTTTCCCAACAGCCGGCACACCCAAAACGGCGAGCGCTTATTGGTCAAACAGGATGAATATGTAAATAATGTGCCTTCTTTCTTTTAGAGGCACTGAAGCCTCACAGGCGCCATGACTGACGTGGGCAAAGAAACCACATGTCAATGCCACAGAGCTAACCCCACGCAGGGACCGCTCCTCCCACCGTCCCCGAGCCGGACTCCCCGCAGGCTCCACCCAGCGGCCAACGTAGCCCCGCCCCGGGTGCCCCAGAACTAGCCTCTCCTGAACCAACCGACCCGCCCCTGAGCCCCGCCCCTCGTTCTCCGGCCCACTGAGCCGCTCAGCCTGTGGCTGGAGAGGCGGGAATCGCGTCACGTGCTGCTGACTGTTAATCGCAGGAGCCGCCCTGGCCTGGGGCAACAGGCTTGAGGCGAGCCCGGCGCGTGCTCTCTCCCTCCGCTTCCCAGTGACCCGGTACCGCAGTTCCCCATGTGAGGGCCGCTGTGCGCCGAGCTATTCCCCTCAGACCTTGCCGGGCCTGGGGGCTCCTAAGGCCCCACCACCCAGGATGGGGCTTTACCCGTAGCTTGCTCTGGAGCCGGCCCGCTGGCTGAGCCCCGCCGTGGCCCGCTCACAAGAGGGCAGAATGGATGAAAAATACATGACTGAAAAATTGCCGTTTGGTAGCCTTTTGCAGCCAAGGTTGTAAATGACCACGTAGGGTGCAGTGGAGACTCAGCAAGACTTCCCTCTGGCTCAACCTCACTGATCTGGCTCTTTTCTGGCTTCTGTTTGGGCACCAATCTGCAGCCATTCCTCCAGGACACGGTTGTGTGCTTCTTCCATCATAACCAAACACAAGCTGGGACATATGAGAGGACTTGCTTGTTTGATAATTTATTTTATTAACATTGTAGTTGTCTTAACTTGTAGCTAAACAGCTTGGTAATAGCAACCATAATATAATGTAACATACCTGTGGGAGGGAAAACATCAAAGACACCTACCACAGTAGCATTTAACTTCAGAAAGGGGAACTACACAAACACGGGGAAGCTAGTTAAACAAATTAAAGGGTACAGTCACAACAGCTTGCAAGCTGCATGGAAACTTTTAAAAAACACCATAATAGAGGCTCAAATTAAATGTATTCTCCATATTATAAAACATAATACAGGGATCCAGCAACCTTTGGCACAAAGCCCATCAGGGTAATCAGCTGGCGGGCTGTGAGACATTTTGTTTACCTTGACCATCTGCAGGCATGATCTCCCGCAACTCCCAGTGACCGTGGTTCGCCATTCCCGGCCAATGGGAGCTGCGGGAAGCTGTAAGTGGCTATCAGGCACTATAAGTGGCGAGAGGCAGAAAGGTATCTTTTAAAAATTGGAATTTAAATCCTACTGAGGAAAATAGAAAGGAGCATGAACTCTGGCAAGTTTAAAAAAATGTAAAAGTATAATTAGGTGTAACACCTACAGACCCTGGCCATTGGCAGGCAGGATCAAACCTGGGACTTCTGGAGTTAAATGCATGAGCTTTTACTGCATGAGCTAAACATCATGTGCCCTTTAGCTAAGTCTGTAGAATAGACTCATTAATCTCTCTCAAGTGCTATCAGTACTAGATGGAACAGTACACCACACCCAGGTGGTGTGTGGGTTACATAGGAAGGCTAAAAAAGAATTTGAAAAGCAACTACCCAAAGACTCAAAAACTAATAGCCACCCCACAAAAAAGTACATCAGAAGCAGTAAGCCTGCCAAACAATCAGTGGGGTCACTGGACAATCAAGGAGCTAAAGAAGCACTTGAGGATAAGGCTATTGTGAGAAACTAAACAAATTCTTTGCATTGCTCTTCACTGCAGAAGATGTAAGGGAGATTCCCACACCTAAGCCATTCTTTTTAGGTGACAAATCTGAGGAACTGGCTCATATTGAAGTGTCAATAAAGGAGGTTTTGGAACAAATTGATAAACAGTTATAAGTCGCCAGGACCAGATGGTATTCACCCAAGAGTTTTGAAGGAACTCAAATATGAAATTGCAGAACTATTACCTGAGGTATGTGTTGTCAGTAGCTACCGGTGTGGTGCTCTGCTCTTGTTCGATGATAACAGTCGGCTGCATGCATGTTCCCTCTGTGTGCTGTCCCAGCTCTGCGCAGATAGCTAACACAGCAGACCCTGAGAGAACCCCCAATGACCACAAACTCTAGTAAGGTACGAAGGCACGTTGGCCAGGTTTATTGTCGAAGAGAAACACAATCTCTAGCCCCGCAGTTCATATAACTTATATAACCTATATACGGTTTGTTGCTAGTCCCTATGTGCTCCCTGGCAATGGACTCAGCTCAGTCAGTGGCGGGACTTTCCACTGCCCCCTAGGCTGGAAAAAGACATCCACTCAGGGATGCATTCTTAAACACAGGTACAAACAAGTTACATAACACTCTTGACGTATTGAGGTGCAACCCCTTTACGTAACAATGCACCACCCTTCTACGCAGTAAGGTGCTGCCTTTCACCTTGTACATGTTGGTTCGAACAAAACAAGTCTATCCATCATACTGGCCTTTTGCCCCGTCCTTGTTATCTATGTGGATGGTATAAGAATGTTCTTGTACCATTTGTGTATGGCTCTGGTATCTAATACACTTTAGATATATGTTTATGCAACAGCATATCTTTATGCAACATCAGCCCTTTCCTTGCCAGCTTCTGTGAGCAGGGCCTGCCTCTGGCTCGCAGCTTAACTTTGCTTTATGTTAGCAAAGTCTTGACCATTACTTTAGTTCAGGCCTTAGGTCTCACACCAGGCCTCTGATACCAAAAGGTTTATGTTTCAGGGCCTCAACTTACTACAGTATGTAAGCTATCACTTCAGTCAGCTTCTGTACCAGATGACTAGACGAGGATAGCTAATGTGACCAATTTTTAAAAAAGGCTCCAGAGGCAATCCTGGTAATTAGAGGCTGGTAAACCTGACTTCAACACCAGGGAAATTGGCTGAAACTATAGTAAAGAACAGAATTATCAGATACATAGATGAAAACGATTTGTTGGGGAAGAGTCAACATGGCTTTTGTAAAGGCAAATCATGCCTCATCAAACAGAATTCTTGGAGGGGGCGGGCGTCAACGAAGGACCAGGATGATCCAGTGGATATAATGTACTTGGACTTTCAGAAAGCCTTTGAAAAGGTCCCTCACCAAAGGCTCTTAACCAAAGTAAGCAGTCATGGGATAAGAGTGAAGGTCGTTTCATGGATCAGTAACTGGTTAAAAGACAGGAAACAAAGGGTAGGAATAAATGGTCAGTTTTCAGAATGGAGAGAGGTAAATAGTGTGTCTCCTAGGGATCTGTACTGGGACCAGTGCTGTTCACCATATTCATAAATGATCTGAAAAAAGGGTTAAGCAGTGAGGTGGCAAAATTTGAGGATGATACAAAATTATTTGAAATAGTTGAGTCCAAAGCAAAATCCAAAGAGTTACAAAGGGATCTCACAAAACTGGGTGACTGGGCAACAAAATGGCAGATGAAATTCAATATTGATAAATGCAAAGCAATGCAGGTTGGAAAACATAATCCTAACTATACATACAAAATGATGGAGTCTAAATTAGTTGTTACCATACTAGAAAGAGAACTTGGAGTCATTGTGGATAGTTCTCTGAAAACATCCACTGAATGAGCAGCAGCAGCCAAAAAAGCTAACAGAATGTCAGGAACCATTAGGAAAGGGATAGATAAGACAGAAAAGATCATAATGCTATGATATAAATCCATGGTATGCCCACACGTTGAATACTGCATGCAGTTTTGGTCACCCGATCGCAAAAAAGATATAGTAGAATTGGAAAAAGTAAATAGAAGGGCAACAAAAATGATTAAGGGTATGGAACAGATTCCGTATGAGGAAAGATTAAAAAGACTGGGACTTTCCAGCTTCGAAAAGAGACGACTGAGAGAGGGTATATGATAGAGATCTATAGAATTGTGAATGGTGTTGAGAAAGTGAATAAAGAAGTGTTATTTACTGCTTCACATAATACAAACACCAGGGTCACCCAATGAAATTAATAGACAGCAGGTTTAAAACAAACAAAAGCAAGTATTTCTTCGCACAACGCACAGTCAACCTGTGGAACTCATTGCCAGGGGATGTTGTGAAGGCCAAAACTATAGCAGGGTTACAAAAAAATTAGGTAAATTCAAGGAGGGTAGGTCCATCAATGGTCATTAGCCACGATAATCTGGGATGCAACCCCATTAGGGTGACCAGATGTCCTGATTTCATAGGGACAGTCCCAATATTTGGGGCTTTTTTTTATATGGGCTCCTATTACCCCCCACCCCCGTCCCGATTTTTCACACTTATCTGGTCACCCTAAATCCTTTGCTTTGGGTGTCTCTAGCCTCTGATTGCCAGAAGCTGGGAGTGGACGATGAGATGGTTCACTCTGTGATTGCCTGTTCTGTTCATTCCTTCTGAAGCACCTGGCATTGGCCACTGCAGCAAGACAGGATGTTGGGCTACATGGACCATTAGTTTGACCCAATATAGCTGGTCTTACAGTTTTTAAAAATATGTTAATTCAGTGCTTTGTCAGAGGCATTATATTGAAAGCCCTGGGGAATTAAATCTTTTGCATATCGAGGGATAGCTCAGTGGTTTGAGCATTGGCCTGCTAAACCCAGGGTTTTGAGTTCAATCCCTGAGGGGGCCATTTAGGGATCTGGGGCAAAAATTGGGGATTGGTCCTGCTTTCTGAGGTCCCTTCCAACCCTGATATTCTATGATTCTATGAAAAGGTACAGCATGGGCAGTGACAGTTCATGCTGCCCCTCAACTTTGCTCTGTAGGGACCACTTAGCATACAAGAGTGAGAGGTGTAGGCCAAGTTCCACAAAGGTATTTAGGCTCCATTGCCTTAGTGTCCACAGGCATCTGGTCTTGTTTCTTCTACAACAAGGAGTCCAGCTAGGGCCATCTTTGATGGTATTTTTGTGATATGGA